TTCTTCTTCTATCTTTTAATTTTTCTATTCCTTTCAAAAGCTAGACGCAACCTGGAATAGTTCCTAAATAAAATTATCTGATCATATTTCAGCAATTAGTTTCAATGCCTTTGATTTCTTATCCAATTTGTCGCTGCCATATATATTTAGTTTTATCCTAGCCTAGTCAGCTTTTTTTTTTTTAAATTCGCAGTTTCCTAAATGCTACTACTTTTCTTTTTAAATGTAAAAGCATATGCTAGTGTGCCTTAATATCAACTTGTTGTTGATGCGAAAGAAAAGATTTTCCTATTACTGTGCCACCCTATAATTTGTTTTAATTTCATAGTGCCATACATTAAATTTCCTTATTTCGTTTGAGAGCCTCTTTCTTAGCATTGTGCTCCATGACATGTGATGATAAATGTTCCTATGATTCATCAAAAGTAATTTTAAAGTAAGTTTTATACTGCTATCATTTATTTTCTTTGCTTGTGTTTTGTTTTATCATTAAAATTTGTTGTCGGAGAGTAAGTAGTGTTTGAGGTATATGATGCAACTGCAGATTTATTTTTGTGGAATCAATTATGTGAAGATCAAATTATATTCTGTGTTATATAACTTAACTTCATTTTTTGCGTCTTGTGTGACCTACTTAAACAATCCTGCAATATTTACTGTGCTGTGTTTATTTTTCTATCACAATTAAGTTGTTTTACTTTATCATTTAATTTTAACATGTTATAAAATTTTTCAAATTGAATTTAACATTCATCATAATTTAATTCATCCCCTTTGTATCTGTGATATTAAATTTTGAATGACTTCAAAAAATAATAAATGTGACGCTGCTCATTTTTGTACAGTTCTCGGAACAACTGAATAAATCATTACAACTTGTATGAATAATTGTACCATTTGTTTAGATTCTCCACAGAAAAAAAACTGTTTTGTGTGTAAATAGGATAAAATTTTATTTTAAAGGCAATTGATGCTTGTCTTTGTCATCTAAGACAATTGTTAAAAGATTCTTTCATTTTTTTTATTGCATTGTATGTGGGACTTAGACAAATAATTTTTTAAAAAAAAGAGTACCTTTAATGATACTTTGTATTTGTTTCAACAGTTACATGTTGCTTTCGAAGGTGTGTTTAGATCTTCAGTTAATCATGTAATCAATTCATAATTTTTTCTAATAAATTTCTTTTCTTATTTCTACTTTTTAAAACATCTTATCTTCAAAAAATTAATGTTTATTAACCACCAAATAGTTAATTTTAAAATGTCATGTTTTTTTCATTTCCAGTTTTTATACTTTTTTTTAAGTAGAATAGGCGTTTAAAGGTACGCCAGTATATTCAAAATTATTTTTATCTTTATTTGACCGAATTAAATAAGAAAGTTAATAAATAGAAGCTTATAAAATTAAACTGTTTCTTTGTAGGTTGATGAACTTAAATGATAGTACTATTTCCTCACATACAATGAATTTGCTGTGTGCTTATCAAAAATTATGTTGTCTTTCAATAATTTAACTTTTAAAAAGCAAACTACAGGTTTTAATTTCATTATTATTTTTGTGAGTATGTGTATTGAATGTTTCCATGCTTAATGTGTAAGAAAAATAAAACTTTATTTTACAAGTTCTTTCCTGTGAAGTGAAAATATTCATATGATACATATATATTTAAATATATTTCAAATTGTACAGAATTAAGGTAGTACAGGGTATTATAGCAGTGTGTTTGTTCCACACGGTGTAGCTGTTACTTTTACTCAGTAACTGAGAAATGTGATTTCACAAGGTGCTTGTTTCCCTTTGTAAGGGTCCGAAATATGAAATTGTTTGAAATATATAATAACAGTGCATTTCAAAATAACTTGACATTTTACTTGCTACTCCTTGTTATAAATTCAGAAAAACTGCTTTTCTGAACTTGTCTGTAACTGTTTCTTGTATGTGCCGAAGATTATCATCTTTTACTGCATTTTTTTTCTTAAATTTTGTGTTCAGATGATTATCATGCATGATGAAGTAGCAGCTTTTATTATATCAATAAATTGAAACAATCTGTTTCTGTTCTGTTCACAAATACACATCCCTGTTTTCAAATAGCTTTACAAAGGAAAATAAAGCCATGCTTCATATTGTAATTGTTTATTATTTTTTCTTAAGTTGTTTGGCCGTTATAGAAATAGAATTTATTTTTTAAAAAACTTTTGGGTAGTCATATTTTATAAATATACTCAAAACTGCATCCTAATCATATTTATCAAAGTTTAAAATCTAATTTATCTATTATATTTCAAAGAAAGGCATTCATGAGTAATATCCCAACTATTTTCTCTTTGAGAAACTTTTCAAATTTTTAAAAATATTAATGAAGCTCTTGTATAATCTTAAGTTAATGTAGTAGAAAAAAAACGTTAATAGATATTTGTTTTTTAAGTTTCACAATAGTTCAAAATAAGCAAGAAATTTTTTTTAAAGATGTACAAACTGTTATAAAATTTGAAGAGTAGCAACAAAAAAAAAATTTAATAGGGAATTCATTCTAAGGAACCAACTTGTTTTAGATAATCTTGACATCGATAGGAAGACAGCCACTACTCTCATCAGACTAAGAACAAAACATCATAAAAACATGAAAATTTCTACAGATAAGACTAGAAAATATCAANTAGATATTTGTTTTTTAAGTTTCACAATAGTTCAAAATAAGCAAGAAATTTTTTTTTTTAAAAAAAAGTACTAACTGTTATAAAATTTGAAGAGTAGCAACAAAAAAAAAAAAATTAATAGGAAATTCATTCTAATGAACCAACTTGTTTTAGATAACAAAAAATAAATCCAAGTAGAGTTAATGTATTGATTTAATGTTCAAAGCTAAATAATGTGAAAAGAATTTAAATAAAACGTTATTTCTGCACTTTTGCATGTTTAACTTTATTCATTGGAAAGGCAGTTACCAAAGCAGGAGAACCATCCCCTCCAGTGGAGGGCCTCCACAAAGCATTGTGATGGCATGCCTTGGATCATCTACTAGGATGTTTCCCAGACCGTAACCTATTGGCGATCGAAATAGGCTACAGGTGGCGTAGAGTAGAACTTGTTACCTCTGGAAACACTTCGCATGCTGCACCATTAGCGTATGGAGAGTTATAGGAGAAGGAAGTATGTTAGTTTCTGTCTGGATTTTCTACATAAATAAAAACTTTTAAGTTAGGAAACTATATGGAACTAAAAACTACATTGAATATAGTTCTAAAAGTAAGTGTCGGTAGAATAAAATAAAAATATTTCTGATAATTAAATACGAAAAATATTAAGTTGAAGTTAATTTTCGTAGCACTAAAGCTGGAAAAATATTAAAAAAGGGGGAATATCGTAGTACATTCCTATACAACTTAGGAGGTGGAAGGGTCAAGACATGGAACCGGTCTTCTCCCCAGATGGAATATTCGAGCGTTGCGATCGTGAATAGCATATTGTGCAGCTTTAGTAAAATGGAAATAAAGTACAATAATGCACTAGGATGTGTTATTTTAAGGCTAAAGGCCCTTGCCCGTTATATCTTAACATAAGATTTTCCCTGGTCTGCTTTAGGTGTGAATGTCATAGTCAATTCCGACTAATATTTCTATAGTGTCTGATGGAAGGAGAAATATTTCTATAGTTTCTGATGTAAGGAGAAAAGTTGAAATTGAAGGAGGATCCGCTCGATCTAATCTTTTGTAAAGAGGGGTTGGGTTGATTTTGATTACTATTACAATAGATAATGCCTCCTAAAATATTTTTCTATGTGATATTTGCGTCAGTCTTCGTAGATTTGAATGAAGGTGTAAATATCTATCCCTCGACAAAGTGTGAAACCTGTTTTTCTTTGAAATTAGAGGAAGTCGAACCGAATATTTATGTTTTAGAAAGTCGGTGATGTAAAATGTTTACACAGAAAACGAAAAAGTGCAACGCCCTTTGTGTGTTGTCCATTTTATTTGCTTGCACATTTACGTATTCATAAAATAAGGGATATTTATTCACATCAAATTTCTCTCAGGTTCCACAGAAGAATAATCGTAAAATCTGTTCCCAGCAGAACACCGAAGTCAAGAACTATTAGTATCAGATGGTGACCACTTTGGTTTGATCAGCCTGCGAGGAGAGAAAGGAGGCGTATTGGTGATCAAAATGGGCTGCAGGTGGCGTAGAGCAGTACTCTCTACCAACGGCAACACTTCACATGATTTCCCCATTATAGCGTGTGGAGAGTCATAGAGGAAGGAAATACGTTAGTTTTTCTCTTGATTTTCATATAGATTAAGATCTTTTAAGTTGGAAAACTATATGGAACTCTAAGCTACATTAAACATATTTCTAAAGAAAAGCATCACAGAAATTTAAAAAAATATTTTTATTAAATAAAAAGGAAAAATATTAAGAAAAAGGAAATAATCGTAGTACATTCCTATACAACTGAAAAGAGGAGGAGAGGGACGAGAGAAAGGCCAAAGGCATGAAACCGATCTCTCCCCAGATGGCGTATTCGAGCGTTACGATCGCCAATCGTGTCTTGCAAATTTTTCTATCCTAAAGTGGTTGGCTTCGCACACAGTTCGTCGGGATTCCAAAAGCGGGTAACCATCCGCTCTAGGTCATGCCTTTAAATTATTCTCATGGATGTTTTTCAGACTGTCATTCGTATGCGAATCTAAATGTTTACATGTGAAAAATTAACCAATCACATCCTCATTTCAATTCCTGATTTTTATGCAGTGAAAATGGCTCCTTAAAAGTTCGTGAGTTCCAGCAAAAACAAAAGTGAAGGAGCGTTTACACTGCACACGGTTCACGCACTTCTGATTGTGTTCAAGGGAAAATGAGAATCTGCTTAGGGAAAAATATTTTCTCTCAAAAAATTGACCAATCAGTATCTTCATTTTTTCAACGGTGTTGGAAAATGTCCAGCTTCGACAATCTGTATAATTTCATGATTAACTATGACTGTGGTTTTTTAAAAAACTGTAACTGTACTTGTTGCTATGTAAACAAACAGCAGCGAGTAAAACAGTGAAATGCGATAATGCATCTGAAACTTTTCCTTTTCCTTGTAAACTATCAAAGAAATGAGGGGAACCTGCTTTGCTATTTAAGAAAAAATAAATAGAAAAAATGAACTTGATATCATCAAAAAGCAGAAATTTTTATATGGATATCCAACTGTAAAGATCTATAAATATTATGAATTACATGTTTCAATTATATGTTTGAATGAATTTGCAGTAATATTAAATTTCCTTTTTCAGGGATTTTGGCGAAGAATATGGTGGGAAACCTTTAGATATGGAAATAAATGCTTTTAAATATGCTATTTTTCAAGCACTTAAAAATATCTATGGTGATGTAAGATGAAAATCTTTTATAACTAAGTACTATTTTGATGTTATGGATTCTTAGATATTTATTTATTACCCGGATATGCAATAGCTTATCTTCTCAGTTATTGAAATGATTTAAATTGAAGACAAGATTACTTATAAATTTTTTTTAGATGTAATAGTTTTATATTTGTTCCATTATATATAAATATTGGTCGTGCAGTACATTTGAATTTGCGATAATTTGTATTGCAAATGAATGAAAACTATTTAAATCTGTGGAAACATTATTTGTCATGCTTAATAATTTTTTGACATAGCAAATACTTTTCCAAGTCTAACATAAATAGCCTTGAAAACCCTGAAATTTGTGTTTATTGGTCTTATCTGTTTTATTACTAATTTTAATCACAATATAACCTGTTTACTACAATCAGTTCAGTATCTTTTCTTTTACTTAATTTTAGTAAGTTACTTTTAATGTTGGCTTAATTAAAGAGGCTGAAAGTTGTTTTCCCAATAGGGTTTCAATTGACAATTTCTTTTTGTTCAGTTAAAATTAATGATTCATAAACTGTCCTTTCCATGCTATCCTTAATCATTATTAATTAAAATATTCTATTTATTTTGCTTGTTTTTTTCAAACTTTTTTGCTTGTTTATTTATTTGACAAATTAATGAATTCTACTGAATATTGATCATATTATTTATTGACAAATAGGTGTCAATGCCATTATCAGATAAACGATGTTCTGAGTTTTTCCAAAATTGAATTAATTAGCCGATTTTATTTAAAATTCCTACACAAATGAAAGCTAAAAATTTTTGTTTTTTTAAGTTATAAATGGATTATCAGTCCTTATATTATCATTATTTATTAACATAATTATATTATAAATTTTTTAATATTTATTAATTAATAAGAAAAAAAAGTTATTCGATTTATAAAATTTACAAATGTTTTATTTGAGTAAAAAAAAAAACATGTAATTTTTCTGAAATATTTTTCAATTTGATGAAAATCATGCAGACCCATTTATAATTCTGATTTTTGAAATATTTTTATGAATTTGGGTTTTTTTTTACATAAATTTTTATTTAATTTATTAATTTCTTTGGTGACAATTACAAATAATGGAGACAATAAAACATATGTATTGTATATATCTTTTGACCTATTTATGGATTTATATTATTAGCAATTCATAATAGTACCATTCAGAAGAACTGATGTTCGATCCCCAGTGGCACCTTGAAGCCCATCCAGCTTATCTGGAAAACAAAGACAGTCTGTGCACGATGCTGATCATAATAATAAAATGCCACGATAATTTTATTGTTCACGAAATTATGGCGCTTTATTTTTCACAATTCATAATTAAATGCATGCAGTTAAATTTGTGCATTATACATTTTTCAGCCTTTTTGGAGAATTACAAAATTCAAATTTTTCTTTTTGGGCATAATCAACTAAACTCTTAATTTTGTGAATAATCAAAAGTTGATGCAGCATAAATTTAATTTTCATGGGATTTACTGCAAACTTTTTTGAATATATATTTAGAAATTTGTGTTACTAAATTTGACATATCTGCTCTAAAATGTGTGTTTCACAAATCAACTTAAATTACTGCATTAAAAACTTATCACACCTTTTATTCTTGATTAAAAATAGTAAAAAAAAAATTTTTTTTTGTATCAATTAATAATAATTTCAAAATGAAATAATTTAATAGAGGATTTCAGAATGCAACATAATATAAATCAAATTTGGAGTTCAGGTAAAATTATAATTTACATTTACAGCACTCTTATTCCAAGATACCTTATATTTCACCCATTTAAATCTTTTCTTATAGGAATTTGCTGAATTTTTAAACAAGCTTTCATTACTTATAGTATTGTTTATGTTTATTTTAAATTATTTGTGAGTCTAAAATTTCTTCTTTGAGTATAAAAAGTCTTTATAAAATATTGGCTAATGCATAAAAAACAATGTAAAATGTTTTTTTTTCCCCATTGTACATACAATAAACCATATTCGAGTATTCCAGATGCAAGAAGTTTAAGTGTTAGCCTGACTTAAATTTGCACAAAAAGGTTATGTTTTTCAAATTTAATTAGCTTTTCATTTAATTTTAGAAAAGAATACAAAACTAAATATTCATTATTTACAATTAAAATAACAAAAAATTCTATAACTTTCGCATTTCACTTTTGAATTTTTTTTTCAGATGGGGTGCATCATATCAGTAGACATTTTAAAATATAGAGAAGAAGACAGAAGAGCTTTTATAAGAGTTCCTTCAAGGTTAGTCTGCAACCTGCTGTTTCTAAATGTTAAATCGTTTTATATAATAATAAAAGTAATAAAGTTACAAATTTTTGTAATGATTTAAATTTCATGTACAGGTGTGCCTGCAACTCTAAAAAATTCTAAGACTGAACTTACTTTTAGACTGATTAACACGGTCTAGCATTGTTCAACAGAATTTTCAAGAATTTATTGTTCAATGACTGCAAAAAAACAATTTTCCATGAGAAAGGCCCATATTTTTTATCAGTGAATCTTATCGTTTTTTACACTATTTGCTGAATAATAAACAAATATTTTTTTCTTAAAATGATTCATATCTCTACTTATTTTTAACTTTTCATCATCAATTTTTAGTCCTAAATAATCTCGAATCGAGCATTTTATTTTAATTCTTAGAGCATTTCTGAATATCAAGGGGGGAAAAAACTCAAGCAGATTGAATACGACAAAAATTTTGAAGTTGTAGCATGGAATTAAGCGATTATTTTTCACAAAAAAATGATAGTAGCACTTTCGCATTTTGATTGTAAATTTTAACAAACCAAGGTAAAAAAAACTGGTCCTTCACAAGTGTTATACTGTGAAGATTGGCCATGCTGGAAAAAACCGCACAACAAAGAAAATCAAAGTGAAGAAAACAGAAAACTAGTGAGTACTCATTGATGAGGAGAAATTTTGAGAAAAAAACAAAATTTGAAACTGGGTGGACAAGGATTATTTTGAAATTAAAAGGATGTAAAAAATATTTGAGACATTTATGCATTTTTTTTATTTTTACCATTTCAACCGCTAAACTGCTTTTGAACATATTCAACTTAAAATTTGTTTTTCTCAGATTTAGTTTTCATAGACATATTCTGTCTAATTATTATTATAACAAAATATTTATAGTGTCAATATTGTTAAAGACATATATATATATTGTTATATATAATTATTACAAACTCAAATGGATTTTGAAAAATGAAATTTTCAGTTTGAGGCTTAGGACATTCTAATAAATTCTCTAAAACTTAATTCCTCCTGATTAAATTGAACAATCAAAGAGGCGATTTTTATGAATAAACTCTTGTTGAATACTATATCTAGGCTTCATAGTAGAGCAAAGAAAAAATCAGGACTTTTTTTCTGAAAGACTATGCATGTACATGTTTTTAAAAAAGGCAAACTAAAAAAAAGTATAATTTGCCCTACTTCAAAAAATAAAGACAAACTTTAGTGTCAAAGAATAAAAAACCTATTTTAATTTAAGGATTGCTGTTAGACAGAAAATTTTATCAATATCTAGTATAATTTTAATATAAAACATAGCAGCTCATTATAGTTTGAGATTAAAAATTTTTTCAACTTTTGTAGTTGGCATGCACAGCATTATGTAATTGTTATATATTTATATAAATGACTCCTATTGATCTATAATCGTGAAAATAATCGAAATTTCTTCTTGCAGTTCATAGAAAGAATTTCAGTTAACATAAACAGTATGCAACAATAAATTTGTGCAGAAATTTTAATGCAGAAACTATTAATAAGTGTTACAGTATTAAAATAATTCGTTTCATTGTTTAATAACAATTTTGATTTCTAACAAATGAGTTGAAATTGTGATTTTTTTTTTTGTCTTGAATTTGTATAAAATATTTTTGAAGGTAGTTAAAATTAAACTTTGCAAATAAAATATTTTTGAAGGTAGTTAAAATTAAACTTTGCAAATATTGTTAATATATACCTGTTAATATATGCCTGTTAATATATACCAACTTTGCCTGTTAATATATACCAACTTTTTTAAAAATTCAGAGGTATATTTGCATCAATACAAATCTACCCTCTTCAAAATTTTCTGGTTTAAATTATCAAAATGTAAACAAAGTTGTAAATACAAACAATTTGTGATTTGTCATTACAGGGACATTGTGAAACTCTGGAGCTCTTTAACACTATTTTCTAAATATAATGGATTGGACTGCATGTTTAGAGTATATAAGGTTATTATGTAAATTTATATCCAAATTTTATAGCTATATAACCAATACAACCTTACACTGATACTTTTTTTTCTTTTACAGGTCACACCAGTTTTGGCTTGTTTAAATTTAAACAGCAATCTCTATAAACATACAAAGAAAGAAAAGTGTTCATGATAATTGTCAGAAGCAAATAATTGAAAATACATTTTGATTAAAACTTTAATGTCGCACAATCTCTTGAAATTATTATTTATCACTGAATGTTTAAAGATTCAACCATCACATAAAAACAACAAAATTGTAAAATACATTAAAAGTAACCATCACAGCAAATATATTTAAAAAGAAAAGTCTTTGGATAATTAAAAAAAATAGCTGCATACAAATTTAATGTTCAGGATTCAAAATGATTTAAATTGGAAGAAAAGAAGCGCCATCACAGATAAATTTTTTTCCTCTTCAACCCAAAGCAGAGGAACATATGACTGCAACGCCTCTTTCATAAAAACTATGCTCCTTTTCTTGTGCAGCAACAGGTAAGTTGACGGTAAAGAGTAGTTCACTGCGAGTGGTGTTCAAGTAAACCGGCAATGTCACCTAAAAAGAAACAAATATTCAATAATCATGGTTGAATCGGAAAAAAAATTAACCCCTTTTTCAGACATAAGTACTTATGCCAATTTACAAATTATATATATGTGTTTATTGCAGTATTTTTGTTTCTTTTTCAATATTTTTTTTCTTATTTCGAAACAATAAACACAGGTAATTTTTATTTGCTATAAAAATTTATTTTTCTATTAAAAGTTGCTTAGAAAGTAATCATTAGATAGACTGGTCACATTGGGTGCAGTTTAAAATGGTGAAAAATATAATTATGCGTTAAAATTAACACCATCATGATTCTTTTGTACCATAGTTAGAAAGAATTATGTAAATCCTTGCATGAAATTTAGAATTAATAATAATATGGCAATTATAAATTCATTTAACTGCATACAGCACAAGAAAGAGCTAAAGATGCTTTTTCTTTTCACAATAGCTCTGAAAATGTTTGAATTTTTTACCGTCTGTAAAAATAATTGCAATAAACAGAAAATATTCTATTAAAGCAGTATTGTTATTGCTGCACACACTGTAAACAGGCACATTTATATTAAAATAAACCAGGATAAAAAGAACTCAGTTTTAAATAAATTTCTCACCAATTCTTTTATTAAAACTTAGAATCTCAAGTTAAGTATGGACAAGTTAAATCCAATTTAAAATGTCAAATTAAGATTTTAGTGAACATGGAGCCTTATCAGTTTTAAAAGTTTTCTGTTCTACAATTCAAATTATTGTTATTTATAATAAGTGTTTATTTTAAACTTACATGTTTGATAATTCATTTTAATGTTTTATACAAATGATAAATATGAAATGCTTTTTTTTTAAGTGTAAAATTATTTATTAAAATAATATGTTAAGAATCATTGATGCAATTTCATAACAATAACAAACTATTATTAATTAGAAACAAGTAAAAAATATCAATAAAAACTAGATAATTTTATGTATAATGCAATTAAAATTATTATATAATGACACATTCATTAATTAACGAATAAAATATGTCATCCTAAAGCTATAAATCATACTATACCTCTGGTAATGCTGATTTTGTTTCAGTTTTTCTAAAAAAAAGGAAATTTTTATAATTATTACTTTAGAAAAATGATAAGAACACAAATTTAAAATGTAACATTCTTTGTCATTTTCAACTTACTTTATCCATCGTATTGTTGTCAAGGGCAAATCAGTAGAAATAGTGAGAGTTAAATGTAGTTTGCTATCAAAGCATTCTGCTCCTTGGAGTTTCAATCCTAATAAATATTTCTATGAATTAGTTTATGTAAATTAAATTGAAGCAAAAATATAAAATGTTAAGATGATTTATTACTAAATTTTATATTTATCACTAAGCTCAACAATTCAAGTAGAATCAATAATTCATTGGAATATTTAAAATAATCAAAGACAAGTTTATAAAATTATGTGATTATTCTATAAAAATTGATGCAAATTTCCACCAGAAATCAGTTTTTGATGCTTAATATATAAGTGCCAGAAATTCGGATTTCTCCCATGTACAAACGCTGGTTTAAAAGGGCAGTGTACAAAAGGAGAAAGCATAACAAAGACCTAAAGTTTAAGGTAATTCTACAATTAAGTTTAAATTTAATTCACAGTCAAATTTTAAAGAAAATTTATGATTTCATCTAGTGGCACATATTAACATACCTCATTGCAAAAGTTTTCAACAAATACGTAATAATATTTTTTAAAAATCAAAATGACAACTTTTTTTAATGATGTTTCGATGTTTACAAATAAAAATGACTATAAAGTTCAAATAAGATGGTTACTTGTTAAATGGCACTTATATTTTACTGTGAAAATTTTTCAAAAAAACAAATTGAGTGTTTAGTTGCATGTTCAAAAAAGTAAGACAGAAGTACTTAAATAATTTTTTTTAAGGATGGTTAAATAAGTATTAAGTATTTTCCTATCTTTTTATGAAATATTTGAGTCACAAAATAATATTTTCTTACATAGTATATGCAGGACTGTTCAATAGTTTTTTTTTATTTTATAAATTTATAGTTAAAAATACTTTCTTCTAAAATTCAATTACAAAAGTTATTATAGAGTTAATTTTATTTAAAAGTATATTGCATAATTAGTGCATATAATATAAAGATTGATATAATTCAGAATCAGTAGCTGTTAATTTGATTGTTCCCACTTTTTGAGCTGGGCTCAAAAGCAAGATGGCAATATGCTATCAGCTCAAGTAGAAACACCACTTCAGTCAGTATAAACTTTTAAATAGATCAAAGTACTTGTCCTAATATTTTAAAATTTTAAAAAAAAAACCTCAATTTTATTAAAAGAGGAAGTATGGAACAGGAAAAATTATATAGCATTCCAAAATTGAAAAAAAGGGCAATTTTTTATTAAAATGATAGATGTAAAGAAAAGAGATGTAAACAAATCTTGGAATATGCATACCAAAACAAAATTTTTTTTTCTCTTCATAAAATAAGTAGATTTCTATTTTTAATAGTTTTCTGATTTTAAATCAGAATATTCCAAATTCTTAGTAAGAGTTTCTGATGTACAAACCAATTTCTAATGACAACACATACGGATCCACTTAATCACGTATGATTCAGTATTTATATAAAGTTAAACCTGCTAAAAATAAAGTTTTCAATAATTACCTGTAACACCAAAGCTGCATTCATCAAGATCTGCTGGTTTTTCATCTTTATTTGCTATTTTAACCTGCAAAGCATAATTATTAGTCGATTCAAATATAAGAATACAACAAAGTAAAGTAAGTAACAAATATAATTAATATGTTACCTCCATTGCTAATTCTTCAAGGGACCAGCCATTTGCTTGTGCAACATACTGACGAGTAGCAGTTATATAAGCTTCAGGATTAAACAAACCACCTAGCCACACATGTAAGTTCTGAAAATTAAGAATAATGAACGAATAAATCAATTATATTTTTTTACCATTTGGATAACTTGTATGAACAGTCTTTTATTGAAATTAATACAAGTATAGCAGTTTTAAAATTGCGGCAAGCGAACTCAATTTGTCAAGATTAGGGTAGCAAAAGAGAATAATGGAATTGGTGAGAGGCTTCCCAGGGGTTCAAAATAAAAATCAGTACTTTATACAAAAAAATTAGGACTTTTTTTGGTTTAATGCATTACACTAGACTATTTTTAAGAGAAGAACCAAAGGCCTGAAAAACTAATACAATCAACTGCTCTGAAAATTTTGTTTCATGTAGCATATTCCCTTAATTCTCCATAACAGAGAGAGTAAATGCATACAAAAATAAATGTGATAGAAATATATAATACATTGTAATCTGGAAACAGCAATCAAAATAATATTAAATCATAACTTAAAGTAAACAGATATTTAAAAGTTCTTTTGATTTTGCAATAAATGAAATAAACATATAAGAAATAAAAAACAATGCTTTCACTGTAATTAGATGTACAGGAGAAAACAATTTAACTCTAAAAAATAATCACGAGTTTATTTTTTTACATAATTTTTCAATCAGCAATTTGGCATATTTAGAAAAAAAATTACATGCTGAGTTTCTTTTTCATAAGATGACCAAAAAACTGAAAAAAGTCAATACTAAATTATTAGTAAACAGTCTCTAAATTCAAACTATCATGTATTTGCAGTTTTAAAAGATTATTGGATAAAATAAAAATATGATATAAGCACTTCGAAACGACTAAGTTTTAAGTACCAAAACTATGCTATCGAAAATTAGCAAATAACCACTACATTTAAACTATTTTTACAACTTATTGAAATAAAATAATAATCGCCAATAACTGCAATTTTAAAATAGAGTACAATACGACTTTACTACTTTATATTTTTAGACAGTGAAAACATTTAGTAAAAACTAGAAATTTTTATTTTAATTAAAAACAATGCAAAATTAAAGGCATTGAGGAAAAAAAATGTTCGTCACTCAAATGGAAGAGTGTCTCACTCATAGTCAAGTTTCTCTTTGAGAAAAAATTCTCTGTAATGATGAAAGAAAATATCTAAGTAAAAACCAAACATTTAAACCCCTCAGCATCTTTGATTATCATAAATCAATTTATGTACGAATAACCAGATCAGACATAAACTTATATAATAAATAAAATTACAATATTTTCTAGAATAGAAGCCACAAAAGGATACTCACAATAGTATTTAATTTTAATATAAGGCATATTTTGGAATTCAGCAAATACATATTTAACTACATTAACTTATACCTGGCAGATACTCGTCCAATATTTAACCAGTCAAGGAATAACACAATATTACACAAAGCTATGTAAAATTATTTATAAACTGATTCAGCTATTTATTTATAAATATTTATCTTTTCCTTTTGATTGTTGGCAAAATTTTCTATAAAACGGGTTTTATAGGCCTTTTGTTTAAAAAAAATACATATCTACAACTCTGAGATTTTGCAAAGAAATTAAAAGATACCTTGCAAGGTAAAGATATCTTGTTGATGCATTCCTTGCTAATTTTAAAGAGAAAATTTTGTTTTATGTCTTTTTGGTAAAAGTAATTTTTGACTTTCTGCCAATCATAGACTGTCAATACTATGTTGGACCTAAATAATGCTTAGGCTTAAGAGCTCACGCACGAAGGAGTAATGTTTGCAATTCTTGTAAGAATGAAGGTCGAGATACAATTTTTTTTGTCATCAGGCATTACTTCGAAAACATCAAATTTGACATGATTGACACCTTAAAATACAAAAGGTGTCCTTTTTAATGCATAAATAATAAGAATTAAATTCAATTACACAGAGAGTAAGAATTAAATACAGAGGCTAAAGTTTATGACCCTGAAAATGACATTTCCATTACTATGACAAAATGAATCAAACAAGAACTACACAGAAATAATAAAACTATTGAAATGCACTTAAATAAACAGGGTGCGTAGCCAAATCTTTCAACAAAACATAAGCACCTTTTAAGTACTTAAAATTATTTTTAAGCACTATATACATTAACAAAACGCAAAATAATTTTTAAAGACTTTACATGATCATGATAAAATAACTAGTTTCTGAGTAAGAACTCTTTCTTGATTACATTAGCCACCATCAAAACATAGACAGATTTTTCGATTTGATTTCAGCGGGAAGAGAATGAAGCCTGAAAATAAAAATCTCTTGCAAAATACAGCAGACTTGCACATGATAGTGCAAGAATAATTCCCACCGAATCCAGGACAGTATATTCACATGCGGACCCACAAGTATTTCATCAAACATGTAAAATGATTAGCGCTTTCATACGCTACGAAACGATGGTACGCCGAAAAGTGCTTGAATGATTTGTGAAAACGTTGAATAGAAGAAGTGAAAACCACGCTTTTGCAGAATACGTGGAGAAAATCGACATGGTAAAGATAAAAAATATCATTTTCAATAAGGGAAAATTAAGCACCTTTAAACACTTTTTAAAAACACTATGCACCCTGTTAAATTAGGATTTATATAAAATACCTTTAAGGCTGCAGTCCCTCCTGATATCGAAGCAGTTGAAACTTTCTGTAATTGTTTGACTCTGTCAGAAAAGTCAGTAATCCACTGAATGACTGTACAACCAGATGGAACAGTGTAACAACGCCAGTGAGAGGGAAGAATACCTGCAAAACAATTTTAACATTTCATAAAAATTCTTATTTTATGTTCTTTTATGGCAATGAGACTTGAATTTAATTACAAATAAAAACTTGCCTAAAATTATGTGTTTTTCTTTTCTATTATTTATAAATGAGTTACTTTAATGAAGTGGAATATTCATTAAAATCTTGTATAGTGCAAAATTCGAACGAAATCAGTCAAATAGTTTCTGTGTTGCATAAATATAAAAAAATCCTATATTTAAAATTTGAATTACTTGACATACACAATTATCTGACGTTCCACCAATCATATCTGGGGCATTTGGTTACAGCTTCGTGAATTTTTTTCCCTCCTAATTGCTTTTATTTTACTCAAAAATAGAAACAGAATTTGTAAATTTTGTGATAAGGATGAAAAATAATCAAATATTCTATTCAGCATTGACACAATACATTTGGATCCATTTTAAAATTAAAAAAAAAACGATAAAAAAGCATAGGTTTTAATTACTGCCACTTTCACCAATTATTTTAATTCCTTAAGACCTTTCTTATGTATACAAATAAATTTTAAATTATCACATATGCAGTAATCTGACATTTTTTGCTATCACCTAATATTTATTGCTGCATAATAAATAAAAAATAGTTTAAAATATTTATTGTTTCTATCATTCTAAATATTTAAACATTATCAAATAACTTAATTTTGATTAAAAAAAATTTAAATCACAGTCAACATTATTTTGCAACGACTTTCGTTACGCGTATGAATAGATACAATTTAAAATTACTTAATAGAAAGTAATCTAAAATTTTTATCAACATCCAGTACTTATTACTGCATGTGATAAGCAGAAAATAGTTTTAAAATAAATTGTTACAATTTATATTATTCTATTTAAAATCTGTATTAAATAACTAAATTTACATATAATTAATTTAGATTTGATCAGAAAGAAATTGCTCAAAAGTTCTCACTTCTTTAATATATCTTTACAATTAAGCTCAAACAATTAAGTTCAACATTTTTAATTATCTAATTTAATTTTCAAAACTTTGAAGAAAAAAAACTAATAAACCTCTAATTAATAATTAATCTCTAATTTAAAGATATAATAATAATAGATCTTTAATCTAAACATTGAAATGGTTAGGGTTAGATGAAAATAAAAATTGTCTACCTTTTGCAAGATCACTAATCATTGAACGATGGAAGTTGGTTTGTTTTTTCTCCCCTTTACATATCATAATTGCATCTTCTAAGTCACGACGAACAGTTTGTAATAATTTTACAGCAGCATTCACCTGTAAATTAAATTAAAAAATAATAAAAATATTAGAAACCAAGAAAAGATTAATGCTTATAATAAAAGTAACATTTTATAAAACTACTATAAATTTGAATTTCATTGACATAAACCTTTGGGTAATCACACACATAGAAAATAACATTTCTATCTGCATTGTCCTCCACTTTTCAAAACTAGTTTTCTCATACAGGGTTCCCACTCTGTAATGAGATTGAAATTCAAGGACTTTCCAGGACTTTTCAAGGACCTCAACAAAATTTTCAAGGACCTTAATCTAAGACCAATTTTAAAAATTATTCTCTTCTATTNGTGGTAAAATGTTCTATTAGAGTTATCCATTTGCATCAGAGGGCTTAAAACCAGTAATAGTTATAAATAACAAAGCTGCCGAAAATAATAATTTATTAAAAGCTTTTTCAAAGCATTGATACACTTTTTAGTATTACTTAGTATTATCGAAAAACAATACTCATACCTGCCAACATTGTAATCTGCATGACCTTACAATTCTGAGCTAGTGTTTTACTTGACATAGTGTTATCAGAGGACATTTTTACACAAAATTAAGAACAATCCACTACTAAATTTAGAAAACCTTTGAAAATACACTAGTCAATTCTGTACATAATTTTTTTTAAAATTTAATTTTGAAAAGAATTACAGAAGACCCTTTTTTAAATCTTCACTAACTCTATTTTATTATACAAAAATAAATTACACAATAATACAACTTTAACATTGTGCATCTAAATTCGGCACTGCAAGCAGCAATACCTAGATTTTACTGGCTTTTGTGTCGAAGAAAGACACAACTATAAAATAAAGATGCGCAGCTGTATGGTTGCTGCCATGAGTAGCTACAGCATACATTTGTTTCTGAAGAGATTGAAGCATTTTTAATGTCTGCTGTTTTTGACACAATAGCAGTGGTTTTTGTTCATCCTGCACCATATTTTTTTTTGCAACATCACTTTTAGGAAACATTTTCCCCAAATAATGGGCCTGCTAGATCTGTGACACTAATAGGTAGATTGTGCTCTACAATGAACGACGAAAAATATAGTTCGACCTTATACTTATGCCTGTACATTGACAATCCCAACAAACCATTAAGCTTTATATATAAGTCATGATAAAAGAGATAACTAATAATAAATTTTAGAAATTTAATTTCTTCTTAAGTTTTGATTGTCAGAAATTCTACCAAAAGTCTAAAGAATCTCATGCCTGATGATAAATGTATTTGTAGAAAAAAGTTTATCACCTCTCTTTCGAAATATCTGTACATAGGATCTTTGATGTTTTCTACGGTTCTTTTCAGAGACGGCAAATTCTGTGGAACCAGTCGCAGCCATGTTGCAGTAGAGTTGTGAAGAGTTATCATCCAGGCTGGTCGTCCGTCAGCTTTTCGTGTTGCTTCTGATTCATCAGCAGAATAGACAACCTCATCATCATCCTCCAGAAGTTGCATCTTCAAAAGCTTGGCTATTAACTGAGTCCCTTAAATAGATTTCAAAAGAAATAGTGTCAAATTTCAAGAATGAAATATATTCCTCTGGATATTTTTTTTAGTTAAAAATATAAATTTTAAAGTAAAAGATCAAGCAAAATTCATTATATTTTTAGCCAGAATGGGTACCTGTTGAACAACAAAATATGTTTATTATCATCTTCATAGTTTTTTGAAGTAAATTAAGTTTCTAAATAAAATATTTTACAAGTACTTATATTTTACAAATCCTTCCTTAGAGACAGAAACATAAATATTGAAATTAGAGAAGCATGAATATTTCATTGAAGAATAGAAGTATTATTCGGTTGTTCAGAAAGTAATTATGTTTTTATTTCCCAACAGAGGACGTAATTATATTATTTCATAACCAATTTTACATTTATCCCACAAAATCATTTTTAACAGCTGATAGCAATGCTTGTTTGTGAAAAAGTTAAATTGATTCTATACAGTTTTTAGTTGGAGCTTTTTCGAATATGGAAAGTGAAAAGCAGCAATTTCGTCATATTCCACTTACTATCGAATTGACAAAAGAAAGTTCAAGCAAGTAAAATTATCCAATGTGTATGGAGAAGATTTTACAAAAGATATGGAGAAGATACAAATTTACAAATATGGAAACATGTTACTGCCAGAACAATGGCAAAAGGTATTGGAACAGAATGGACAATATATAATTCAATGAAATATTTATTTACTTTAAGAGAATAGTGTTTCATTTTCATAAAAAAAAATATTACTTTCTGAACCCAATAAAAATATTATTATAAACTAAAAGATACAAATCAATTGAATTGAACAGCTACCTCCAGTGAGTAATAACATTTTTTCTGCATTATTTGGTAATCCTAACCAAGAAGGTGACTGTCGTTCTGAGAGATTCTCTATCCAATGTAAGAATTGGTCCCGTCTGGAAAAAAAATTTAATATTTCACAATAAAATGTTTTATACATTTTGATTTATATAATAATAAGATATTAGGATTTTGTGATGTGAATTCTTATTAATGTGTGGGTATAAACATAAAATATTTTAATAAATTTAACATTACATTTTTTAAGGTGATTAACAAGGAATGAAAGTGGAAAAACGCAAGACTCAAACTATAAATTTTACCCAGGTTTCACAAAGAAAAAAAAATAGAGAAGCTTTAAAGGCATAGACATTATAGTTACTATGCATACACTATTATTTTTAGGGAAACTTCTGAGAATATTTTGAAATCCTGACTGAATATTTAACATGTAGGAGTTTTTTTTTCTTTCTTGTAAAATGTGTTTCAAATAAAATTACCATAGTTTTCTCAGAGTTTGTGGTTATATGAAATAAATAGGTATATGAATTTGACAAACCATTCAGACTCAAAATTTGTTTAAAAGTTTTGCTCAGAATTTCTACAGATTCACCTCAAATTAATACTACGTCTGTTAATGTTTTGTTATAGTTCATATATATTTTTCATGAACATAGTGATTGGCAAATAGTCTGACAAGTACCTTTAGAACTGATATTTCATGCCCTACCATACAATAATACAGCTGATATAAATTGTTTCGACTGCGCAAGCAAAAAGACTATCAAATGCTGAAAATTTTACCTTATTCCTTCAGGCATTGTGACATTCTTGCTGTCTATGCCATCTACACCAGTGACCAATGGGAAATCAGGTTCAAAACTTTGGGCTGTAAATAACTTGCTGAGGAAAGAGTTCAGCAAACGCTAAAACAGATTTGATTATGTTAGTTCAGTCAAATAAAAGTATGCATTATTTCCTCAAACTTAAAAAACACATTTAAGTACCTGATCAAATTCATTGTCGATTTTTCCACCATATATGCACTGACTCAGAAGAGTGCAGATAGCATCCCATGGCACTTTTTCAGGAGGAAGATTGGTTCTTCCCTAAATTTAAATTAAAAAAATAAATACTATTAAAAAGAAAAAGTTATAAAAATAGTAATCAAAGAGTAAGTAGGAGCTTAATGCTTGGTTAAAATTAATAGGCCAAAGTAAGCAATATCAAAAATTAAATTTTAGCATTACTGTTAAATAATCTCTTTGGAAAGATATTTAACGAGTATTACTAGTAACTAAAAATTAAATAAAATACAAATTTGTACCTCTTGCTTGACAGATTCATATTTTAAACTGAATTATCTACCTTAACTTGTGAAGGATAGTTCATAACATTAAAAGGTACTAATTTATTAATTTAGAATTAAATTTTCTTAAATTGTTAGTAATCTGTAATATATATATTTAGCTTAAACACCAAATGTTTACAGAGTTCGTTTCGATTGATTAAAATTCAATAAATACATGTATATATAGATATATGATGTTGTTCCTAGTCGAGCAAAATTTCCAGATAAGTCAGGCCATATATTAAAACATACTTTATTGACTCATTTCAATAGTATTGAAGAAAAGTAGGTTCTGGAGAAATCCAATGAAAATCTTAAATGATTTTTATAGTAGAGACTTTCAGGGAAAATATTGCAAGATCCTGATAATCATTAATCATTATCATTGATAATCACTATCATTATGAATTTTAGAAGATTGAGGAATTCCATGAAAATTTCGTGAGATAAGTTTTTAATTAGTCAAAGTCTGAGAACCAATACTCTTAAGAACTGCAAAATTCTGCGATATTCCCAGAAACCTCATATGCCTACTCTTAATTTTTAGACCCGGAAGGATAATACAAAAAACCCGTAATACAATCACCCCTGTATATTATATACACATATAATTACCATAGCAACAGTTTCTATCCAAGTATCAAGAGTATCACAGGCAACTCTCAAATCAGACTCATTGAATTCATAACGCTTTGACCATCCAAGTGGTGCATAGCGAAGCCTCTCTTGAACAACAGCATGGAACCAAGCAAGCAAGAAATAAAGACGAGCACGTTCTCCTGGAGCCTGCAACACAAGTAATTTTTAGATATATATTTTTCACTTTTATGAAATTTTTAAAGAGATATAAAACTAAAGTAAGTTAATATATCATACTTTCATCATTCTCTGAGCTGGTACAGCACTGAAAGTGCGTAACAAGTTGGCCTTTATTCCTGGAGGGGGCTCAAAAACAAAGATTCGTCCAGCACGCAGGAGATTCACTGGAACTTTAGGGTGTATTTCCAGGGTTAGGAAAAGGCGGAAAGATGCATGAGGTTTCAGAGTGTGGAGTTTTTTTTCAAGTTGCACTAGCCATTGAGGGGCAAGGTGAACATTTTTTAACATTACCCATCTACATTAAGGAATAGAAATTAGAGATAAAAAATCAAACTAAACTAAAAGTAAACCATAACATATAGGTAAAACAAATGTGAGTTTAAAAAAATTTTTGAACACAAACATAACAAGGTGGACACAAACATTAAGAAAAAAAAATTCCCTAAATTTTCCGGACTGATTTTATCAAATTTCTGATATTTTTACGACTGATGACATAAATTTTATAGCTTACTTTTCAATTAGACTTTTTACTCGCATGCATAAAATATGTATAAAACACTAACTTGCTATTAGAGTTGGAAAAAAAAATACACCGCTGAATAGTTTGGAAAAAATACTCAAATTAATTCATTTAGCCTGATTTTTGTGTATTTGAGTAAAATTTCTAGACATTTCCCTAATTTCTTTCAGAATGATAAAATTCTCTGAGTTTTCCTTGTCCTTCCTGTTCTGCCACCATCCTGCATAATGCATATGAAAAATACAATAAACTATATTCAATAACTTGAATATAGCACATTTAATATGAACAGATTAAGTTCATTACATAAGTTGCCTAAATTGGGCTTAGTATGTTGTTTGCATGAATGATAGTAACATATTTTTAGCTGGATCAAGTAACAACAAATGGGGAGAAAAACCTTATCTTCGATGAATAGATGTAGAAGTAGAGAAATGTCTTCCGAAATAAAAATATACATACCTTCCAGTTTTTGATGCTGAATTGATAGCTTTTTCTGCTTGACTGAAACCTTCAGCTGAACCCATAGCAATGGAGGTAATGCTTTTGCCAAGCTCTGCGGATAAATCGTCCACTCTACCACTGGCATCATAACCGGGTACAGAACACATAAGGACAGGGGTATTAGACTTCACCTGCAAATAAAGCAAAGTACACTCCTGTTTTTATTGCTGTTAAATGTGTAATGAAATAATACATTTCATTAGTTTGGAATGAAGAAAGTGTGGCACAAAGAGTTCTCATAGGCACAATAGATATCTCTCACAGAAGAAAACCCACTCTGAGAAGATTTCTATCAATCCATGCGAAAGATACTTTTTTTAAAATATTTTAAAATTGCAATTTTAATCAAGTTTAAATAATAGCATAAATTTCTAAGCTATTTATTTTTTAATGCCATACATTAATACAATCCAACCTTGTTTACGTGAAATTGGCGAGACTATCATAATTTTTTCGTGTAAACCAGATTTTATCTTATCTGATACATCATGAAAAAATTAATACATAAATTATTAATTAATACATATTATGTTATTTATATTATGTATGTAAACAACACTATTGTGTACTAAACAAATAAAAATAAGCTTAAAATTTTTTATAACTTTAATTAACAATTTTAATTAATAAACAAAGGTGGAAAGTAGAAATAACATTCCTCAAAATGAATAATTGACACTTTATTCACATGCTGCTTATCTGTGCTGTTTTCAGTTTCCTTTCATGTTAAGCGCTAATCTGCTTGAAAATTTCATGCTAAACATGTAAAATACAATAATAATTAATTTTTGACTCATGGGACCAAACACACATTTCGTTTAAAGCAATATTTCACTTTAAACGATTTCATATTAATGAGGTTCGACTGTATTGAAAATCTTTAAAATATACATAAACATTGAAAAACAATTGGAGGAGAAAAAGCATATCGAAGTAATATATGCAATAGCATTCAGAATTAAATATGTAAACATAATAACACTATTTGTGTGCATTTATTAACTGTGTGTTAAAAACAAAATCTGTAGTAACTAAAAATAATATAAGTACATATTTTTTATCCTATTATTATAAGTGTACTTATTTATTGAAAAAACATAAAATTTAATAAAAATATATTATAATGGATAGTATATAGGTTTGAAAATTTTTAATAATATGAAAAGTTTTTTTAAAATTATTGTGAAAAATGCTTAATTTCCATTTTCACAATACTAAAAGTATCATTGGTTGTTTTTAAATTTCTCTGGATTTTTCCTGGGAAAAAAAACTTTTCTTCCAGGAGAAAAACCAAACTTTCAATTAATGGAAGTCAAATAAAAATTGAAACATTTTCATAATTTCTAACCAGAATTTAAGTAAGAAATTAAAAAAACATAATTTCTGATAAAATAAATAAATAAAATTTTCAGCATATTTGATAATATATGTGCATCTAACTAGTTCTATGCCTTTTAGCCCTCGTTCAAAGAGCACTCACTTCATTTTCAACAACTGTTCCCAAATCTAATTCAACTTCTGCTTCAGATAAGAAATTTTGGCCCAAAACAGAAGACACCACTTGATAAGCCTTGGCAATAACTCTGTCCGGCCTGAAAGCTTGTGTCACTAACAGTTCATGCATTGCTGTTCCAATTGATGTGAGGGGTTTATCATCACTCCACAAAGTGGGTACTTCTTGTTCAGGGATAGCACTTTCAATCCAAGTTTTGAAATTCTAAAAATAAATAACAAAACACATCCATTAATGAATGTTATAGGCAGAGATTTTGTTTTGCTTAGGTACAGTTACATTAATTTTGATAGCAAATAATACTAAAATTTACTAAAGTGATAAAATTATCATTATTATTTTCCCAGAAACTAAATCTTAAAATTAGATACAATTTAAATTTTTCTTTATTTAAAGATCTTAAAACTGCATTCTACTAAATAAAAACATCTATTTTTATAAAATTGTAAATACCGATTTACATTTACAGATTAAATAAAATCCATACATTTTGGTTTTATAATTAGTAAAAAATTATTAATTTATTCATCGTCAATAATTCTGAAAGTTTTTAATGATTGATTACAGTAAAAACAACTTAAATACAATCTAATGGCGCTTTAATGAATCTGGGATATAATGCACACTTGGTTGTAAAGAATCTTTAGTAGTCCCATCGGAACTGCTGCTTACCTAATCTTTTACGTACTTCTATAGTAAATAGTTAAGAAGTTTGCAGATTGTTTATGGTAGGCTCAAGTTTTGTGTTTGCAGGTATTTAAATAATTATAAAATTTTTAGTGAAGGTGATATGCAAGTGGTTTCAAAAACAGTCATATAAGAGCATGGTTTGGTTGGACAGAAATCCTAACCTTTAAATGCCCTTTAAAAAAAATGACGGAAATAAAAAGGATAATCATTTATAAAATTTCAAAATGGCAAAAATTTAAAAGCTAAAAGTTTAAGAAAATTCGTTATAGGGAGGCTACCACTTTATTATATGGAGAGTATTTAAATTATTTTTTAGCATTAAATTTTAGCTATAAAAAGAAATTTGCCACAAGGAAGCTGTTGAGAAACTATATATGCTGAGTTAGTTAATAATTCATAAAGCAAATTAAGAACTATTTCAATCACTATTTCCAACAATACTGCTGCAATGAGCTAACAAATATTTTTCAACCATATTTATATAGTGAACCACAGTGAACTTATTACTGGGTGCGTAGATGGTTCACTATAGTGGGATCTGAATAAATCTTTATTTAGCAGTGTTTTACCTCCAGATCATCCAATTTCCTTTGTAAGTTTTTAAAAGCTGGCAATTTGGAAAGAGCTGTGGCTCCTTCAAGTTGATCAGGATTCAATCCACCCATATGAATGGTTGGCTGTCCAGGCAAAATTCCTTCTCTTCCACGCAAGAAATGATTGAATTCATGTTCAAAATTTGGTTCACTAATTAAAGGCAAAAAACAGAGTTAGCTTAGAATTCATATATTATAATACAATAAACTAATATTATGATATTAATCGAATACTCATCTCAAATTTTAAGTTTTGTTTTAATAAGTGCAGTGGAAAAATCAATTTGTTCCAACAGAAAAATTCCTTGAAGAAAATTTCCTTAAATGGTGGCTAAGAGATTTTTTACAGATATTTAAGTATTTTTAGTCAAAATAAATTCATAATGACTTTTAACTGAAAAGAATTGCAGAATTTCCCTTCATAAAGAATATTTCTATGTGTTGGTATGCATTGCCGGCAGATCGATAACATGGGTAGTTCCAGAAACAAGCCTGAATAAGAGTAACTTATTTGCAAAGAAATACTAATTATTAATTGCAAATTTTCGTAATAAGTGACTGAAAAAATATATAACTCTGAAAACTTTTAAAAACTGGCAAAAATTTTAAAGATAAATCCAATGTCAAAAATAAGAAAAATTAAGAAGATGAAAGTATGAAAAAAAAAATTCATCATTTTAGGGAGAATATAAGGTATGTTCTTTACATTCCAGTGAAATTTTTTTTCCCCAATGCCCACCTGGAGAATGACCTTTCGTCATACAGGCATCTGAAGGGCAGATTTGTTGGCCACTCTTTCAGGAGCACCATATTAGGTGGGCAAACATCACCCCCACACTAAGGACAAATAGTACAGAGCATAAAAGAACATCCATGCTTTGACCAGGATTCGAATCCATAACCTTTATGATGCAAGGCCAGTTTTCTGACCCTTACACAGGCAGGTCGGCAGTTAAAAATTTTGTTATGAGGACAAATTCAATGTAAAGAGATTTCACCACAGAGAGTCCTTGTTTGACTACTGAATAACTATGTTTCATTTTTTGTGAAAAAAAAATCCAATTTTAAACTAATGTTTACTAAGTAAAAACAAAATAGAGGATAATAAATATTATTACAAACCATTTTTCTAACATTACATAAATATCTAATTTCCACAAAAAAATCAACTAATTTTTAAAAATTACATGATTATTCTTGGGTTAAAACAATTTTGCATCTTAAACCAGACAGATAAAACAAAGTTTATTACCTCGACAATCCTTTCAAATAAATTTTGCAGAGCAGTAAAGCAAATATCAGCCGATCTTCATGAAGAACTCCTCTAGTAACACGATTGTATACAGTCTGAATAAAAAATAAGTTCATAAAAATACTAGAAGTTTTAACTAAACTGTTTAAAGCATTTAGGAAGAACAAATGATTACCTGAAAAAGATCTGATGTTATGATGGAGAGTCTAGCATTGCTGTCAAGCATGCCCGTTAGGTGAGGATTGTTGGTTAAAACATCATTGTACATATCCAGGAAAAATTGAAGTGCATACTGGTATAGGAAATGAACCTATTCAGGCAAAATGTGAACATTGAAATAAAATCCGAAAATTCCAACAAAAAAAAAGTATGCAGATTCATATAAGAAATAAACCTAAAGGATGAAGTGTGAGAATTGAAGAGAAGTAAATTAAAAGTGCATTGTAAGATAGTATTGATAATGTTTCAATTAATATTATTTACATAACCAAGAGATGGCAATATGACCCTGTTTCTTTTTTGATGACATTCGTTTAAAAAAATGTAGATAATAGAAAGCAGGCAAGCAGTAAGTTTCTCTGTTTTACAATTTACATTTAGTATTTCACATTTTTATCACTTCTGTTAATAAATCTTAAATTTCCTTTTTAAGTGTTTCTTTTAAATAAATCATGAACACGCACAATATTAATGATACAAATTATTAGTTCCACTTTGGTCCTTACTTCTATGGCTCAATTCACGGACTTTGAAAATTGGAATGACTAATGCAAAATTTTATAGTAAAGTTTTAAAAAACTTTGTTTTTTTAAATTTATTTTCTAATAAATTTGTACAAATTCATATTAGTTTTCATTTGACTGCAAACACTAAATTCATTGTCATAACTAATTACAAAACAAAAAGACAAAAATATGATATTATGAGAAAGATTGTGAACTAAATCAGTTACTTGCTATTATTACAGAGAATTACTGAGAAGAGAATTTTCTACTTTTTTTTTTTAATAATTTCATTAACATTTAAGCAAGTTCAAGAAAAAAGTTAAATGTCTTCATGTCATAGGCTGATTTTTAAGACACGGAAAAAGAATAGTTTTCATGTTCAAGATACTTTTATAACAAGCATTCTTTGTGTGTTATTTAATGAGAAAAACTGAATAAAAAAATACAACATGACTATTGATATAATAAATTAATTACTTGGTGTAAGCCTTCTAAAGTGAAGTATATACTGCTACATGCTTGAGACAAGGGCATATACTGCTGGGATACCATCTCAACTTCACTCATCACTTTATCAGTTTCTTCTACTTTGTGCATGATTTCTGAAGCCTCATTTTTCAATTTCTCTAATGTACTTATCACACTAAATATAAAATCCAGCATTATTTCAAATCTACATATTTGCACATATTTTCTAATTTTACACTTATACATATTCATTACATTTTAGTTATGCAAATGTCTTACTTCTTACGCATAAAATAAAAGCTTATTTAAATTACATTTATGTCAATTTAAAAACTCTAGACATTATTCTACATAACAGGAATCTATAAATCAAACATACTTTATTTCAATATAGAATTTTACACAAAGTACATCTTACCTGTCATCATCTAAAATGCGACCTTTAGCATCATTAAGAGCTTGCAAAAGAGATTTTTCCAGTTGTCGTAGGCGAACATGGAACTCTCCTGTTAAAATTCAAGACAACAACAAACAAAAAAAAAATGCATTATTGTAAAAAAGCTGGCAAATAAGTGAATTTTCTGTTTTGTTTTATTGATATTTAATTGTAAGCATTTTGATAAAATATTGCATTGAGGCGTTGTATGTTAACAATTACAACTTAAAATTACAAAATCTTACTATCAATAACCATTTAAATCATTCATTTTACACTTGACAGTAAGCTTTCTGCAAGGCAAAAGGCCCAGAACAAACAAAAGTGGCTGCTTCCACCTATTCACTACTGGTATAAAGCAAAAAGACCAGGACTCTCTCCCTGGTGACAGGCAAACCAACACCTGCCTATCCCGACTGGCCAGTGGACACCTGAAAAGTCTCACATTTTCTGCAAATCAACACATCACATTTTCTGCAAATCAACACATCACATTTTCTGCAAATGCCAACAAAACCAGGCATCACCTGAGCACATCTTGAGCTGGACTGGAACAATATTCATTTCTCTCCCATTCTGGTTTCGGATTTTCTCAATATCAACGGATTCATTGATCTGGTCTGACCCCCTCAGACCAGATGGGAATTAGCAACAACAACAACAACATTTGACTGTTATCTTTAGATCTTGCTTACATTAAACCTTTAGCCTATAACCTAAATGCTGTTCAAATTGCTTATCCAGTAGTCTTTCTCTCTGTTATTTAACTAAGAAACAGTAATGGAGAAAAATTTAACTGTTTAAAACATTGACATTTTAAATTAATGCATGGATACACAAGCTATTGCCACCAAAGTTTATGAATTGTCCCATAAACAGAAAAAAAATATGAAATGTTTTTAATTTAATTAAGTTTCTTTTCAAGGTTCCGAATACTACTATACTCAAAAGTTAATTCCTTTTCCTTTATCTGGTCATCTTACTCTTTTATTTACTTATTGTTTTAGTGCAAATCTGAGTAATTTCATTTTTTAAATTTTAATTATGGCAATGTGTTCAGTGTGCGCAAAAAATTGTAATTTCTTATGAATTTCCTACCTTTTTATGATTAGGATATTACATGCATACGCAAGTTACTTTTAATCGGGATCTAAATAGATCAACATTTTTATAACTGCAGTCTTCTCTTATTTATATTGGCCCTCCAACACGACACTCTTTAGTTTGTGTGGCCTGTTATCAAAAAAAGGTTGTGTATTCTTGAATTAATGCACGATACCTTATAAAATATTTTAGTTATTTTTAGTTTATATAATCTAATAATGGAAGCAAATAAGCTTAAGGCTAGATTTATTACATACGAAATATATAATTTGAAGGAGGTGGAAAAAAAAAACAGTTTTACAAGTTTACAGAGGGAGCTACAAAATAAAATCACCAACATAATAAAAATTCTTAAGATTTTAATAAAATAAACAAAACAAATACCTTGTAGTTTTAGAAGATCTGACCTCTTTTCATCAATATCTGGTCTTTCTGCTTTTAAAACCTAAACATTAAATTTAATACAAAATTAAGAATGAATAAATTAAAACCAAAATTAAAAATAAAGTTCGTCTTGCTGAAGAAAATACCACTGATTTCAGTGAACTGTAGTCAATTAAAATTTATTTTATTATACAAAATTACATAGCAAAATTACATGTAATAACTTTACAAAATTTAAATTTAAAATGGTATTTATTGTAACATTTTTAATAAATAATAACTTTGACTTGTGTATTCTATTTTCATATTTAATGAATAATAATTAGTACTGCTACTGTAGCATCATTTGTAGCTATTTAATATTAAATAAATGATAGTAGAAAGTATTTATTCTAAAAAAAGACATCCTTATAGGGATTATTTATACACGAATTTGCTAGCATCTTTTTCTAAATTATATAGATTATAATCTCTGATGCACTATTTAAAAATTGCTGTTAATGAATTGAACTTGATGAAATCGGGAGACATGCTTGTTGCTATCTGGCACATGTTTGACACAATTAATGAAAATAGCACACCCTCATTCAAATGATTGAAACTTGCATTGCCATCAGGTACAGAACTACAGTAGAGAGTACACTCTAGATAGCTGGTGTGGGCAATACTTAAATTGCAAGATTCCCCAATCACACATGTTAAAGCAAGTTAATAAAAACCCTAATGATACAACATTGCAGGCAACGAGGGCAAAAAATATTAAAGAGGCATATAGCATCTTCATTCAAGTCCCATCATCTATAACACTTCAATTTTGTTAAATCATATTCAGCAATACCTTTATAATATACCAAATACATTTACAATTTTTCTTTTTCTTCTTCAATAATGCCAAATTTCTATAGTAATAAACACCTTTATAATTTTTAAAGAACTAAATAAAATATTATATATTCTGGTAGTCTAAAAAACAATGTAGGGTGATCCGGAGTAATTCACGATCACTCTGTTTCTAGGGTAAATAATGATCACCTAAGTTTTATTTTAAAAAAAGATTTTTTTTTTAAATTTGAGACACGGACAAGAATGCTTGTACACATTACTAAAGTATAACTACATTTACTTAATAATAGTTTTTTGTTNCCTGATCACTAAAAATTTAAAATCTTTTAAATTCTAATTAGATTTTCAAACAAAAGAAGGTAGCATAGGACTCATCTCATAAACCCTCAAACTTCCAGTTAATATTAAAATTCTATCTTGAATAGTTTTTTCACAAAATAGATGTTTGCATTTTTTGATCAGGAATTACGCCAGGTCACCCTAATAAACAAAATGCGATTTCAAAAATTAATTCTTTTTAGCTAGCGTAACAAGCATTGCCAAGCATTTATTTTAGAAATAAGTAATTTGGTAATATTCAAAATATATAACTATTGATAAAGAAAAGAGTTCCTATGGATTATAATTTTAAGAAAATAATTTATTATATTATCTTTTAATTTCAAAAACCTGAACTTTAATTAGGAGAAAAAGTTGATCATACCTGATTGAGACATTGACTTTGTAAACTGCTGCGAGTAACTGTAAAATTAACAAAAGTGACACGGGAGCAAATATCAGGTGGGAAATCAACCTAAAATGAGAGAAAAATAATTAGAATAAAAAGAGAAGCACAATACTATAAAAAATTATGAGAAATTAATGTTTTGTCATAACGAATTCAAACAGCAAGCTGTAGGGGAGAGTCGGGTAGCTCCGCCCACTTAAGGAGTATTGCTTATATTTCTGAATAACATTGAGTAATAAGCAATATTTTTGTATGTTTCTATTGTTTTATCATCTAATTAAATAATGCAAAAAGAATAAACCAAAAAAAGAATAGTTTAACTTAAAAAAAATAGAAATTTAAAAAATTTGACTACTGTATTCAACATATTTTCAAAACTATTGTTTACCATGTTACCAGCTGCATAAATACTTGAAACTTTGAAAATAATCTTTTTTTAATATAACAATTAATGTCCGATGGCCCACTGACTTGAAAAAATATTCTATACATATGAAATTGACAGTGGGCAGGGGTACCTGACACTCCCCTATTTCAATATTTATAAGTTCTTTTAAACTTAAATCAAACAATAAACCCATTTTATAACCAACAAGAAAAAGGTCATGGGAAGAGAAAAATTTTCACACAATCATAACTAAACATTGTTTTTCTGCTATTTAAAACTGTAGTTTCAATTAAAAATAAAAAAGTACTGTATTATAAGCATAATTGACAAAATAATGTTGTGAGACTTATCTTGTAAAATTTTTTGACTTAAAGTTTAACTCTGGATTTTGAATTAAAAAAACCTTAAAAAATTAGTTTGTTAGATTAATTTCCATAAATTGATTTTATTATTATTTTAAAATAATAATGAGGTAATTTTAATTAATTAAAATTACTTTAAAAATTACATAAAAAGCTAGTTAGAGAGGATGAACAAATGGAACAATTGATTTTTATAAATATAAAGCTTAATTAAAATCTTGGGTAAATCCCTTCTTGACCTAAAGTATTTGGCCATGTAGCAGAAACCCTCCAGCATGGCAATAGATTATCATAGCATTTAGGATAATTTTTCAAAGTTTTCGTACTTTTAGAAGGAAAAAAAAAACTAACAAATGAAAGAAAACTGCTGAGACTCCTTATTAAAACATCTTTAAACTTATTTCTATTGAAAATTACTTTACAACTAAGAACTGAAAGTAAAGATTTTTTTTTCTTCTTTTCTATTAAATACTTTAGAATAGGATTAACTGCATTAGGATTTACTTCATATTTTTAGAATCATTGTATTAAATTAATCTAATATTTAAACAAAGTCTTTACATTTTTTACTTCATCTTTGTGAATTTTGCTGCATGTATGTTAAATTTAGATGAAGTTAGGAAGTAATTTAGTCTCACTGCATTGAGGTTGCAGGCAAATTTGGATTTACAAAGATAGTGCTGCAGATTTACTCTGTAAATTCTGCCATTGGTAGGGTCATTACAAAAATCTCAAATTACTATTTATTCTCAGTTTAAAAACATAGATTTTATAAAATGTGAACAAAAATAAAAATATGGTTATGTACCTTTTTTTTCTCCTTCAAAAAATAAATAAAAATGAATAATTAAAAGGATTTTTCAAAAAAAGAATAATGTTGTACTGAAAAAGTTTAATACACTTACAGTGGGATCTCGAGTGGATAAGAAAATACAGAATGATGGAGACAAATCAATATCTTGATCTCCAAGAGTAATCAGAACTCGACCACCAGTTTTACGCACCTCTCTGTTAAGTACTGGATTCAGAATTGGATCATAACTTTCCACATCCTAAAATTTTATCATAAAATTCAAACACATTTAGAATTTGCAAAGTCAATCTTGTACATGCAAAATTTCAACATAAGAGTAAAAGGTACTTTAATAACATAAATACAATTCATATTAATTAAAATGCAAGTTGTTAACTTTGGTGTTTTTTTGAAGGAAAATTAAGAAAATTCAATATCCTTTGAATTATTCGAACTAGAAATTTTGGAATATTATCTTGTTGTTTTTTATTAGTTTACATTTAATAGATTAATAAAAATAAAATGTTTTTGCTAAAGCTTTTAATAGTAAAATTGTACTTCAATAAAGATTTATAAAATAAAAATGTATTTTATTTTAAATAATAAAAATGCAGATTAAACTGATAATATAAAAATAAATATAAAAAAATAATCCCAGAAATTCAGTATATTGATGCATATCAACACATTTTCTTAAGATTCATTCATAACTAAAATTATACCATTATATATACATAAAATTACACTATAAAATATGAAAAAAATAAAAAAATTTTTAAAATTAGCATACTATTTTAGGATATACAAATATAAAGAGATTTGTATCATAAGTTTATTTGAATCATGAAAATTTAACTATGGGGTATTATTAATACAATTATTTTTGGTGGAAATTTTGCAGGTGGATAAAAACCAATATAGTCAACACTAGCAATCACACTAAAAACTTTTCAATAAAAAGATAATAATAATAATAAGTAAATAAATAAAAAACAACTGACAAATTAGATAACAATCAATCTTAATTATTTTTGTAAATTCGAGTTATAAAACATTAACTTGCCTGCACAAGAAGAGGATTTCCAAATCTCAAAGCACTTTCTAGATTTTTTCTAAACGAGTCATCAAGGAAGCTAAAAAAAATAAATAAAACAAATAATGATGAAAACATGAAGAAAATATGTCAACATAATTTTATTATAATACACAAAAATAATTACAAAATTATTAATCATAATTAAACTATAAAAACATTTATAAACCTTGTTTTGGTTATTTTCTTCTCTTTGTATTCATTTAAAATGAATTCTGTTGCTTGACCAGATGGATCAATGATTAAAGGATAGCGGTTGAAGCGCTTCAGCATAATAGCGTTTTCAGTACACAAATCATCAGAAGGTAATGCATTGGCTTGCCATCTCAACCTCTCATCAGCAGTTGATAAATACTAAAAAATAAATTATGCAGATAATTAAAGCATTTAACATCAAAATTAAGGGACACATTAAAAAAAATAAACAATAACATTTTAAATTACAGAAGATTAAAAACAATTATTTTTTAAGACATAAAATTAAGTGACACAAATTGTGTTCATTCACACAGATAATGTTTATTTCATATGAAGCAAATTCCACACAGAGAACTATAACATAATACATTATGTGAAACATCATTATACACTCAAGCTGAATTATCCGAAATAAAATTTTGACGATTTCAACAGATTCAGTGTGATGATTTCTTGCAAATATAGCAAACCAGCTTTTCTTTAATGGTGTATTTGGAAAATGAAGTTTGTTGAAGTTTTTTTTTTTTAAAGAAAAGAAACACAAAAGAATTTTTGTTGGCTCTTAAATTGGTATGATATGGAAAAGCAAAGTAGTAAACACATATCTTCTTAAGACACTGGATAATATATACCTTATCTAGTTCGAATAAAATCGGCATGAATATACATTATTACATTAACATTATTTTATTACATATTACATTTTTTAAATATTCAGCGAGACACACACACTCGTGAAAGCTCAGTACATCAATTTTTCAATTCCCTACTTAGAAAACCTGATTCTTTAAACAGAGAAAAGAACCACAAAGGGTGAGTTTTCATTGGTTAATAACAAGTTGGTATGATTTGGGGAGGCAAATGTATGTGGTTAACACAAATAATATATTCATAAAATACTGAATTGGTAAAAGGAGTCACACCTTCATGTTTTCTTAGCACCAGTAAAATCTACATGGAGGTATCATTAAATTTTATAATATGGAGAACATTAGACATGTTAAATGCACAATTGCAATTAAAATTTAAATTATTTTCAATAAATGAAGTAATATGTACTCTGGTATAGTTAAGTTTTCTTTCAATGTTTTAGTGTTTTTTTTCTCTTCAATATTATAACTGGAAACTTGATTTTTTAAAACGGACAAAGAGCCCCAGAGAGAATTTTTACTGGTTCATAAAAAATTGGTTGGACGCAGGAAGCAGAGGAGTGGTAAAAAGATATATCTGTTCAAGATATTGAATAGGTTAAATAAATAACAAATATATTTTACCCTAGTTATAGTGAATTTTGCTTAGATATTCAATTAAATTTTATATTATGGAACACATTATGCAGGCTTCCTGCATTATTTCAAAAATATACTTTAACTTTTCCAGGAGTGCCAGAAAATATTTTTGCTTTACAGAGCAATATTTCATCAAAAATATACATTTAAGTCAATAAGCAGTGAAGTTTTTTTCTTGAACATATGTCAAACGCTACATTTTGAAAGAAGAAAAAAAAAGAATCACTGGGCAAAAGTTTAACATGTAGATTCCAGAATACATAAGTATATAAATTTTAGATAAAAGAATATTTTGCACAAGATAGAAAAAACTAAATCAATGTAGAGAGATTATTTAATAGAGTTCTGTGAATAGAAGGGAAAATAATTATGTGACACTTAAGTTTTGAAAAACCAATTATTTTTAGAATTAAGAATAGTATTATAAAACTGTAACATTGCTACGTTTAAGAACAAATTTGAAACAAAAAATTGTTCACAAGAGTATTTTGAACAAATTACTATTTTATACATCAAAGAAAATGTAAACATGTTGTAAAAGAATTCTTATAAGAAATAATATTAAAAGCTGGTAGACTTTTCTACTTCGAACCTTATTGGCTACTTACATTAATAAAAATTTAAAACTGTTTTTTTTATTTCAAGTTTGGTTAGATATATAAAAAATTTAAAACACCAGCCAATACAGTTTCTGAACTTTTTCCAAACATCTGAATCCCAAACAATTCCATGTATCCCTTATTCTATATGAGCTCCGAATTTTAAAAAAATAATAACTTTTATATCTCACCTCAGTTCTGGCAAGATCTGCACGAAATAATATGCTAGCTTGCTGCAAATGAGTGCACCAATAATTGAATAAATTATTCCTATACTGTTGATCATAATAACCTACAAATAAAATTTTTTTTTTTAAAGAATGATGTAAAACGAGGTAAAATAAAACACAATAAGATATTCTGAACAGAAAATCTTACCAGCATATGCCAAGAAAGCTGAAGAAAGAAGAACATCTCCTGCAATTGTAGCCATTTGATTTTTAAAAGTTTCACTTGTGGCTTCCCATCTTTCTCTCTCAGAACTCAAGCTTTTAAGTAAAGCAATACTACGGTCAACCTAATTTAAACATAAAGTCAAAACTTTAATTAGCCTTTGAGTGTGTCAAGATCAAAACTAACATTAAAAAAACTATACTTTACCTTTGCTTGTACAGAAGCAAGATCGGCTTTGATAGCTTGGGCTTGACTGACCAGATTTGCATATTCTTCTTTATAGGCAGCAATGCTTTTTTCCAAATGATTTATTAGATTATTCATTTCTTCAGCTCTATGTTTATTTTCATCTGCAGCTGTTTCTAAACTTTGAAGCTCATCACGTAGAGGTTCTACTCGTTTTAACATGTCAGCATAGTTTATCTAGGATTCAAAGAAATAAAGAATGTTATGTTAGCTATAAGANAAACTTGTAAACCATGTGATTATAAATCCCGATAGGAGGCTTTTAAATCACGTGAATATGAAACTCTACATCGAATTTAAAAAATGCTAAGATAAAAATCATGATGCGTAATTTTCAGATCATGAAGCCTAATTTTTAAAACGCGCGATATTACAACCGCAAAAGCGAATCACAACATTGGATTTTAAGCTCACGTAGCTACATAGGGTTTCAAAAGCTCGCAAATACAAATCGCGATAGTGGTTTTTTAAACCTCGTAAATAAGAATCGCTATGTACAATATTTAAATCGCCTGAATAAGAATCGCAACGTTCAACTTTTAAACCGGGTAAATACAAAAATCAATGCTTGATAATAAAATCGCGATTTTAAAAATGCATAAATACATAACACGATATTGGATTTTTAAATCTCGTAAATACGAGTCATAATGTACGATATTTAAAAAGCGTAAATAAGAATTGCAATGCGCAACTTTTAAATCAGGTAAATACGAAAATCGATGATTGATATTAAAATCGCGTGAATAAAAATCAAGATATTTGCATAGTCTGGACTTGGGATTTCTAAAAGGCTTGTATGTATTGTTTTTTGTTTAGACATAATAAAAATTTACAAGATTAATTGAATGAGCAAATAACATTACTTCAATAATTTCACTCCGCGGAAAATTAAATTCCTCATAAAATATTTTAACTTGTGCAAAAAAAAAAAAAAAAAAATTTAAGCGAAAATTAGCGGAAAAAATGGAAAAATCTGAAAAAAACCGGAAATCCGCGAATTCGCGGAAGAATCTCATCCCTGGATTAATGTAAACCTCCCAGAAAATGAACTTAGTTAAAAAATCGTAGTTGAAATCATAATTTAAGTTATAACCCAGAAAGTCAAGCAATATCCCAGTTTAAGTTTAACTAATAATTTAAGTTTAAGTAATAACCCAGAGTTATTTAGAAACCAATTAATTATTTCCTATATATCTAGTAAAGCTTATTAAAACATTTGTTTTGAGGACATTTGATTTATAAAATGGCTGTTATTACAAACTTGCATATCTACACCTAGTAAAAAAAGGTTTAAAAGTTAAATTTACAAACACAATGACCATCATTATTAAAATCACAAACTTATAAAATCAGCTGCTTTTTAAAATCAAATCTGTAAGTTGCAATATCAAAACGCAAAAAAAAAACTATTATTTAAAAAAGTTGTTATCGCTATTTTATATAAACAAGCTTTTGGAGAGGAAAAGTTCTAAAAATTAAAAACATGCTTTTTTCGTCGTATTATTTAGAAATTTCAATTTTCTTTTATAAACATGTTTGGTGCATAGATAGAAAATTCCCACCTGCCATCCACGAACAAAAGGAACAACAATAGAGGTGTCACACTTTCCCGCACAGAAGGGTGAAGATTCTATATTTTTAATTGTGCTGTCTTTTCTGTGTATTGGTGAATTTTTATTTTTAGCTGTTGAATTCAAATGTGGCTGCTTTTTAAAAGGCAAAAATATAGCTGGTGGTGAGGAAATAGAGACGTTTACATTAAAAAAATAATAGTATTTGTACCTCCGAGAACGAATATCTATAGCAAAGTAAGTCACAAAATAACAAGCAAAGCAAAAGGAAAGAGTTAACATAAAGAATTTATAGGTATAATATTCAAACAAAATGAGGCTCTAGAAGCGGCTAGAGATTGAAAAGAAGAAAATGAATAACAGCGGAGGTAAGTAAAAGCAAACATTCACAGAAGCTAAAAGAAGAAAAAAAACTCTTCCTTTGAAACTTTGAAGACCAAATAATGCTACTGAATGCTAAAGAGAGAGACATAACATGAGGGCAAACACACACCAATACTACTACAATAAAAAATCTATTTCTCAGACTGAAGAAATTTGCATATGGCAACAGTCTGATTCAAGTAGTCTAAAAGGGATTTTAATTGAAAAAAAAAAAAGCATTAGGAGATCATGGTCTCCTAATGCTATGTCATGAGTTCTACTCAGCTTTGAAGTTGAAACTTAAGCTGTAGAGGTACCCTTTTTGATGTGGAAAAACAATTACAACAAAGCAGGGTACAGTAACTTAGGAAAAATGGATCAGGATTTCTTTGAAAATGCTATGAATGATTTGATGCCCATGTTGGAACAAATGTTGAGATCATTATAGTTTCTTTTTCAAACTATACTGTAATACATATTATTTATTTAGGCACCTTCTGTTAGCAAAAACTCATTGTACTTTTAGATACATCCTTATAGAGTTCAGATAATAGCACAATCAATGTTTAATTTCCTAGAACAGTTGAGGCTAACACTTTCCTAGAATATTGAATGACTTAAAATTCAATTAAATATCAATGCATATACTTTCATATATATTCTAAGAACTATTACCTGAATTCTTACAAATTTCATTTATTTTTTAACCGTCATTGAACAGCCAACCCAATTTTAAATTTACGACTGGCAATGTTCAACTTCGTAGCCGTGTAATTTTGAACCCAATCCAGAAGAAAAAGGAGCTCCTAGATCAAATATTGGGAGAAATTTGCCTTTCGTGGAGGACTTCTCGACAGAACTAAGCCCCATTCGTTTTACATGGTGTAGAAAACCACGAAATCTTCCCATGGTTAGCCCAACTGTAGGGGGATTCTAACCCATGATCTGTCTACCACTGAGGATATTCAAAGTTAGCACTGTGGTCGGTGCGAGCCAAGTGCAGAATTCGCTCTGTCCTCTGACCCAACACAGCATTTTCTGGGTTTACGACTACTTAGATTCAACTCTGCAGCCTTGTAATGTCAAACCTAATCCAGAAAACATGGGAACTCTTGGATAAAATATTGGAAGAAGTTTGTCTCCATGGAGAATTTTTTTTTGGTGGAACTAACTCGCATTTGCATTACATGGAGAGGAAAACTTTCCATGGTTAGCCTGACAACAAGTGGACTCTAACTCATGATCTGTCTACCAATGAGGATATTTTTACATCAGCACTGTGGTCGGTGCAATCCGGATGCGAGATTCAAACCCAGTTCACCTCATTAGAAGGCGAACACTCTATTACCTGCGCTACCACGGCTTCATGGTTGGTATTTGCGAAGAGTTTTAACGTTTGCTGGAAGAAAAAACACAGGCATCAGTTGTATGTTCAAAAATTGTAATTAACAAATATTACCTGAGCAATTGCCCATTTCACCATGGGACCACAAGCAACACTAGCACGATTCACTTTTTCAAAGTTGAACTCAGGGTTATTGACATACTTGTTCTTCATTTTCATTCGAATGTCTATATGAGCTCCGAATTTTAAAAAAATAATAACTTTTATATCTCACCTCAGTTCTGGCAAGATCTGCACGAAATAATATGCTAGCTTGCTGCAAATGAGTGCACCAATAATTGAATAAATTATTCCTATACTGTTGATCATAATAACCTACAAATAAAAATTTTTTTNCTTGCTGTAATGTGCATCTAATAGCAAAGAGGTTCCTTTTGCTCCCTTTACTTATTGAGACTAGATTTTTTTCTGTAAGAAGCTCTCAAAGTTATTAAGTAACAATGTCTGTAATGAATCTTCTGCCAACATGCACAACAACCAAGGAATTCTTATGTCTGACCAACTATGCTATGTGGATGTGTGTCTGGCAAACAATGCATTGCATCTGATGATGCAAAAGTCGAATTTCTGTTGTATTATGAACATTATTTATCCAATATACCATTGTTCAATGAAAGCTTTAATTAATCACTCTTATGTTTTTCAGACCTTCAACCACTGAGTTGCCATGCAGTTGCTATGCCATGACTATGAGTTGCTATGCAGTTTTCAAAGATGGACCTTTAATATCCTAAAAGCTTACACCAACATTTCTGAGACATCCCGTACACAGAAGAAAATGAGTGAAATGTTTATTCACTTTCTATTACAAATATCGGTTTAAAAAATTCTGTCTATTTTTGGAACAGAAATTTCTTTCATTCGAAAATTAAATATATTGTTATTATTCATATTTATACAAATATGCTAAATGTGTTTTGAAGGGTTACATTAGTATAGATAAATTCATTTTAAGAAAGTTAGGATTAAATATAAACCAAAGAAGCATTTAATATTATGCTATTTGAGTCATACATTCATACCTATTAGACTTCCTATTTAAAAAATTTTTTGACAAAATAAATGTTTTTTGCATTCTAATGAAACAAGTATAAAAGAAAATGTATGTTTCTGTGTTTTGGACATTATTGTATTAGTATTGACATATTTGAGATTAATAGATAACAGAAAATATCAAATTCCAGGAAGCCACAAAAACTTAGGAAAAAAAATCTGACTTTCCTTCACTGATTTTTTTCCCTTCAAATTTCTCTAATTTTTGTAAACATGTGGCATAACTATTATCACTAATTTTTCAAGTTATGCCTTATTTTCATACATAAAATATATTATACTTGCCATTTAAGTAGGAATTAAGAATTAAAAAAAAAACATATTATAATTTTTTTAAAGGAAAAAATAGTGGCCTTTTAGATACCTCAAACTGAAATTCAATTTTTGGGGCATTTAAGTTGAATTCCCTGATTTTTCGAAACAGGTAAAATTTCCTGACTTTTTCCTAATCCGTGGCCACCGTGAAATCAATATAATGTTTATTTTTGGTAACTGTTGAGATTTGTTTATAACTAGATGCTGATATTGTTATTGTTGTTAAGAGATGTTATTCAAGATTTTGTTCAAAACTTTAAAATGTCACAATAATCAGGAATATATTTAGAATTAAAATTCAGTGAAGCAGAAAGTTTTTGAAAATAGATCCATTTATAATCATATTTTAAAATATATTATGTAACCATACTAAAATTATACTCAAAAGACACAACAATATATAAAATTAGGCTTATTTTTATATAAAAAAAATAGCACTGCAAGAACAAAATTGTAAACTTCATGAGACTTGAAAATTTTGCTTTCTGGAACCCACATAAAAAAAAGTTTATTTATATTTACCAAATTAGAGAAAAAACGCAATATAAATATTTATCAAAATATATCTTACGAGAGGTACTCAGATGAGAAGTTCACAATGGTTGGAATAAAATTCTCTCGAATAATGACGGATCGTATGGCTTTCCAGTCAGGGGCTGGTTCACCTAACAGAAGGCAGATGGCCTCAAGTGCCATTTTGACCAGAAGAGGTGGATTGCTCATTGATCGAACTTCAACCAAATGCTGACGCTTGATGCTTTTCACAGCTGCAGTTATTAGAATGTGAAAAACCCATTCGAAATATTTTTAAAAAAAAACAGTACAGATAATATTTTCATTATCTTTTAAGTTGTCAGTGCAAGTCTATGTGTAATTTCTTGAAAACATGTCAAACCGTTGCCAATAAAATTCATATTATTGGTGTTTTGTCGGTGAAGGGATTAAGAGATAGCATAGTTTGAATATCCAGATTAAACACAAAAATTTAAATCAGTAATTTTAAGGAATATTTAGCACTCCACAGGCCCAAGCTTGCCACATGAGTTACATCGAGTTAAAAAAATATAATCTTTGTAAAACCTGAACTTACAATTTCCTCTTGCTGACATTTATGTTACAGGACTAGGTGGGTATGTTATCAATTTTATCTTTAATAGATGTTTTAATAAAAAAAATAATAATTTATTGTAAAATTAGTTTTTTACTAACAAATTTTTACTACATCGATTAAGTTTTTAATCAATTTAAATATGATTTTTTTTCAGCAGTCTGATAAATGTGATTAAAATCCTACAATTTACATTTGAATTACTTTGGTGGCATATTTTCATAGTTTATATGGATTTTCGTACTGTATTTTTGCAATAACATACTGAAAATATAAACCTACATTGTAGGATTAAAATTAGCTACATAACAAAACAAAGAACCAAAAACAATTCATAAATTTTGGAGATATAATTCATTTTGGAGATATATTTCAGAGATATAATTTATATTAATTTCTTAGATTCCATGGAGAAGAAAGAAGTTCATAATGCACTTTTACATACCCTTAAGTGTATTAAGTGTGGACATTTAGAACACTTTCTTTATCAGTGTAGAGAAATTTTTTTCATAGGCAGCATTTAAAATTAGCATCTTTTTTTCAAATTTTATTTTTGATGGGGTAATAAAGCTATGCAACAGTAAAAAATTACCAGTCAGTCAGAGAAAAAGATTCAGTAAGTCAAATAATGTACCTAAAAATAACATGCGCCCAATGGAGTGCTAAAGCTACGTAAAAGTAAAAATGACATTTTAATTTCAAGAAATATTTTTGCGAAACACTTTAAGTGATACTAAAAATGTAAATCTTTAGCAAGCAACATAAAAATACAAAAAATAAATTAATAAAAACTTAACAAATAAAATTAAAATAATAAAAAATTCACTATCAAATTGATGAATGGAATGAGATCATTGAAATGAATATCACTACAAAATAAATGCCCACCATAGATATTATGTTTGAAACTTATTTCTAAACATTTAGCAATTTTAAAGCATATTGAGCTTAGGATTTTTGGATTTCAGCAATCTCGAAATAAATCTCAAACTGAGGGATCGAACGAGAACATTTCAACTGATAGGACTACAAATACAACTAAGCAAATGTCAGCATCATTATTTGAAACTTATTTAATTACACTAAAAATTGTAAGTTGTTTTCAAACAAGATTGTGCAAAGTATATGCATTTTTGTTTGGTTAAACAGTTATTTACAGAAAAGCATGAATGCATACAGGATGTCCCTTGATGGCATCCTGTATTGCATTCACATGTTTTACTTCATAACTTTTCTATTTCAATTTAATTATAATTCTCTACTCTTTTTATAAATTTATGCTATAAACGAGTCATTTTCAGAGAGTTGAGCAGTATGTAAGCTTCTTACGTAAGGTCGTCAGTAGAGAAGTTGACAATTGTATTAATAAAGTTCTCTCTTATAATAACTGATCTTATAGCTTTCCATTCAGTAGATGGTTCACCCAGTAGTAAACAAATAGATTCTAGTGCAAGTTTTACAGGTGCCGGAGGATTAGCCATGGATCTCACTTCAACTAAATGCTGTTTCTTTATGGACTTCACAGCTGTGTTTGGGGGTAAAATGAAACAAATTTAAAAACAAAACAAAAAATACATAAAAAAATTAAGAGAAAATAATAAATTAAAAAATGTATAAACTTGATAAATCATATAAAAAATTAAAAACAAAACATAAAATAAGTTGTAAATAATAAAATAATCAACTAATAGAAAAAACTAAGTAATAAATTAATTATCTCAAAATACAGGTTTTGCCTAAACAATTCATTCTGCTTTGAAATAATGTGTATTGAGAAGTATACTGCCTACAAAAACTAATTAAACATGAAAAGCTATATATACTCATTAAGTTTACAACCAAGCCTGTCTCATAGTTTGCATGCCAGATAGATGGCAGGCCTGTGGTGGCATTGAACAAGACAAACCAAAAGAAACAGAGAGCTCTGGTCTGGGTTCTTAGGTACACCAGATCTCAGTCCATGTGGAGCTATGTGACGGGCAAAGTTCACATAGCCCTAATGTCAACAATAAAGCAAGCTCTGCAGGAACACATCACAGCTACTATAGACATCAATAGAAATTTTCTGTTGAATGTATTTACATAGCTGAAGTACTGTTATGATGGGTGTCCAACTTAACCAATTGCAGTATGTAACATAAATTTGATTAGTGTATTTTCCATGCATGATCTGTGTTTATATGTCACATATAATTGTTCGAAACTGAACAATAAACAATTTAAAATTGCATGAAGCATTTAGGCAAACTCTATATACTATGAATCCAAATCACAAAATTATATGAATAATAAATAAATAGGAAGATCTTGAAAAATAAAGTAGAAGCAACTGAATAGAATTGCATGTCTAGGAAAAACTAAAACGTAATTTAAGGTTAAAAATTATTTTTAAAAGAATTTTTATTACTTACAAAACTTTTTGGACTAAAGCTATCACTCAATAATTTTTATCAGACTTAGCTATCACTCAATAATTTTTATCAGACTTAGCTATCACTTTATAATTTTTAATTTTATATTTAATTTGCTTAATAATTTTACATTTCATTTATTAAATTCACTCTACAACATGAATAATAAGATACCAGAAGAAATTACACATAAACTGGATAAAAATATTTGATAACAAAATTTTAAAAAATTCAAATTTATATACACATATATATACACACAGCACAGAGAGAAAAAGAGAGCAATCTAAATGAACTATCCAACAAATACAAGAGGGATGCCAACTGCTCGGCTCTCTCGGCTAAATATTTTATAAAGTGGTAGAATAGTGGTACATTGCAATTTTCAGAATTTTGACTCAAATTAAAAAACCTTTAAAAACGTAGCACAAGATAACTGGAACTAAGAAGTATTTTATATACAGCTTAAACTATTTTTATTTAGTGGTGGGCAAATTGAGTTTTCTTCCAATTTTCCAAACCTGCAATTCATTCAATTTTACTGCTACTGGAAAAATTTCTCACAGAGGAGAGCAAGTTGGCATCTCTGCTATAGGCAAAAATTTCATTTACATTTTGGCTGATAAGAATAATAATAACAGTTTAATAATAATAGAAAGAATTTTCCCATATATCAATTTTCTAGACTAAAACAAAAGTTTCCTGTGACAAAAAAATAGTTATTTAAAATTAGCAAAGATAAAAGGCTATATAATGATAAGAAACATTTCTTAAATTGAATTGTTTAGGAGATTGTTTTTGGGGACAGACACCTTGATATTTATAAAAGCTGTAAGATGTTTCTATGCATTGTGGCATTATAAAGTAGCCTTCTTTGGTTGAAAAGGAGAGCATCTGTTGCACTATCGCTACATTCTTGAAACTGTTTTTCAAGTGCATTGTTAATTCTTTAAATTATTATTGATCTTAAATTATAAAAATTGATCACTGCAAAAGATAAAAAGACAAAGAGTAAAAATGAAATTTTTGAGAATTAATTTAACAAAATAGAATTTTCCAGCTCAAGTAGTAAAAAAAAAAAGAAGAAAACATCGGTTAGGCCACACCAATAGATACGCAGCACATACCAAAATTTTTGTTTTAAATCAAAAATGATGTGGCATAACTCCATGATATCATGATATTTATACTTCATTCATATTTTTCATTTAATGTTATATTAAAATAAAGATAATTTATTTAATAATGAAAAACACTGCATAATGAAATGTAAAAATAAAAAAAAATTACAAATGTTAATATTTCATGAGTGTGCATTTCTTAATGTTAAAATATTTACTTAGATTATAATACAATAATTTTTTACAGCAAAATATTTCGATTGAAATTAATACGATCTGAACTAAAGAGTAAATATTAATTTCTAATAATTTAAATTTTAAAAAAAATTTCTACTTGACGTAGCAAATGAACAATAAAAAATATAAAACTAATTTTGTTCTAACTAAAATAAAAAATTTTAATTTCAAAAACTATAAATGAGGTTATATAAGATGTTTTATGGTTTAGGAGAGAAAAAAAAAAGCTTTACCAGCTTGAGCATCTAGAACAGCTGGTTCTACTTTTGATAAATCTTCCATGACACTTGCTCGTTTTACAGCAATTACTTCTTCTTGCTCCTACAGTATTAAAAAAAAATTCATTAGTGGTCTCACATTAATTTATATATTTATTAAAATATTAACTTATAATTCAAATTATATAATCAAATATATTTATCAAAAATTATATTTATCAACCAAAATTCAAAGTTTTGCAAGAATTAGATTTAAAACTTGGTAAGGTGAGATACAAAATGATGAACAGTAGCTAACCAAAACTCAGTTTTTTTAATTGTATTAGGAGTTTTATTTAGTTTCTGAAAAATTAACATTTCAAACTTAATTAGGTACTTCTCTAAGATGTTAAATAAATATCCAATATAAGCAGAAGTGTAATTTTTTTATGGTCTAAAACATAAAACAGAAACATTAAAAACTTGAAATATATTTTTATATAACATAATTGGTTTTAGTCATTGTTTAAACTGAAATCAACATACTGTTTAAATATAAAATAACTAGTATTATTGGCCTTAAATAAAAAACTAAGTCTTATTTATAACTTTTTCTGTAATTGTTATTTTAATTAACGTAACATACAACATTTAAACAAACAAAATCAAACTATAAAGCACTATCCTGCTTTATCAATAAATTTTTAAATTTTTTTTCTTCATAAACTGCTTTGGTTGACAATTTGAAAGAACACATAATGTAATTGAAAAACGACAAAAAAAAATTCTTTCTTAAAGTCAGCACATTGTTTGTGGACTCAAATGTTAAAAAAGTACTAAATATTTGGGCTCTGTATCAACTTAAGCTTAAACTGAATATGTAACAAAGGTAAAATAATAACATTCTTCAGTCATGAAAAGAATTATGAAACCAATTAATTACCCTTAATTGAGCTTGGATTTCATGTGATTGTGTTTTCTTCTTTTCTGCTTCTTGTTGATCTTTCAACTAAAAGAAAAAAAATCAAACATTTCAAAATCAATTTTAAAATTATAATTAAAATATTTGACTCTTTAATAATCGAATGTATTAAATGGTGACTGGTGCCCTTTAAATTTGACAAGGTCATAAAGGCCTTCAAGTTCTCATAACAAATCAATACCTCTTAGGGTACTTAATTGATCGGTCCCTGGGTCAGGTCAAGATTACAATGTGTGGATGAATGAATGGAGTATGAACGGGTCCTCCCTGTAAAACAGACTGTGAGATGTGGGGCTAAAAATGTATTCTAGGTCATAGATGGCGTCACTATAAAATAAGAAACGCAACCTCTGCCTTATATTCACTTGGTTTCCCACAAAGGCTTGCTGGTATGGCAAGTGGCATTAGTAACAACATTCTTTAATATAAGCAAAAAAATGGCTTTAAATTAGCAGTAAAACTTCATTACTAGGTTATACAGTTTTCAAGTTGAAAATCCATACTAAACAAACAGAGAGTGGACAATTTAATGTAATGATTAGAAAATTAAAGCACTTCTGTAACAGCCAATTATCGGCCAAGGGAACTGTGAAAATTAGGGCTTCCTAATTTCAAAATCAAAGTCATGAGGTAAGTTTTGAGTACCAGTCACTTATACTTCCCAAACAAACTGGTATCTGGCTTGATATGATCCTGGATGTGCTGCACCAGGGATAGAATCCCACTTATAATATTTACAGTTTTTTGAACCACTGTGCTATCCTGCATCATTAGTACATTATCAACAGAAATTATGAAACATACTGTTCAAGTGTTCACAAATTAAAGAAACAAATTTAAAAATTTTACTGTCGAATTCTGGAATTTTGAAGATGTATACTTAATCTTTTAACAGTTTATTTAAAATTGGGTTCAAAAGGGTTAATTTTCCCAAACAAACAGTCAGTTTTTCTCCAAATCTACCAATGGGGAAATTGTTTTCAGTAATGTTTATCTTTTATTAAATTTGCCTATATAGTGAGACAGTTATATAAACAAACAACTAAATTAGTAATGCATACCATATCTTTAAGTTTTGCATTGGCAGCTTGATTTTTAGCCTCCAGTTCTCTTCGTTTTAAAGCAAGTGATTTTTGCAGTTCTTCCACTTGTTCAACAGTCTCGTGTATTTTCTGAAGACCAACATTCAAATGCAGTTGTTGTTCTTCAAGCTCTGCTTGTTTCTCATTAAAGAGCTTAACCTATAGCGGGCACAAAAATGCATTTTAGGAAAGATAAACGAAAATCAAAGTAACAAAAATAATTATTCATAAAATTGTACAGAGATCCAGCTTCAGCCTTTCCCAATATCAAAAATCTGGATAAAATACTCTATATTGTATGATAAATACAAGATCTTGTAGAAAAATAAAATTATATTAATATGAATCACACAGAAAATAAGAACCCTCTAAATCCTGATTTCAGGACTTTTATCAATATTCAGAATTTAAAATGGAAGAAATAAACTAGGCACCACGTGCTCATTTTAAGAATAGAATAGCTATCATAAAAAGGCTTTCTTCTACAAGTGATTTAGATTTAACTTTCAAATATGTTTTAGTCATCTCGCTCATGCTAACATAAAATAGCCTCAACTGAACATCATGAGAGTTATTAAAGGAATCCCACACAGCGTTTTCTTCTTATAAAATTACATTGGAGTGTAAATAGTCAACTTATTGGGAGAGCATCAATGACCATTTTTATTCCTATTAGTAATTAAAATATTAGCACATTGCATGTGGGCAACTTTCCAGCTGCTATAGATTAAAATTTCAAAAAAGTTGTCTGCAAGATTTCATAACAGTTGGAGCAAACTTGTCATTATAGCTACATCGAACTATTGTAGTATTGATTATTGATTACATATATACTCAGTAATTTATGTATGTGGTAATCATGAATGGATAATTTATTTGTAAAACAGAGCGAAACGAAGTAAATTTGCTACCACTTTTTAAACTTTTGCATAGATCGCAGAAATTTCAAAAACTTATTTTTACGTGACCAACTTGCATTGTGTCCAAATTATTTTCACTTGTTCCAAATTTATCTCATTTCTATCAAATTTAGCATAGTATGTTACAATTTCATCAATTCAAAAATTCACCAAATGTTCATAGAAATATTTCCTTCAAAGCTATAACATTACAAATCTTAAGCTCAATCAGATAAATTTGTAAGTACGGGTTCCTTTGATTTTAAGTAAAAATTATTTTACTCACATAATGGTTGATGAAATCAAGGAAGTGCCTGGGAGTGACAGTTGCCACGTGACCTCCTCGCTTAGACAATCTGGCATTTGCTTTGTGCAAAGTTTGGTGCACATACACAAAGGCATTTACTATGGCGGTACGATGAGTAGGTGGCATCTCAAGACCTGGGAAGGCAGCTGGGAAATAATCCGGGGCATGGTACTATTTGCAATTTAAAAAAAATACATATGAATAATCCAAATGCAATTTATAAGCTAAAAGACACAATTAAAGATAAATAAAAGTTTATACATGAGGTTTGTCCATATCCAGTTTGTTTGTAAATTCCCGGCCCACATGGAAAAGGGCTTCATCAGACCAATCTCCAAACCAGTTAAGAACACACCTGAAAATATTTTATCACATATTAATATTTATTTTTTACACTATGTAAATTTTAAATCTCTCCTTCAAACATTAAATACGCAGGGTCTATAAATTTATAAAAATATTAGAAAAGTAAAGATTAGAAATAGAAAAGAAACATAAATGCAATACAGGACTAAATTAGGAAACATCTACATGCATTTGCGTGGGAGCTTTTTTATGAATAACTGTTTAAAAAGAATAAAAGTGTTATACGTGTTTCTAATTCCTTTTGGGAAAAATATATAAAATATAGATAAATACATAAAATGTAAGAGATATAAAATCAGACTCAATACATGAAAGTAATACAATCCCCAAAATTTGATTCCTTCCTGGGAGAAATATCCACCAAGTATATCTAGTACTTTATATTATATATACTTAGCAGGCTTCAATATTCCATTCGATTATTCAAGATCTTTTTTTAAAGCACAGCCGAACCACAATCCTGCATCTTTTGTATTCCCATATATATTGTATTGTTTTAACTAAATACTATTTTTATAATGTTAATAATGCCCGTATAGATCATTTTTGAAACTAGAAGATTCCTGCATCTTATTGTTCAGAAACTGTACCGATATTTTCCAGAAATATTAAAGTTAATTCGTTTTGCAAAGAAAAACAGTAACCACTGATGCTAATGAAGAAAATTATCAAGTTTGATGTTCATGTATCAGTAGATGAAAATATTAAAACTTGTGTTGTGTTTAGTTCCAGTAATGGCAGCAGAAGCTAAAAAAGTGCAATGCAATACTGATAAAGAAAGTGAACTTGAACAAAACCAGTGAAAATATTTGTGGAAGGTATCAGAGCTTTTGAAATAATAAAGAGCTTTCTGTATTCATAATCTGTTACAAATGTCAAAAATGTAATGTTCTTGATCAGAAAAAAAAGTATTTAAATCAAAATTTTTTAAATAAGTAGATACGTTCCATTCATCCTTCGCTTGCATTGTAAATTTTTAGCCTTACAAACATAATTTTTTCAATTAAAATTTACTAGACTAATTATAAATTTATTTTATTTTCAAGTCCATTACTTCTTTATCACTTTTCATGCATTTTCAAATCCCTATTAAATATATTAAGTTGATCTGCATTTGTGGTTTTTCTACATCTATCGTTCCCAATGAGTGGTTCCTCGAGAAACGATCAATTGAGGTTCTACTGTATGAATAAAAAATATTGCAATCACACATCATGAAAAATTTTATTAAAACTTAAATAAAAAAAGAAAATATGAAAATTAAGAGAATATTTTATTTATATTTAGAAAGCGGCAGAATAATTTACCTGTTGAAAAGGGCAGGGGAAGTAGCAGCTCTGTCTTTCAAGCCTTCTGATGAGGGATTCATGGTAAACACAACATGAAGATTTTTCATAACCTACAATATAATTAGGGTATTATTCACAGAAATAATTATCAGAATGCAGGTGCAGCCTAAAACAATACACATTTTGATTCTTCTACCCTCTATAAGCAAAAAAAAATTTTTTTTTTTTTACATCAGCAAGTATTAGCACTCAACTGATTATGATGGTGATTTTATCCTGTGGATAAAATCGCCATATTCAGTGGTGATTCTATCCTGTTTTTGTACATTAATTTGCAGATCTATAAATAAAATCAAGCCCTTTAAGGTTTATATCATTTATCACATTTATATATCACATACTTAACCAGTACTACCTTGACCTATGAAATTCAAAAGCTATGGGCATGACAGATATCCATTATAAATATATTAACAAATCATCAAATGTTCTATATTGTTGGAACCATGGATATAAATTTAACTTCTGTGCAGACAAAATTTTAACTACTCTCGACAGATCAGCTCATCTTGAAGCCTTTGAATCCTTTTATCATTTATATCAATGAGGAATTTCTACTAAATAATCTCAGCTCTTTTCTGCAGAAACTTTGTGGACAAAAATGCATTTTACACTAATTTTGCCTCTTTTGGGCCAAAGTTGTGTTCAAAACTTCATTTACTTTTCTTTTTTCCCATTGTTTTGTTTCTTCGTATTTTTACCCTATTTCTAAGTTTCTATCATCAACACTTTTCGTTATATTGATACTTGTTGATCCTTTTAATTCCTAGCATTAAGTAGAATCCATATTAATACATGTTGACCCTTTTCCATTTTCACTAGGAAGAAATACATTTTTTTAAAGTTCGAGAACCTAACTTATAGTTTTCTGATTAGTACTATTTATAATGCGTTTTTCACTTATTTCACAAAAAAATATTCCTTCTATTAGTGTTTTAAATTGTAAAAGAAATAGATGTACCTGCTGTGTGAACCACTTGTAAAGCTCTTCATTTGAGTCAAGCATCAAGCCTTCTCTCTGAGAGCCTTCCTTGCACTGAGTCATGAGAGTTGTGAACTCATCTCCTTCAAACAGACCCGGAACTTCTCCGTTTGCCAATAGGGTATTCATCCTCTCCAGAAAGCCTGAATCCAGCACATTTGATTCATCAAGGATAAAGCAGATCTTTTCATCCTACAGGAGAAAAGATGTTCTTTAATAACTCAATTATCAGCAAAATAACAGTAAAAAAACAATGCTAGTTTAAATAAAATTAAAATAAGATTATGCAAAAATTGAGTATAAATTATGACACTGCGGTTCAAATGAAAATGGACAGTATAATGTGAGGTTGCTATTTCATGAGTAGAAAAAAAAAACGGCAACTAGTTAATAATAAATTTTAAAAAAAAAATTACAAATTTTTTATTTCCGTTATGCTGGTTACAAAGAACCATTTTTGATAAATAACATGAGACCATTGAACTGCAAAGTCTAAGCAAAAATAAAATTAAGAATAATAAGAATACTGCCTGTTTTAACTCCAAAATAAGCCACCTAATCCAAAAATTCCTAAATAAGAGAATAAAGTTTTCACACAAGAAAAATTTGATTGATACATTTATTGAAACCCTTTAAAAAGTAATTTGCAAAGATTCTGAATGTATAGTGAGGATGCGAGGATGCAAAACATGTGATTCTATGTGAGGATGCAAAACATGCTTCTAATTCTCAATAATGAAAAGTAATTGATATTTAATAATCTTTTTTTTACTATAGAGTATGCTACCTATGATAAGAATAAGTGGTTCTATCACACTTTCGCTCTTCATAGAGAATTCAAGATGTTTCAACTTTAAATAAGCATTGACATCGAAAGATATAGTGGTTTTAATAATTTCCTTGATTTTTTTATGATTTATTGATTCATTGACAATAGAAAAATCTTGGTTGTGAAAGCACAAAATGTTTAGTAATTTTTAAAGAGATTTTTGTAGGATTTAAAATGCATGAAGCAAAATTTTGGTTGCTATATAGGATTGAACAATTAAGTTCAGATATTGTAATGGGCATTAAAATAATGATACATTTACAAAATAACAAGCAGGACTCCATGTTTCAGTCATTATAATGGTGGGGGGGGGGTCATAGTAAAGGGTCGTTATACTAAAGAGAATCTACTGTACAAAAATTTGATAATTTATATGTTTAATTATTTCCCTAATCAAGTCAATAAAATATTATACCCAGATAATAAGAAAAATGAAAGTCTTCTAGTTCAAATAAATGAGAATTCAAATTATCTTAAATTCAAAAAAGATTTAAACGAGCAATTAATAGTAATAATAGAGCATCATCTGGTTGATCTGTTACCATGCAGTTTCGTTTCTAAATTTTTAATAGTTTCAGTTTAGAAGAGCTACACTATGTCTAGATCAACTAAAAATCAACACTGTTTTAAAAATCCAATTCAGTTAACACAGATTTTTCTATTGGAGGAAGTTCAAAAACTCATTTTGAGTTACTATTGCAAGCTATCAAGCAAAAATCACTTAGCACAAAACTGCAGCTCATTAAAAAAGTTTAAAATTAACAATTAAAGATTAAATAATTATTTTGAAAAATGACTTCATGCAATCAAGAATGTATGCAATCAATCAAGAAGAAGATGTTTTGATGCATTTTCAGCCATGGTACCCAATTTAACAGATTTTAATGTCAAGTATGTTTTTTTTTTTTTTTTTTAATATTTTAATTCAGTCACAGACAAAATATTTATCTTATTACACTATAGTGAAGAACTTATAACAAGAGCAAGCAAAATAGACCCAGAGTATAAAGATATTTAGTGTTCAAGTTTGTTAAGATGAAAATGTAACTAATTGATTCTATTTTAACTTTTAAAAATGCATCAGAAAATATAATATGCAAAATTTACAGTTAAACTGATGCATGTTATTTAAAAATTTTTTAAAAAAGTACAATTAAATTTTAACCAGTCCTCTTATCTTAGTGAGTAATTTTCTAATAGTAATATTTGTTTTGCATCACACTTTGGTGAGGCGATAAATTAAATGGCTTCTTTTTTCAGAAAACATAGTCTTTTATTTGAGTTAGTTAAAAAGAAAAAATGTGCTAAAACCTAAGTCAGCATAAGCTTATTGTACAATTCTCCGAATTCAGGAAATCAAATTTAATATTTATGTTTATAAAATTATTTTGCTGAAGGAAGAATTCTAGGAAAACTTGCTTCTATGCATTGAAGATGCAAAAACACTCTAAATAAAGAGTGTGATAATTTATTTTTAGTTATACTTTAAACGAGTTCATTGTTACCACTCACATAATTGGAACAAAATATTCTTCTAAAACTAATTTTTTGCTTTTTACCAAAGATTTAGATTGAAATCAGCATATTTTTAATTAAATAAAAGATGTTTGCAAATGTTAAAAATTAAGGTGGAAAGAGGTTAAATCATTAAATCAGAGATGCCAACTGCTCCGGACACACCAAAATAAAACGGTAAGTAACTACAAAGTAAATTTTGCCAATATTTGACTATTTTTGCTTGCTTTTTAAAAGGCATAGCATGACATAAGTACTTAAAAGTGGTGAATTATATAAGCCTACGAATTATTTAGAAATAATGGTGGATAAAAATCTACTAAACTGAATTTATTAAGCCAAGGATCACAATTGATAAACTACCACTTTAAAATATATATTTGCTGTCCGGAGCAAGTTGGCATCTCTGTTAAATTATAACAATATTGATAAAAAATCGATAGAGTTTACCTTGCAACCTGATCTTCTTAACACAGATCTTAAGTCTTCATCAAAATCATGAGCACTATATTTATTATGAACCTAAGAAAAATAATAGAAATGTAAATAAAAGTGATAATTATAATGAACTTAAGAATTAACTAAATAAAAATTTTAAATTCTAAGATGGATAAATACTGTGGATGACAAAAAGAAATCCTACCTTTATTTGGAAAACACTTAGGCCATTCATCCAGGCAACAAAACGAGACAAGGTCGTTTTACCTGCTCCACTTACACCAATTAGAAGCAAGTGACCCTGTAATCATTTTTAAAAAAATATTAATATAAAAAAATTCTAAATGAAAATATAGATAATTTCAAAGTTGTAATGTATAATTAAATCTACACCTTTATTTTGACTCTTGTTAAACTGTTACAAATAAATAGAAAATTACCACAGTAAACAGCCGATTAGCTGAGTCTTAGTTACCTGATTTTTGCTAAATTGCCCTTGTGAAATTTTTTGCAATTAAAATATTCAAGAAAAATTATTTAACATAATGTAATGAAATTTTTGTAACCAGTTAAAAGATTAAAATTATTTAAGAAATAGGACCTGGTTATTTAAAAAGTTTTCCGTAAATTTTTCGGTAAAAAAACATTTACTTTACGTATTTCTCATTTAATCTGTCAATTCATTATAGAAAAGTTTATAATTGCTTTGAACTATTACTGTAGTTATAAGAAAATTTTCAATTATTCCTCATCAAAAATTTACTGCAAAATCCAGTCATTATTGGCCAAACATAAAAGAAACAATGTAGTCCCACAGCAACAAAAAGGAAAGAAATAATAGGGTATATCAATCGAACTTTTGGGGTTGTGAAACTCAAATTTAATTAGAGTAAATTACCAGAAAGGCTATATGATTTAGAGTCACTAAGACTCATAATAGTCATTTCACTATCTCCTAGAAAAAAAGAGATTTAAATAATTAAAAGTTACCATATTTATTTTTAATGTTTTTTTCAGAGGAGAAAATATGCATAATTCAAATTTTCAATTAGAATTAACTACATTCTCCCATAACTACTCAATGCTGATTTTTTTTCTGCAGACCTTTCAGCATCTAAAAATCTGTTTTCTTCATGTTATTAAATTAAAAATAAGTGGTAGCAGTAGAGTTTAGTTCCATTTGGTACTGGGGCTTACCTTTTGCAAGTTACATTATCAAGACTATATTTACATTTAAACACTCCATAATTCACAACCAATGTCAAAAAAAATAATTCTCCTTAATTATAAGTTTAAGTATGATAAGATTCTAAATGCAGAAGTTGTTTTCTGTTCTATTAAAAAATGGGAAGGGGGTAAACGGAATAAAAGCTACTAACAACTTCTCTGAATAGCGATAAAAATCAAAATTATAACTGTAATTCTAGTATTAAAACTTCCATAAGAATGCAAACATTTAAATAACATTATTATTTCAATGATAAGGTAAAATAAGAATTTTTAAAACATTATTTATAACAAAAATATTATAAATGCATTTAAACAGAATACACAACTTATGTATAAAAAATATTAAAACTACCTGTGGCTGTCTGAAAATACGATCAATCCTAAGAACATGATCTAATACTTCATTAAAGAGAACAAGGGGCACGTCTAACTCTTCCTCATAAAAGATCTGTAAATACATAAACATAATGTTAAAAAAAAAATTTGAAAAAAAAAAAAATCAAATCTAATATCTTTGAAAAAAATACCTTAAGCCTAGCTTTGGTGTAATCTCTGAGTGATTGTCGTTCAACAGGCAGGTAATCTTTAGACAACCAATTGCTGTAGAGAATGGGTCTTTCTAAAGCGGCATCTCGACTGATGTTCGGGAAGTGTTTTAACGCAACTATATTGATATTTTCATCAGTCCATACTCGTTCATCTTCTCCAACCAATCTATAAAAACATCATATTCAGCATTTAAAATGTATAAGTATAAAAGCACACCAAATTATCAATCCATTAAATTACCATAAATAATGGAATATATTTAGTGGCTGAAATGATTAATACCAAATATTCAAATTTACGTATTAACAAAATATACATTAACCGTAAACAAGATTTAAATTTCAAAAGAACAATTCTGAGCAGCATCATTACATTTTTGGACTCTCCTCAGATTAGGCAAGGTTTAAATAGTCTTGTCCCAATTCCCTTTAAGTCAAATTAGGTAACATCCATACAAAATATAAGAGTGAGAAATATAACACAGATTTAACACTTCATTATTAGTTTAATTTAAATCTATAAGATAATATTTGCTTTTAAAATATATCAGGAATTTTTTAAATTATGAGAAAATGTGTTATTTTAAGTACACAAATTTGTTGGCATGTTTTTTCATGCGTTTTGTTACTATTATTTGACTCTTAAAAGATATTCAATCTTTGCAACTTTTATTTATACTTATAGATAAGTAAAAGAAACGCCCTTTAATTATGCTAGTACATTTTTTACTCAGCTATCTCTGTAAATTTTAATGCCTCCAATATTGAAAAAATATAACGATATTCAATATTTAAAAAAAAAAAAAAAATTTGAACAAGAAACAACATTGAAACACATCTTTATATATATGTGTAAGATTTATAATTATTTTTCCGAATGCATTACTTATGTGAGCCATGCTGTCTCAATGGTTAAGGCACTGAACTGTCATTGTGAAGAACTGGGGTTCGATATCCAGCGGCAACATGAAGCCCACTCAGCCTCATATCGATGGATATCAGCTTGTCTGAGAAATAAAGGTGGCCTGTGTGCAGTGATGTTGACCACATTACCATAATCATGCAGTTGGTCACAAAAGTAAAGCCTTAACCTCCATGACGCCCTGGCCCACAACAGGTTGTTGTGGGTATGCTTTACTTTTTGCATTACTTATGCTAAAGCACAATTTTACTATTTATTTCTATCTTAGATTAATGAATCATGGAATTTCATTAGGTATGAAAAATTTTATATTAAATTTTAATATTGGTTTATAGTAAAAAAATATTTTTTAATAAGAAAATATCGAGTATTAATAAGTCTAATTACTTGTAGAATGGTAACACATGGAATATTTACTTTTTACCAAAATTTAAAGTTTTGGACACTTTTAAACAGTTTAGGACAGTAATACCCATGTGTCCTGTACAAAACTATAATCTTTTTTTTTTTTTTTACATAAATGCAGGATGATTATTTTCAATAAATCTTTTAAAAAGTCTGAATTAAGAGTAAAATTATACAAACAAGAGGGCAAAAAATTTAATACCATGAATTCACTATGTGCATTGAGAATTCGGTAGCACTGTTAATTTCTCTATATTTAATCACCAAACTTTTAATATTATTTCGCAAATATAAAGTTTTCCTCAAAGAAAGACCAATGCTAGTAGAATTTTCTTGAATCAGATACCTAAATCAGAGCTTCCTCTATCTTATGAAATGCGTGCCAAATTGTAAAGATATGGATCTTAATATTCTAATGAAATAAACTTGGTGTTATGTGAACTGAATTTTTTCTTACAAAATTAAAAATATATCATCACATATTAGCAATTAATAAACATTTATACTATTTCATATTTAACAAAATAACATTAAAATGTGTAAGCTAATGTTGTTGTTAAAAAAATAAGTAAATATAAAAAAACAGTTACATGAATCCTTGTTAATATTTAAAGAATAATCAATTAAAACATCCACACCTGTCTTGGAAGAGCCTTAATCCTTCGTGAGCCCACAATCGTACCAGACCTTCAACTGGCAGAGATTCAAGAGGTCTGATAGCTTCACAAATACCTCTCACCCACCTTGTAAGTTCTCTGGGACTGTATACATAATGTGGCTGCATGTCTTGTGTGAATCGTTCCTAAAAAATAATAATAATCTATATGTAATTAACTCAAGGGTTAGTAGCATCATAGTGCTAGGCCACACTTCTTTACTAAGGTGACATTTTTTGCATCAAAAAGTTCTTTATTATTGTTTTCAGACCTTTACTTTATAAGTTATCATATTTTCCACTTAATACAAATACAATACACAGAAACATGCTATTGCCTAGATGGATAACTTATTTTATACTAAAATTTTTTTTTAAACAATTTAAAAATCTAGATTATCAATTTAATGTCCAATTCAATAAATTATAATTAACGATTAAAAAAAAAACACTAACTTGTGCACTTAATATCTACATTTGTTGGGTTGTTCAATATTGCTTGCATCATCAATTTATCAACTTCAATGTAAAATGCATTAGTTAAAAAAATAGAATATTGATGTCATTAAATAGGAAACGTATTAGAAAATTATTTAACTGGTATAAATAAAATGCTCTTCAGTATAACAGCAGAGCGTATTCTAAGTACTCCAGCCAATATTTTAATAATGCAAATCTCTGGTGGTCATAAGAATAACATATTGATCTGTTTGTCTTCATAGTATCATGTATGTTTAATAGTGTCTGTTGCTTCGCGTCTGTTTCTCATCTTGCCACTTTACACAATCAGTTTGAATCTTTGACGAGNCTTGTAAACCTTTGAATTTGTGACTTTAAGCATGCTGTTAATTTTATTTTCTTTATTTTTTTTTTAAAAAACGAACTATAAATGATTACGCAACCGTACGATTTTAACGCTTGTCCGTACAACCGTACGATCGAGTAAAATACCGTACACTGTACGGCGAAACCGTACAAGTTGGCAGGTCTGGTTTTGTTACTTCGAAATATCTTTTCAAATACATACAAATATGTTTCGCAAGTAGTCAAACAAGCGTCACCCCACTACATGTGAAACGGCCCAATCAGAAGCTTTGCTACCTCTCGAATATAAGTGACGCGGCAGTCAACATGTTAATAAACTATTTCTGTAACAAGGCAAGTAAGACTTGCAGATGTTAATAACAATCTAACTAAAAAACATTTTATTTTATTTTCAAGGAATTTTTGATTTAGTCATTGATTGATTGATCTCCTAAAAAAATGAAAGATTAATAAACAGTAAACATACCTGTGACATGAGATAAAACTCAACCATAGCTGCAGTAAGTGGATCAGAATAAGTTTTCAATGCGGGCAACAGTCTGAGCATAGCTCGGTTAAATGTACCGTAAATTTGCTTCAGTGAGGTTTCGCCAGGGTAATCAACATAAACCACAGGCACATGGCGTAAAAAGCTGTAAAGAAGCAAATGCACTAATTAAAATGCAACAAACAGTTGTATAAAGTTTAGTTTATTTATATAATTTTATTAGTTTTTCATTGAAAATACAAAATAGTTTTGTAAGCAAACTGGGTTGCAGAGCATTTCAATGGTAGAAATGTGTTATCTGCTGTTGTTGTATCATTTTGAAATGCGTAGCAACAAGAGCTTATTTAATATTTTCTGCATTTTTCATTAGATTTATCATAATATTTAAAATCCCAATTCTTCTTTTTTCTAAAAAAAAATAATAAATTAAACACTTTTTAGAGCTATTTTCTAATAAGGCACAGTACAACATGTTTTTTCTTTTTTTAAAAAAAATCTAATTGAACTACCAAACACACAACTATTGACATTCATTGATAGGTGCATATTTAAGATTGTGCATGAGCAGTAAAGAGAATATTTTTTAATGTTATGTTCATGTTTATAAATAATTTCAACCTATATGAAAATATATTTTGCATAAGAAATAATTATTATCATACCGATGAGAGAGGGGTTTCCTTCCTGGATCAGTAGGTGGATTACAGGCACCAACAAACTGTATCCTCTCTAGTTTGACAAATGCTTGATCAGAAGTTCTGTAAAATCCGCCATGTTCTACCATTTGTCTTAAAAATGATATCACTCTTTGTGTTCCTGAATATGATAGTCAGTAATCAAAACCAAGTTGTTATAAACTACAAGTTTTTTAATATTACAAAGGGATAAATAAATAGCAGAACAAAATGTAACTAAAGAATATAAATATGACATTATCAGAGCACGGAATTTCCACTTGTCATTGGAGATCAAATATTTAAGGATGACAAGCAAGGCTCATCTTTTAAAATGTTGAATTAAACTATATACGCTTAAATTATTGTGCTTCCATAAAGATGTGTAAGAGTTTTGAATCAAGTGACAGTATTCTTTAATTTAGAACAAAAATGGCAGAGTCACCCAACCTTAAGGCAACATTAATTTGGTTTAATATAAAGAGAAATGCATAAATGCATTTCAATTTTTAAGTTTCTGCATTTCTTCATGGATTATATCACCAAAAATCTCTTTCAATTGCATTTGTCGACATTTTAAAAATCGTTTACGTTTTTTGTGAATGAGGAGCTAAAATTTTCATCTGACTAATATCTTAAGAACTAAAATTTCATGATCTGACATTAAAAATAAATGAATTATGCAACCACAAGTCTGTAACTAAAATTAAGAGTTATTACAGTAAGAAATGATCATATCACAATGAATAAATCATACCAAATACAACATTTAAGTAATTAATAAAACTTGCCATATTTATCCATATCTGGTAAGTTAATTTCATCACAGAATAGCACAAGCCATTTTCCCAATTGTATGGGAGATAAAACAATTCCATTTGGAGTCCTCTTGTACTCACAATAATGATCAAAAGTTTTTAGCAAAAGTTCAGGTGTGGTAGCGCTGGAGAAATTCAAACCAACAACCTAACAATAAAAAGTTTATATAAGAAATCAAAATTTATTATAGTACTACCACAATTCATTACTTACAACATTAATATTATCATTAAAAAGATTTAATATTTATTTTAAATTAAATTTTAAAAAATTTTCATTGGAAATCAGAGAGAAATTTGTTTAAAGAGTTTGCTTGTAGCATTGGGAAAAAAATTCTTTATTATTAAAATTTTTGTCGCATTGTAAATGACAGCCCATATTAACCCCTTCCATCTCGCTCCTGTGAAATTTCCGGGCTTGAGTGTTCAGTAGTAAAGTGCCAATAAGAATAAAACTAATTAAATTCTTTTGTCCGGAAAACATTTTATTTCTCCTTTTACACACCAGATGGCAGTACCAGGATATTTTTAAGGTAATTGCAGATAGTTAATTTACTTTAAACTAGACACTAGCACTAATAAAATACGTGCATTTGACAAAATAGGCACTTTTATGACCGTTTTCTTGAAAATTAAGCGATCGTTAAGGGGTTAAGCACTCCTAAATTTAAGGGTGGATGAAAAATCCTCAGCATATACCGTTTACAATTACCCAAAGCCCACCACTACTTGTTCACATTGAAATATTTAATAAAAATCAATTCAACAAAAGTAAATAGAAAAAATATTACAAATTAAATAATTAAAAAAAGGCAACACACAGGAAGAAAAAAAAAACATTTATACACATAAAACTTTTTTAAAGCCATAGAAACAGTTTTATAATTTAAACTCATAAGAAACCTCCAAGATAGTCACTACAACTTATGAGAAAATTCTATAAAATAGATAGAGTTTGAGCCACTGTGCCTCAGGGGATAGAGCGTTCATCTCCCAATAACAGACGTGCCAACCTAGCAAAATTAACATTCAGGAGTTTCCCCAACAAGAATTAAGAAGATTTCAGGAGGGCTCTGCCTGGCTGATGTAGCAGGAGGAGGGGTAGAATCTCTCTTTCTTTTTCTACAGTGTTGGCCATTCACTTCCTCTTTGAAGAATGATGCTAGTGGCTCCCACTGCTGCACTAATCTATCTAAACACCGTCCCAATGACAGCCATCGGCGTTATCTGCCCCAAGAGAACGACAATTTTCAAATGGTATATCATTTGCATTCAATTCTCTAAAAATCAAATTGGCAATATTTATGCCAGTTGAGTCTCTTACTAAATTTGGCACAAACATTAAAGTGATCTCAATTATCATACTTTTCTCATTATAATATGTAACAACAAGGGGATAAAATTTTGCATCAGACTTTTTGCTACCATCAGTTGATACTGAAAATGGACTCTTTTTTATAATTTCTACAACAGATTCTTTTACCATTGCAGCCATTTCGTTTATAATGGTTGTTGTTTTTGTTCTGCCAGCAGCATATTTTTTGGCGATACCATCGTTCGGAAACATTTTGCGGAACAATGGTCCAGCATGGTCAGCACAATTAATGGGCAGATTGTGTTCGATCAAAAATGCAGTGAAGTACGCTTCAGCCCTTATGACCGAATCGTCATCGGCGGGAAAAGATATCTTGTTAGTTTGCAAAAATTTCACAGCGTCTTTGTGCTTTTGCCCATTTATGTGCCACAAAATGTCATTCTTGCCTCTGTGAGCGATTAATATATCACATGCACAATCGGAACAAAAAACATAAGTGCTTCCTTTACGGGATGCAATTATTGAAGGAAACTCATTAGTATATGATTTGCTAAAATTGGTAACATACTTTCGTTTCGATTTAGACATTTTAAAAAAATATACAAAGGAAGGCAAAACGAATAACGAAAATCACGTTGATTTGGTAAACAAACTAGTTTACAAGTTTGTTGCCAACGGTTGAAAAAAAAGAATGATCCAATTGTTGCCAACCGTTGAAAAATGCGCACTAAAAATTATAAAAACAGCAAGATACAATATCGATTCCAACTATCCAGAGTAAGAGTATCCACTTCGATTCTGACGTCACTGCATATTGTCATGTGACGTATCGTCATGTGACCTAGTGTAAGGGGGTGGGTCAAATAGGAGTGTTAAAGAGGGGGGGAGGAAGCACCTGCAGCTACGCTTTAGGCAGATGGTAGTTTGTTAAGAGGGGATGGAATTCGCAGGGGGGGAGGGGAAACTTACACACTCGCGGGAAAATCAGATAATTTTGAAATTGGCCATCGATTGAGGTTAAATTCGGGAGCTTTTCTTATCAATTCCGGAGGGCGGGAGAAGAATAAAGAATGCGGAAGACTCCCGCATTTTGCGGGAGAGTTGGCACGTCTGCAATAAGGTGACTCAGGCTCAAATCTTAGTAACGGCAGGTATAAATTCAGCTTCTAGCTGACACCGACGACAGTGCTAACATAAAATATCCTTAGTGGTATGGATCATAGTTTAGAATCGCCTTTGCAGTTAGATTGACCATTGGAGATTTTCCTCTCCATGTAATGCAAATGCTAGTTAGTTCCAGCAAAGAGTCCCCCCCATGAAGGCTAGTTTCTCCCAATGCTTGATTCAGGAGTTCTCTTGTCTTCTGGGTTAAGTTTAAAATTAAAAAGCTACAGAGTTGAACATTGATAGTTGTACACTCAGAATTGGGTCAGCTGTTTAACGCCGATTATAAAATAAAATAGACAGAATTTGATGTTACGTGTACTCATTTACATAACAGTATTAAAGAAATAAACACATACTTCCATATCTGGAAGTGACCTCAAAGCACTGAAAAGAGTCATTGTTTTGCCAGATCCGGGAGGTCCACACAAAACTAAAGGTTTATGTTCTGCTAACCAAGTGTAAAGCAAAGATTCATGTCGCACAGTATCAAGGGTAGGAACAACAATATCTGGTGCTGCAACTTTATGTGTCTCAACTTCGATTTGAGGAACTTTGCTCTGCCATGGTGACCATTCACCACTTACAGAAACCTGAAGAAAAAAAATGCATTTTAACATTAGAAACTTTAATTATTTAAAACAAAAAGTTTACATTTTTATAAGAAAATGAAAATAAATTACTTTTTTTTCCGGTAAATTTTATTTAAATTAACTATGCAATATAATGAATAATATCTAATAAAATCACATTTGTGTCTTTGATTTTTGATTTTAAACACTGATTGATTTTATAAACAAGCAGTTGAATTCTTGAAAAAAATTACATAAAATTTCTAAGTTAAACTTTATAAATGAAAAGGCACACTATAAGATGAATTAATTACTATATTTTTTTATCAGTTGTAATTTACACTTGTCAATTTAGAATTATTATAGTTGTTAAAGATTTATTGTTTATTAAAAATTTAATTGTTATTTGGCGTTAAAGAAAGAAGAGTTGAAAAATATTTATACAATTGAGTAGTACATCAATATACGCTAGCAGTTTATCTTTGTGGACTAAATAATCATAAATCAATGCACTTTACAGTAATATGTATATTATAATTTAAAAATTAGTATTTAATAAAACCAGGGTAGAAATAGTGACAGATTTTTTAATGATAGATCATTCCATTTGATAACAAACTAATTAAATATTTTCTGACAATGTTCATCCATATTAAAAATAATTGAAAACAATAAATTATATTTAACAGTATAATTGTCATATATAATAATATTTAACAGTATAATTGTCATTTAACAGTTATGAAAATCTTTTCAACTTTGAAGGTGAAACAAAGATTTAAGTAATATATTTGCTTAGTTATGGTTGACAACAGTATTTACCTCAAAATCAATAATGGGTATAGCTGTACTAGGAGGCAAAGGTATAGTTGTAATTCCTCTGATGAAATCACCAAGATCTGATCGAATTTTCAATTTTCCATCTCCAGCAAATGACCAAAGGAGAGCATAGATCAAACAGCGAGGTATATATCTATCAAGCTGATCTTGCTACAAGTAAAAGTTTTATAAAATCAAATTAAATTTTGTTTTTTGCAAGCACAGATATCAACTTAAGAAATTTATACAATTTATAAGTGAAAAATGAATAAATAAAGCATAAATATAAAAATTGCTACTAAAGTAGTATATCTTCAAAATAAATATGTTCCTTAATTATTTTAATAAATATTTGATTAGAAGAATTTCAACTTAAAGTTAAACAGATTTTTAGAGTAAAAGTTTATTTATTCATCATTATTTTTTATTGTTATATTATACTTATAAATTAAAAAACATACAACAGTAATTTTGCGCAGTTAAAGATCTAAATATTTTTCAGATATTTTTGAAATAATAAAACTTTATATTTCCCTTATTTCATGAATGCCTATGTTACAATTTAATTATCTAAGGAATATTTTATTTAATTTTCTAATTGTAAAACTTATTTTGCAAAAACTTTTTTTTCTCTATCCAATATTTTTTTGAAAAAAAACTTATTAACTAAAATTAAAGAAATTATTTATTGATTTGAAGTATTTTCCAGCACTTTAGCATAAGAACTCTGTGAAGAATTTAAAATTTATAGCAGAACAGAATGTTCTTAATTACGATTGGTAGTTCATTATTTACACAACTCAGACTAAATAGTCTAAAAAATACAAATAAAGGTTTTTTTCCCTACTTTATATAAAAATTTCTCACTGTTTCATAGCAGATAACAGTAGACAAACATTTTATTTTCAATTGAATATCAAATAGTTATGTTACTTTTTAATAATCCTTAGTAAAATTATTCTATTTTTTATTTTAAATGTTATGACCTCAGAGATTTTAAAAATAAAGAAATCAAGTCAAGAGATTTGAGAACATGTATGTGACAACAAAACCCAGAACTTGTGTATTTGTAGAGTAGGGCATATGCTTTGAAGTCCTAAGTAATAATCTGTTCCTCAAAAAAGCTAAATTACTTTATGATTTCTTTCATATTTTTCAAGTTAATTACTGCCCCGAAGCGGGGGTGCCATCCCCTCCGCAGAGGATCAAAATTGTGATGGTGTGTCTACGGATCATCCTCCGGGATGTTTCCCAGGCCGTCGCCAATAGCCCATTGTGCAGTTCTAGTGCGACGTAAATTAACAACAACAACAATTGCTGCCCTGTTAATCAGAATTAAGAAAAATAAGAACTTTTAAATTAAAGTCTTACTGGAATCTTTTTTTTTTTTACTAATTTATTTTAAAAATATAAAATTGATAAAATTTTAGTATTAGGAATGTTTTTAGAAAGATTGTGAAAAAAGATTTAGACTTGTACAAATCGTCATGGTTTTAAAATGACATTAATTTTAATTTTTTTTATATAAACCATTTACATTAAGGAAACATGGTCAAATTCTTGTACTTATAAAACCAGTACAAATAGAATTAGAAGAAAAACATTAAACACATAATTATAAATAGATTATACATAATAAATAGATCATAGGAACAAATCTTCTGACAACTATTCTAGATCTATTTGTTGTAAAAGACCTTTAAAAAAGAATTCATTTACTTTTATTCAGAAATTTGGAAATTTATTCACTTGTTATTCAATTACAAAGCAAAGAGTAGCAAAATAAATTAATCTCCACTTTTTTAAAATAAATAAATAAACAGTTTACATTGTACCTGCATAGGGAAATCAGGATGAGTATGATTGTAGTTAAGCACATTGCGACAAGATTGGTTAAGCATTGAAAACAAAGAACCAAGAGCTCTCAACCTAGTGAAATCCATAACATGTTCTTGATTAGAGGCAAAGTCTAATGCTCTCACAACTAATCCATCAGATGCAAAATGTGGTGCAAGAATTGTAGTAACATCTCTTTGAACCTTTAAGAAAATTAAATATAAAATATTAAAATGTATATCACTAAAATGATTACAAATCAGAAATAGTACACATTTATAAAAGTAATCACTATTGCATAAAAAAAAAATCTAAAGTGAGCATAGAAAAACTAAATAATCATTCAACTTTTAAAATAACAATTATTCTATAGTAATAGATTATAAGTTGTGAAAAATTTCGAATCTAATTTCAATATTATGTCAATTGGAAATTAAAGCCTGATTTTTGAAATTCAACAATTATTAGTTACTGGGTATTTTCCTTGAAAATGTATGTTGCAATTAAAAAACATTCAAAAGGCATTTTTCTAACTTAAATAATACACTTTCAGAAAAAGAGTATTTTTATCAAATAAATTCTCATATGTGATGAAGAGAATTCTTTATGCCAAAAAATGTAAAATGTAATCCTTAAATACAAAGGGTGATCTTGATGAAATAAAACTTAAAGTGATCGATAAAAAGTAAATACTTGTAATGTTGGCGACAACAGATCTTCTTTCAAAGCGTCTTCCTTCTTTTTCTTGTAAGATATTTCTTCTTCAACTTCTTCGAGTGGAATATATCTCAATTTCTGCATGAAATTTTCAAATACCATTTCTGTAGATAACACATCTTCACTGAACCAAATCATACCACATCGAGATACAGTAGCCAATGTGGCAAACCTCAAGTCCTGAACTTCAAACATGATTCTAACCTGTAAACGTATGAAATTTAATAATGCAAACCTTTATCTGTAAAAATGTAAAAGTACATTTTGACAAAAAAAAGAAAGAAAGAAAAGGCCTTACATTAGGTGGCAAGCTAAGACGTTCTCCATTGGGTAAAGTCAAAAGTTTATTATCATCGAGAACACTATTCAAATTTTCAACCCATTCTGGATCGACATCACCATCAAATATTATCCATTGGCGCTTGCTGATTTCTCCTCTTACATTATCAATAATCCTAATAAGAGAAAAGAAAAATTTAAATTTCAAGCATAAACAATAAAGAAAACTTTATTTAATATTCCTTCACAGAAATTAACTTATTTCAATCCAGTCATGAGACTATCATTGTAAAAATCAATACAATCACCACATCCCAGATTTATCTTATTCAAGTAGGTCAAAAAAAGTGCTGTGCTTATAAAAATTAAAGTATTTCTGACAGAAATTTGTTCCTTTTGCCATTAGAATAGGAAAACCAGTAATGTAGGTTCTTAATATTAAAAAAAGAATTAAAATACATATCTTCAAAGTTATATTCAACTTTTTAAATCGAATAAAATTATTTTATTTCGCAAAGCTACCAGCAATATAGGGTATCTACAGAGTTTTAAAAAAAAAAATTTGCATCTTGAATCAGTCATATATACTGATTAAGTAAAGCTATAATACATTTTGATAATTAATTGAAATATTTATTAATGACTATTATCAATCATGTAACAATGCTGGAAAATATAATAGATACATACTTTCTCAATACATGAGTAAACAATCCATCTGTCCATTCTCTGGTATTTGGATCAAGAGTTCCATATAAGGCTTCTTTTGAAATAGCCTTAAAGGAAAAATAAAACATTTTACTACCAAATTAATCTGTAAATACTGAAAAAATATCCATTCAAACAAATCATTTTTGAGATTTCTAAAAGACAGAATAATGCTAAAAACAAAACGCTTAAGATCAAATAAATTTTTTTTAGTTATTTGTTTATAAATAATTATTTCCATTATTTACATTTACTTTCAATACTGATATTTTTTTACAGTTCAATCGATAGCCTTTTATAGTATCATCTGACAGTTTAGTTAACCAATTAAATACTCACACTCTCTAAAAAGTCATTTTAAACCAATAAAACAGGACTGATGTACAACTTTATATATAATAGAAACACAAAATCCATAATCTTTTGGAATTCAATAAAAGCATCTAACATGTTTTCGAGTACCACAGTATAACATAATGCAGATTGGCATATGTTAAATATTTAAATGAAAAAAATATAGTAAAAAGAAAGAATTGAAGATATTAGAAAACATAACCAACCTTAGGGTCAATAACATGAGCCACACCTTCAACCCCTTCAAATCTTTCAAGAGCTTTCAGAAGCACTCTCCATGCAGTAGATTTACCACTGCCACTTGGACCAACCATCATCAGGCCATGATTCAGTTGAGAAATTTGGAAAAGTTGCAAAACCTAAAACATTTACAACAGTAAATAAGAAATGTAAACTGGAAATACACAATGCTAATATCACAAATTTTGATACTAAGAATTTTTAGTCACTGAAAAAAGGTCTGAATTTATAGCCCCTTAACTATTTATTTTAATAATGTGGGGGAAAGTAAATTTTCGATGCAAATACTTTTTTAACTCTAAATTTTATAAAAACATTTTCAGTAACCAGTATCATTCTTTAATTTCAGAAGATTTTAAAATGCTTTTTATTTCCTATATTAATTTAATGACTTACTTATTGCCACCACAATAAGGTAGAGAATGTAAGTTTGGTAAAGGTGTAGAAAATTTTCTGAGTTTAATATTTTCCCAGAATACCCTTTTTTTCAGATTAAAATATACCCAAAAATTATAGTGCTTTTTTCAGATACAATAACTTTTTCAAAATAATTTTTAGAAAGTAAAATTAGTATAGCTGTTAAAAATGTTTGATAATAATATTTTATTTAAGATGGAAAAAATGCTTACACATAACTGGGTATGCATTTAAATTATAGATATGAAAATATATTGAAATAGTAATATTTTATAGAATTAAGTTTAAGGTCTCTCTAAGAAATTAAAACTTATATATATAAATGAATTGGCAAAGTTATTAGAATTCCGTTTAACATACCAGAAAATAGTTTTGTCTTTTTAGACAGTTAAGTTCACACATATATTTTGATATTTAAATGACTTACTTTTCATCTTCTTCATGCTTTATTTGACCAAATACTGAATTATTTTTTTTTTTATAAAGGAAATTTAAAAAAAAAATTAGCTTTTTTTAAAAAAATTGATTAAAAAATTTCCTGAAGCTGCCGGAATTTCTCCCCAACCTCCTTCACATGATCGGGCATAACCTGCACCCCTGAAGTATGGGAATTATTAATTAGAGAAACTTTATTTAAAAAAGTCAAAACTGTAAGATATGTACACATATATGTCTTGAATGTGTTGCTTACTAGTAACTATATACCTACTATAAGCACTGTAAGTATGGAAAGAAAAAAAAATTATGAATTTAAAGAGATCAATTAACTAATTACTTTAATTATATCTTCCTATTTGTCAAAGATTATTTATAAATTCATTCATTTTCAAATATGTTGGCAAAGACTGCTGAGATTTTGCAACCATATTATAAATAAATTTCTTAATGTATGAAAATATTTCTTGTGTTAAAATGTGAAGAAAAATTTAAACTTTTTTTCCCATTCCTTTTGCAAATCCTCTTTAGTAATAAGAAAAGGGATTTTCTCTCTTCAAGTTTAAAAGAATACAACAGGAAGTTTAAACAGTGCAATTACAAATATCTGGAAACATTTATTAAAATTTATGTATTGTCATGAATCAGCACGTCAATCGGACAGATCTAGTTGCCATTTAGCATTTTTTCTTTTTTCATTTTGTTTTAATATTAAAAGATAGTTTAACGCTATTTTCATTTAAAGGTTTAAAATTAAACTAATTTTAAATAACAGCCAAAAAATAATGATTTTAGAGCTTAGCAAACAATAAGAAAAAAAAGAGAGGAATGTAGGTACCTTTTCCATCCAGAGTCCTCCAACTTCTTCGTTTTCCCCGCACACAAGATACATTTCTTGGCAGACTTTCTTTATTTGCTCCTTTAAACCTTTCATCTCAGCCCTGGTGTAGGAAACACCTGGGAACACATCCGACAAAAGAGAGAAGAGGAGGGGAATATCTTCTGCCACTAGCTTCGGAACCATCGTCTCGCATACACTCTGAATCAAAATCTTGAAGAAAAATTACACCAAAAAAATTTATGAGATGTACTAAAGAAGATGTACTAAGAAGATATATAAATAAGATGTAACAAAATTAGTAAAATTTTACCATCACAAATAGAATAGTAACATGTGCACGCAAATCATTGAGAAATTTTTTTTTAATTTTCTTTCATTATGCAAATCATAGGGGCTTATTTTGAACAATAAATAATAATTATTCTTATGAAAGTGTAATGAGTTTCATGGAACATGAGTTTAGTTTTGAAATGAAATGTTGAAACAAAAGAGGTTTTTTGAAATTTTTACCAATTGGATCTCATTCTTGTAAAGTTTTGATACAAGGCAAAAATGAATTTTTAAGTTGCCGAAATGCAATTATATTCAAAAATTAAAGTTATTGATTTAACCTTAATGATACTAAACCCTGTTGGGAAAAAATGAATATTTATCCTTGTACATTTCTTTAAAAACAAAAATAAATAAATTTAAAATAATTTTATTATTGAGTCAAGCTTATTCTTAAATTACTTAAGGCACGGATATTAGAAAAATTTTTCCTGAATACAGTATTCAGAAAAAGTAAGAAAATTTTATTTTACCCATATCTTGCAAGTTACTCTCAGTGGGTTTAGGTTTTTCTGAGAGGCACTTATTTTGTGAAAATTTAGACATAATTTGAGAAAATCAAAAATTATATTAAAGAATCAACACAAAAATATGGATTAATCGTTTCTTCCGGAATAAAAAAATAAAATTTTAAGAAAAAGTATTTTGTGAAACTACTGGTTTTCCTTAAGTTGTATTTGTGAAGGTACCGATAAAGGGTAGTAAATTTGGCCTGGACAGATCCCTAACTCTGAAATACTTAGTAAATAAACCAAATATAAACCAAAATTAAGAGGAATGTGTATTTCCTCTCATTTCATCGAAGCTTTTACTTAACATTACAGAGGATCTTACTTCTTGCTCAGGTAACTGCTCTGCAATTTTGCCTTCGGGTAACTTTTCTCCTTGCTCAGCTAAGGTATCTTTAATTCTCTGTATTCTGTCTCTCTTGATGTTACCAGCACTGATCAAAACACTTTTAAGAGCTCGCAAGCCAAAATCATAATGAGATTGATTTGACAATTGCTCATCACATAACCTGTAATACAGCAAATCAACCAATTTTAAGAAATGCAAAAGAAAGAAAAATTACCACATAAGCAAAAAGGTACATTAGTAACCTTAAACTGCCTTTTTTCCCTAAAACAACCATAAACTGATAATTTAAAATTACAAAATGAAACATTTATTTGAAGTATAATAAAATTTTATTTAACGAATCATTTAAGGTTAACATAATTTTAATAAAGCAACTTTTCAATTTTGCTTTTAACTAAAGCTTGTGCATGAAAGATTATAAAAAAATATGCACTTTTTATGAAGTAATATAAATATATTCAATAATAACAAATATTATACTCAATAAATTAAAGAATATAAGAATGATTATTAATCACAGTAAAGTTCAAAATTTCTATAAAAAAACAGTAAATTATTTATATTTTGCAAATTAATAAGTTAAATCAAAATTATTTGAATTAAATAAAGCACATTTAACTTGACAGAAATAGAGTTAAATATTAATTAAAAGTTAAATAATAATAATTAGAGTTAAATAAAATAAAAAGTTAGAATTGAATCTTACTTGAAAAATGGAACAATTTTGCTGGCCAGCTTCTCAGCAGAGCGGAAACCTTGTGAGAATAACATCACTTGGGCAATAAGTTGCCTGTCTGGCTTAGTCATGGCAAGAGATCTAAACAGTTTTTTAAGATTGTCTGGAAGATTTGATCTTCCAGCATAGCCAGGATTCATAGTTATAAATATAGCCATGTCAGGATTCACATGCACTTGCTTGCCAATCAATTCCACACTTAAATCTAAATTATTTCGAGAAAGAAAGAACATATTCAATAAATTACACAAAACAATTAATGTTTAAAACTTAAACATGTTTACATACAAACATCAATCAAAGTAATTGCAGTTATATTATATTGAAGGCCAACTTAACTAATATACAAGGTACACACAGTTCAGAAGTTAGCCAAATATTTTCCACAACTATACGTAACAAAACTTTCTAAACTATACGTAACAAATATCATAATGATTTTAGTAACATTTTCATTATTAAAACATTCATGTAAGAAACATTTCTTATTGCAAAAAACTTTGTCAAATTCAATATATAATGCTTCAAATATTTTTATGTGCATAAAAAAAAACCACATTTTAATACACTTTTCATACAATAAAATAGGGGCCACTTTAACTTCCAAATGATAAAAGTTGTAAAAATCAAAACTAGTATTAGAAATAGTAACTAGCTATAAGCAGCTACTTATTATAGAAATTAGAAAATTTCAATCTTTGGAAAAATAATGCTAATAAAATTTATTATGTCCTGAATGCTTAGTTGTTAATTTTTATTTTATCCATAACCTAACTGATATGAATGATTAAAGATGGTGAAACACAGCAATTGATATAGAATCTATATGAGAAATTTTAGTAGTTTTGACTTTCGCAACAAACTGCTTATAGTTAACTGTTAAATATACTAAAACAAACAAAATTTAAGTATGTATTTGAATTTTATTTATTATTAAATTTTTTAAGTCTTCGTTACAAAGACTTACTATTATTTTTTCAAATATCCCATAATCAGCCAATAAGTAACATTTTTATATATTTTAGTTTGTTGATAAAGTTTAAAGCAGTACACCACACAATTCTTATTTTTCAGGCAGTGGTTCTCTTTTCAAAAAGGTTGACTACTCCTAATTTAAACTGTTAATAGTATGACTTAGTGGATGACTTTAGAGTTATCAGTAGCAATATAAGATTCCCTAAAAAATTTAATTATAAAGTTATACAACTTCTTCATTCAGAACAAAAACACATTTTAAGCACATTATTGGTAAGAACAGAGCAGATGAGATGTTTTTTAATATTATTTTAAAAACTCTTAAGGCATGAAATCTATCTCATTGAGTATATAGCCTCGTGTAATATGAAAAACAATTTTCATTACTTAAAACAGATTGTATTGAGAGAAAAGTCCATCGTAAAGTTCAAAGAGAAATTTTTTTACATACTTGTTTTTTGACTCAGTTGGTTTTTCAATGTTTCTTGAATCATTTGAATTTGTTGAGAAACAGCAGACAACATGCGTTCCTCCAATCTGTTAAATTCGTCAAAGCAACCCCAGGCACCAACTTGGCACAAACCAACAAAGATTCTGCCCATAGCCTATACAACAAAACAAATTAGTTTAGTTGTATCACAATAAGAGTTACATTATTAAACTCAAAAACTGCAACTTACTTGGAAGTCAAATGTTTCATCACAGTTAAATACCAAAACAAATCGACCCAACTGATGACCTAAAGCTTTCACAGACTCTGTTTTGCCTGTTCCTGCAGGACCTATTTATTTGAAAAAATAAATTAAATTAAAAAATTTTTTAAAAGATATTATAATACAAGTGACTTTAGTTAATAAAAAAAAGTAACAAAGAATTTTGTCTGCAGATGAGGAAAAAAAAGGTTAAGTAATAAAAATAAAGACTATTTGAGAAATTATTTGAAACACACTTGTAAAAAAATTTCACGCATAATTTTATTTGATATAATTCCCCAGCCTAAACGTATTTCTTTAGCTAGAATAAGTACTGACAGAAAAAAGGTAAGTAATTGAAAACCAATAACTTATTAGATATATTGCTAGTTAAATTGATTCTAAAAGAATACTTTTATAGAAAATGCTTTGAAAACTTATCATTTGAGATGAAAAAAAAAATAGCCTAGGACTCTAAAGCAGATCTCAGGAAGGTGTTGAAGAGTAACAGAAACCTTCAAGTTACTTAATTCTTTTTCCAATTATAGGTATAATCATATAATATTTTATAATTATAGGCACAAGCTTAAATTGTTAAAGAGGTTTCAAGCTTAAACAAGTATAATTTACATCTACTGCATATTTAATGCCATATGGCAACTGACACAGCTTAGTTAAGTTTAAATAAATATATATCATGTGATTTGCCAATCTCAAAACCTACATCTCTTGTTCTCACATAGGCCTCAGAAGGAAAAAGAACTAGAGGAAGACCCAAGCTTAATTTATAACAGATGATATTAAAGATCTGAGGGAATGCCAGATGGGAAAAGACTGGGACTGTTCTTATAGACAAGATTAGATGTAGAGATATTTTTAAGGCTTTATGTGCCACCAAGAACAAAAGGGATAAATAAGTAAGATTTCCTCAAATATGATAAAAAAATAATGCACAGATTTCTGCTAATTATTGGAAAGATCACATAAATATATATAAGAGATTTAAATAAAAAGGAATAGGTTTATGCGTTACCAAAAGGAGATCCTCCTAATCTAGCTTCTAGAGCCTGGGTCATAGTGAGGTAGCATCTGTCAGTGAGTGGAGTTTGGACAAGTTTCTCCTGAACTCCAAGGTATTCAAAACCATAGTTGAATTTAGCATTTGCCATGTGAATGGAGAGTTGTTGCAAGACATCAGACTGGCGGGGATCAAAGTAAAATCGCATTCGGCTGAGCCATTCGAATGATTTGGGGTTGGACACTTTCTTCCTGATAAGTAAACGAGTGACATCTCGTTTGTGAACAAACTCAGTAATCTAGAACGAGTAATACAGTTATTAAGCATGATTGAAACAATTCACAGAGTGTTACAAAATATCATCCTTTATATTCGTACTTAAAAATACAAGTAAAAAAAAATTAAACAATGTGAATGAAGCTTGATCTGGTGCCTCACTCCCCAACTTTTCATACCACAACAGAGAGCAATTTCAGCTTTTCAAATGGGACAATTCATAAATAAAATGCTGTAATAGCTACAAAAATAAACATTTTCCAAATTCTACTCAAAAACTGCCTTTTTACAAAATTACACTATTTTCATTTGCATAACTTGATCCAAAAATTAAATTTTTTGAGCAAACATTCATAATTATATTAAAAAATTTCTTAAATGTAAATTATTTCTTTAACTGATTTAAGTATTTAGACCACAAATATCTATCAATAAAAAGAAATACAATTCCAAAGTACTTGCTCACACATTTCATTAAGCTTAGTCTAAATGTTTAAACATATAAAGGCTATAAAAATCGTAATTAGATAGATTTTTCATCATATCTCTAAACTAAAATAGGAATAAAAATTTATAAGTACCAAGAAATATACAATTGCACATACTAAACTTAACTTGATTGATATAACTGCATTGAAATAATAAAATTTTAAAAAATTACATGCTAACTAAACAAAATGTTAACAATAACTAAGCATCTCACCAAATGTTCTAACTTTTTGCGTCTCAATGGAGGTTGTTCTTGAAGAACAGAATCTGCCAGAACTGTCAGAGTTGACTCAACAGCTGTCAAAACATCTTCCAATGGCTTCAGGTCATTGTTACCAGCATTTGATATGACATGAAGTGCATTTTCTACATCCTCAGACCATGATATTTGGGCAGCCAACACAACAATTTGGGACTAAAATTAAATATTTTTTCAATATAAGCACAAAAATAATTATTTTAGAAAAATTATGATTATAAATAAAGGAAATAATAAATATTAAAAAAAGAAAGAAAAGGGAAAAAATAAACTTTATTACTACTACTGAAAGGGGACAAAACTTTCGATGAACTTTAACTAGTGTGAAGTTCATTAAAAGAGGCAAGATATTTTTAATCAACACTGAAATAATTTACAATAATTACACTTATTTAAAAAAAAAGTCATCAAAAATAATCTGAACAGGCAAAAGTCCTATTCAACGCTGGATAATTGAATTCTACTGCACTCGATACCACATAAAATATGGTACTATATAACACTTCTAATTTAATTATAGTTCTTTCTTATAATATTAAACTTTAATTTAGGAAAAAATATTTACATAAATTATAAATTTAAAATGTACCATTCTACTATTATTAATGCATCGAAATATTTAATCAGATGTATCTGAAATGGCAAATAAATATCTGATTTTTATGTAAGTAGTACAAAATTTAAAAAGTTTTGAGAAACAATAAAGGTTTGGATCTCATGCTTACAAACTATGAAGAAAAATATTTGAATTCTACTTTCAGATATCATTTGATTTTGTATTCACAATATTTTATTACATTTAAAATATCAGCAACATACCTGATAATTGTCAACCCATTTCATGTATTCCTTTTGATCAATTTGCCCTCCTTTGAAAGGACCTATATTAGAAACAGCAGAAGCCAGGAGAGTGGCAAGTGTCAGTCTCATTTCCTTCTCAACCAATGTCAGCCACTCATTAATTTTAGGATGTTCTTTAATAGAAACTCTGTTTGAGAATGCCACCTACAAAAAATTAATATAACAGAAATGATAAAACATATATAGTTTAAAAATTGAATTTACAAAATGTTTGAATATGTTAACTGCTAAAGTGTAAAAATCAGTTATTAAACAGATTCCACAGATTAACCATTAAAGAACCAAAAAAATAGTTTTATTTCTAAATTACTTAGGTAATCTGAAAACTACCTAGATAATCTGCACATTAACCACTAGACACTCATTAAAGTGAAAATAAGTTCTTTGCTGAAACAAGAGCAACGTTTTTGTACACTCATATTATTTATATTTTGCTATCTAAAAAAATCAAGTAACAAACACATTAGTTGATAGAAAGAGGGAAACACTCTTTTGAACTTTAACAATACGAAACTATTAATGAGCACTTGACCTAGGTAAATTGTGAAAAACACACGATTCTCCACTTTAACAAATTACCCTAGTTTACCTGCAAATTAGTTAAGTAACGTGCATATTAACTATAGCAGTGAAATATATACCTAATCGTATAGTTCCCTCAGCAAAACATTTTCACACTATTTCATGAAAGAACCATAAAGTTTGGTAGGAAAACAGAGAGAAAATACCACATTCAAAAAAGTTTTTAATGGATAACCCTTTCCCTGGACATTATTCAAGAAAAAAAATCTCTATTTCTTTTAATTTATGTTCTTTTAAATTTTTTTAACAAAAAAAAAAAAAAGATTTCATAAATATCAATAAAGATTTAACACAAAGAAGTTCCAGTATCAGAGTCAGTTTCATTATGCAAAATAATATTATCAATGAAGCAAAGCAATAATAACCTCTTCTCCTTCCTTGGAAGCAATGCCAGTGACGACTGTATCTTCCTCATCTAAAATTATGGCTGCAACACCAGCAAACATTTTCTTAAAATGCTTTTGTAACCTTGGTATATTTTTACTGTTGCCAATGATTTCTAATAAATCTTCATCACCAACGAAATAGAACCTAGATGAATTAAATAAAAAATAGTTCACTTTCACTAAAAAGAGAAAAATTTGTTCAATACAACTAAAGAAAATCAGAGTTTAGTTGAATTTTGAATTAAGTTGTAATTAATATAACAGTCACTTTCAAAATGAAAAAAATAATTTACAAAGTTGCATGTTAATTGACAATGTTGAAATATTTTTAAAAAAATTTAAAATTTCAATACAAATTTTGATTGGTAGTACATTAAAAAGGTTAACTCACCTTGGGAATGATGATCTTTCCCTTTCTAAATATTCACCCAAAGCTTTTTGAATTTTTCCCAATAAATCTGCTAATCTTTCAAGAGACCTCTGAACACCAGGAATATTTAACACATCCATGACGAGAGGAGACTTGGTCACTTTCTTCATTAATGTCAGAAATTCTGCACTGATACTATATATTTCAAATTAAAAAATATATATTAATTGGTTTTTTAATATTTAAAGAAATGCATTTAAGAATTAAATATCATAATCTTTTTAGTTAACTTTGCAACAAGTAACAGCTAAATCAATAAGTTATCGTTAGAAAAAATGAATTAGATATATAAAAATAGGACTCTATTTTCAATTAAAAAAAAGCTTTGATGTTTAAAAATAGGTAAATAAGGAGAAAAAAAACACTTAGCCATCAATATGTTAATTTCTTGATTTGGTGTATAAGTAAAATAGGTTCCATACACTAGGCGCCAGAGTTTTATTTTCTCTAAAAATAGCTTCTAAGAAAGTTTCCAAAATTATAATGCTACAATGAACACTTTAAAAAATTCATTTCACTAGTTTTCAGCTGATTGTATATTCTTATGGCACTATATTTTCAGGAAAAAAAATGTATGTACAGTATATGTATTCCGTTTTAATGTTTGAGTACATACATATGGCAAATATACATGTTTGATGAGTACTGACCTCTAGTTTAAAATAAACAAGCCATAATCACATTGTGAATTGTAGAAATGAAAGCTTAACTAATAGATAAGAAGTGGTGTAGAGATTGAGAACTAAACATGATTCCGGGCATGAAAAATGGAGGTCAAAACTTCACACAGTCATTTTGACGAGGGCAAAAAGGAAGGAGTGAGGTAAAATAAACATGTTTTATAATTTGTTCTCCTACAAAACATCAAGATTTGCATAACGTCTCGATTCAGAAAAGTAATTTGAAAATTTAAAAAACAAGGACCAAACACACACACATATATATATATATATATCATATCGGCTACAAGTTCTATAATATGTTAATTTTAATACACAATTTTTTAAGGTTACCTGAATATTTGGGTGGTGGGAAATTCAGTTGACAAAATATTTGTTGACTGAATATTAACAAATCACTATATGATGGATTGATAATATAGGACAATAAAAATCTCTAATTTAAGTAAGCAACTTTTTTGCCTGAGATATAGAAATAAACTATTGAATAAGTGTTTCATTTAATTGTCTGATTAGATAACATACAGTTCAACAAAAAGTTGTTGAATTCCATAAGTACCTTTGGAAACGTGATGTTTCAACAGGAAGAAGAGTTTGAATATCAGCACTTCCTGAAAAGATGCCCTCCAAATACACCCAGCGCCTTTGAACGTCAATCCATACATCAAAGAGAGCATTGATTCTGTTTAGTTTTTCTTCCCACGATAAAGCATCTTCTTCAAATTCCTATAATTTACATTAAAAATATATGTACAAACAAATGTATGGCCGTATAAATTAAGCCTATGAAATTAACAACAATGTTATTTTTTCTCAACTAATTATTACACTGAAATGCTAACTTTGAAAAATATTTTAAGAAGTTTAAAGAATAAATGATATTTGAAAATAAAAATATTCGTTATTTATATATAGTCTGATTGGAAAATTCAAATCTTTGTAAATTGCAGAGGTCAATTGTTAAACTTATTGCAGTGACATTGGCAGTTTGCACTTTCTAATTATTAAACAAAGACGAGAATAGCAAATAAAATCAATTAAAATGACTTATGCTTTTCAATGTATTAGTACATACATCATTAACTTATGAAATTATACAAGCTTAAAAAAAAAAAGAAGCTTAATTATGCAAGTGAAAGAATGAACAAATTAAAAGCAACAATTTGGATTTTCAAACAAAATGTATGATATTCTAGAAGGGAAATAGATATGAACATATGTGTACATAAATTTGTCTCTCACTTACTTTGTAATAAGGAGACAATTTCATGGCAGCAACACTGTTAATGTGCTCTTTTACTTTAGTAAACAAGTCATCCCAGCCTTTAATCAATCTGCACTTATTTTGGTAACTAACCAACTCCAGCTCATAGTTCTGCCAAGCTTCTCGAACCTAAGGAACCAAAATAGTCATAAATAAAAGGATTAACAAAACTAAATAACTGAAATTACCAAACATTTTAAAATATAATATGAAAGGAATGACAATCATAACATAGCTAAAGTTTGCATCTTCCAACGAAAGTTTCTAAATTATGTCAAATATTGATGCAATGCATGCAGTGCGATAAATTTAGTTGCACAATACATAAGCCCCACCAGTGATTTCCTTTTCATAACAGCTTCATGTGAGATTTCATCGACCAATGTCGATCTAATCAAAATGTTTACAAAAATATTCTAAAATAGTAGACCAATATCTATTTTTGCTCGGAAAATGGTATATTTTATCTCCTAACTATTATTTTTTAATAAAAATATTGCTGGGTAGACAAGTCCTTGATCGACGACTGACATAAGGACGTCATTCATGAATGTATAAAAAATTCCAATTTAACTTATATGTTTGTGTTGTAGGGATTCGGAAAAAATCAAGGTTAAAGCAATTGAACAACACAACAATTGCAAACAGTTGTTCCACGTTAAAACAATTGCACAAAGCAAATAATAATAATAATAATATTTGAGGAGGAAAAAATGAAGCCTGAGTGAAAACTCAAACTCAAATCTGTAAGAGATTGGTCATGAATGAACATGATAATTTGATTCACAATACTTTTGGTTGTGAGAGATCCTGTCTCACAATTCTGTCTATGTAAGGAACTCTTTGACAATAATTAGATGCAAGTTCCTTACTTTTATGCTCTATTAGGAGTACTATGTTTAACTAACTTGCTCACTATGTTTAACAACAACTCACAAATTAATTTGCAATCAAATATTGCATAATAAGGTAGCATTATGCAATTACATTAGAATAAGAGATATATAATTTAAAAATAAATAAAGTTTTAACTTTTATTAATTTTAAGCTTATGATGGCATAAAAATTTTTGGTTCTTCATTGTTAATTAAGGAACGAAGCATATGGTTTTTCTGGCCAACTATATACCAAAAAAAGAAAGAAAAGGTTTCAGACTATAATCTTTTCATGCTACGTAGAGATATTTTCGTAAATTTTTTTTTGTTTTCTTTTGCATTGGAAAATGGATAATAAAAAATACAAATAACAAATGAAAAGGCAATTTATTTTTTTCAATTGTTCCCCAAAATGTGTTGTTAGATAATGTAATTCAATGCACAATTGAAACATAAGGTCGATAATCTTTAATATTGAAAATAAAAAGCAGTAAGTGAAACAGAATTTATGTAAATTAAATATAGTAAAGAGGAATAACCTGTTTTAAGAATTCTTCCAAAGCCATTTCTCCTTGTGCAATCAATATGACACCCTTAATGATTGCTTCATTCCTCTGCAAATCAATGTCCCAAACCTGTCCAAGGGTAAGATCAGATAGGACCCAATTTACTCTTAGTTGTTTCATCAATTGTTTCCAGTGCCGTTCTTTCAAGGCATCAGATTTCAGTTCTACAATGAGCATGTTGACCTGAAGAAAAGAATTTACATGTATGTTGTTGAAATCTGGGACACAAAATATAAGAAAAACTATGAGTTCATAAAATATCTGCAAAGTTTGTAATGTTATATGCAGTGGCCTTGAATGGGAAATAGAGAACAAGTTTTGACACCAATGATTTTAGAGAAATAAACTACTCTTCCTTAATATCATAGTAGTACCAAGAGTTGTTCCACACTTTTCATGAAATTCCATTTTCATAAGAAAGTGAAAAATTCTCACACATTTATGTTTTGGTTTAAATTTTTTTCCCCCTTTTTATAAAAAAAATCAAAATTTGTTAAAGGCTTTCAGTAAAAGATCTCGTTTTTATTAATTTGTGATAAATTAACTCCTTTTCTAAATCTGTAATTACTGTATTCTTTCTTGCTAATTGAAAATAAGTTCAGATTTCAGCAGGGAAAAAAACTCAAAACTATGCATTTCAAGGTGCATGAATGATAGAGTTCTTCAATTCTATTTTTAAAATAAAAAATATAGGAGAGCTAGATTTTAAGATAAAAGAAGTTTCGCAAAAGGCTCATTTTTCATAATAAAATATCTTGTCAAAGGTTTATCTTAAGATAAAATATTTTCTAAAGGGTCCGTTTTTAGGATATAATATTTTACGTAGGATTCATTAACCAACATAATTTTCTCCTAAAATTATCCCGGAGTACAGTGATAGAATTGTGTGTTTTAAGTTAAACATGTGATAACCATTATTTGCAAAATTATTAAATTAATCGTATAAATTGCTGGAGCAAGTCATCACATTTAACACTATCTCAGCAACACTTTCTAAAATTTAAAAAAAAAATTAAAAAATATTTTTATGAAAACATGTCAATAAAACTATTGGAAATTCTGGTTTACAGATACCACACAGAGATAAAGTTTTAGAAAAGTTAGATACCTTAGTAAAGCTCATCAATGTTCTTTTCACATATTCATAAGATGCATACTGTCGCAGTCTAGCAGGCAGTTCTTTAAGTTGACTTAATAGACCATCGAGATGCTGCCGTAACTAAAATGAATTTGTAAGTTAAACTCCATTACAAACTTTTTATAAAAAAATATTGCCTTATTAAAGAACAAATGCATTCATTAAATTTTAAAGACAATATAGAGATAATAGACATAGAATATTAGTATATTGAAACAAAAAAAAAGTGTCATTCTTAAAAAAGTTGAATTTTTAATAATCACTGTATCATTTTTAAAAATCGATTTGAGGGGAAAAAGCAAACAGAAATTTCAAAAAACTTAAATAATGGCATAGTTATATAGATAAAGTTTATATAAAGGGAGAACAGTTAGTCAAGCATAATTTCTAAAAAACTAACACAAAATAATACAAATGTAAAAAATACAAATATGCTAAGTTTACAAACTAATGGTAATAAAAAATATGATTTTTAAACATAAATGTTGAAATATTAATGAATTTTTTGAAATTATAAATATATTTAATTAATTTTAAATTGCAAATTATAAACTCAAAAACATTCAATTCATAACCTTACTTTTCTGGGTTGTATTGATAACCATGGCTGTTCCTTCATTTGATCAATTTGATCCCAGATTTTGGCCAGTTCTGACCACACACCCTTAAGATCATGAAGTTCCTCTAAAGCAACTAACAAACGTTCATCTGTTGCACTCAACAAGCCTAAAAAATAATGTTTTAAAAATCACCCATCAGGAAAAAGAACGAATTTAAAAAGTCCGTCCGTCACATACTGTATTTTGAATGTCTAAACATTTTTTTTTCTGTCATGAATTCAGCTTTAATAAAGCTTTTTAATATTTTAACTTAAAATCATGAAAATATCAATGAACATTGTAATATGATTTTTCACTTGCAAAGTATTTATTTTAAATAAAACTTGGAAGTTTTTAAACATTAATGCTTTTTTTTCTTCTCACATTTTTGCAGCTTTATAGTATTGTGCCTAAAATTTACTAATATTATAACTTCAAAGTGAGAAATTAATTCCTCATATTTTATGGGGAAAATAATAATAGTTTGCTTGAATAAAAAGAAAATTAAATGACAAAATTGCAATCTCGTATTTCTATATAAATAAATTAGCATTAAAAAAAGTTAACAAAATAATAAATTTGAAATTAACATATTTTTTAAATTAATATTAAGAAATATTTCATTTTTTAGATAATTGATCTTAAAACAGATTATTCAAGAAAATATAAGTAGACTTAATTTATCTAGATATAAATGTACACATTAATTTAGGAAAAAATAAGGATAGCATAAGGTCAAATTATTAAAATAAATTATTATAACAAGTTATATAGATTTTAAAATTCCATATATATTTTTAAAAAAAAATAAATGTAGAACATTTTACTTTCATATACTATATGTAAACAATTTGATTTGTTTTAAACTATTTACTAAATAGTTGTCCCTAAACAATTACAATTAAGCTAAACAACAGTTGCAAAAATCTAAAAGAAATATGTTGGATCATCTGATGGGCATCTGGTACTGACAGATCAAATATCAACAGTAAAATAATAAATCTAAGCTAATTACCTGGTTCCTGGAGTTCTAAAGCTTCTTTAGCCTTCATTACATTATCTCTATCTTCTTTCAAACGACTGAATTTTGATTCAAAGAGGGACAAATGGCCCATTGCTTCTTGAGGTTTTAAAGATCCCTAAAAGCATTAAAATTTCTAATCAATGCAGTCTTTTGTGTATAAAAAAAAAAATTCCATTTTCAGGTATGAGAGTGGAAAGAGAAAAAAAGTTCTTTCAACTCAAATCATGAAAAAAAATTGAATAAAAAGGTGCTTAAAACTATTTTGCAAGAAAGAAAAAAACAACATCTTAATTGCTTTAAGTTTTTTTCCCTACATGTGTACATTGACAGTTCAACAATCTGTTAAGTTTTATAAATAAATCATGATTAAAGAGAATAAATTAATATGAAACAAAATAATGTTGAAAAATTTCATCGCAATTTCTAATATTTGTTCACAAATATACTGATCAACAATTTACAAATCAGCAATTTGGCAAAATTATTTTACTCAGATGAAAAAGCTAACAATGATTAATTTTTATCTTTTTCAATTTATTTTTTACGACTATGCAGTGAAAGCATCACCTTCTGAAAAAATTAGATAAAATATTTTCTACTTTGACGAAACTGCTTCCGCATCTTTAAGTTTAAAAAGAGCCTTAGGAAAACAGAAGGAGAGAGAAAAAAAAAAGCTAAGTTGGTTGTTAAACACATTAAAGGTAATAAAAAAATTTTAAAGAAGAGTTTTTTTTTTAATATTTTCTTAAAAAATTTTTCTGAAGTTCAGAAAGTAAGAAATTCTACCAAAAGTCAGAATAATCTCAGGCTTGTCCCATTTTTTAAAACATTTCCACACTATAGAAAAACTGAAGATAGAAAAGTAACTTACTTCTACAGGTTTGGATTTTTCCCACTCATTCAGAACTTCATTTGTTCGAGCTTCGACAGCTTTGTCCTCTGCCACAATCTTAACTTGGAGGCTAGCAACTTGGACTTGTATAGCACTGTCTTTTCTGCGAATTATTTCATTGAAAGCCGACCACTCACCCTCCACATTGTCGACATGCAGCCAAGAGTTTGGGAACTGAAAACGCTGCCGTTCAAGAATCCTTTGACCTTCTTTATACAACTGAAATCAAACATCAAAACAAAGTTAAATTTACAAATATGCAATTAGATAACAATATTGGAAATACAAAGAAATATTTCAATATTATTTTCTATTCTTTACAATATAAGAGACATAAAAAAAAATTATTTAACTATCATGAGATGGCGATTGTCTAAGAAACTTTATGGAAGACTTTACTTTTTCTCGGGTTGAAACATTGGAAGTGTGCAAAACAAATATGTTCTTCATTTGATGAGGGTTTCGTATTCATTACTATCACTTGACTCAACTGGAATAGAAGATTCTTTCTTTTTCATAAACACTGAAATAGTTCATTTTAAAAAAGAAAGCACATTTCTCTTAGTGTTCTCTTCATTCAGAATAACAAAACTGAATGACTATTATCAATTGCTTATTACTTCTGACTGCACTGCTCATTACTGAAACAATATCATAAAATATGAAAAAAAGTTAGCAATAATCAGATGAACCTAATTCTCTGCCTCTCAACTTTCTATTTGTCAGCTTAACTTTCTTTTCCTAAAATCACTTTCAATGCTTTTTGATGTGTAATAGTGTGTACGTGGAATCATTGCACTTTAATAAAAAAGTATTTTCACATTTTTGTATGAATACTCTAGTATGTTAGTGTTGTACATAATTTTGGTAATAAATAATTTTGAAATTAATATTACAACAAGCAGGTGTTAAAATAATTAGAGAAGAGTTGTTATGAATGGGTCTGCTTTTGGTTTAATATTTTTTTAAATTTTTCTAACCAGTTTTAGCTTAATATTTTATTGTGGTTATTTTACTCATTTGGTTACACAAAAAAGTCACTGAAATTGGATTACAAAATGCCTACAGTAAATGATAATTGAAAAAAAATAAAAATTTGGCCCATTGAGATCCATCCAAGGGGTTGAATAGGCCATTGAAGGTTATGAATGCGCTACTAAATGAAATTCAATGAAAACGTGAGAATCACCTTTTATTCACCCAATATGACAAAAGATAATAAAAAAATGTGCATGACATGAAAAAAGCACAATGGAAATGCATGTTATAATTTAGCAAAATTGATATCTATCAGAATTGATATAAAAATTCATTTAATTAAATAAATAACTTTGATTATGTGACTTAAGTTTCTAATAAACAACTAATATTCTAAATATTTCTTGGCGAAAATGCGAACATCTTTCTTTCGCAATAATCATGAACTATACTATTTAAATAATAATTTAATTAAAAACCAATAACAGATAGTTAATAGTATCATAAAACAAAAATGAGAAAAAGGGGGAAATACACATCTTCATAATCAAGGCAATGGTGGCCTCTTTATAATCATGACATGTGGACCATTCAACCCCACTTAAACTTCTTGAATATAAATTTAGAATATTTTAGAACATTAAATTCAAACAACTAATTTCTAAAAGTTAGTAAACAAATATGCAAATATTTGCCATTGTCATGTAATAAAATGCTTTTAAACTGGTATTTATTTCACAGAAAACAAATTTTAGCCCGCCCTAATCTGGTGGAAAAATGGTTTTGCACAAAAAAAAATATTTTGATGCATATGATAGAATAAGTAGTTTCATTTATTGGTAGCATCTGAAATCATTTCATGCAAATACTTTTTCATATATTATTACTGACCCATTCATTTCCATGGCCTATTTATTACCACTCTCCCCATATCTTATAAAACTGTGGAATAAATGAAAAAATTCACAACTTACTTCAACTTTTTTATCCCAAATTTTCATTTTCTTTTTCAAAGATTGAACATATGTTATAAATGTGACAGCATCTGAAGTTGAATCAGTTTCAATAGACTGTTGTTCTAAATCACTGCGAGACTGAAAAAAAACAAGAGACAAATATAGAAATGTACAAATTTAGATAAACTTATTTTACAGATCTGGATGAAGCAAAGTAATAACTTACTTTTGAGACAGTAGTATGGAAAGATGCCATTTCATTACCAAGAAGTGATCCAAATTTTCCAAGAACATCTTTATGCCAAGAATCATATTTCAATGAAACTTTAGATTGAACCTAATTAAATTAAAAATTATAAGTCAAAATAATAGATATGAAATAATTTTTTTAAATAACTTATGGTAATTCATACCTTTGCATATTCAATAATAATTGGACCGATTTCTTTTCTAACATCTGTAGTGTCAAATGTTGTTCTTGATTTTCTACAATTGTGAAAAATAATTACTATTGAAACAGTGTTTATGATTTCTCATAGTGACTATAGTATAAATAATACTACATAAATAAGAATACTATAGTTTAAGTTTTGTAATGAAGAACCTTCATCAGTATCTAAATACAAAACACTGGAGACACTTTTTTTCACATACAGCACAAAGTTCACCCAACATTTCTTCAACTTTGGCATAAATGTGTGATTAAGGTAAATTTGGCTTCTTTTGTAATATTGTTTAAATCCAATGCTTGGACACAGATGAAGGTTCTACATAATAGTGTAAAAACTGTAGTATACTTGTTTACGTGGTATTGCTTGTGCTTTTTTTTATGTTGATAAACTTAGTTCTTATTTAGCACAAAGTTCACACTTGATCCACCCAAGCATTAATAATTCTCTACAGTCAAAGAAGCTAGTTAAGTATCATTAAACTAAACAACCGGAAAGAAAAAATACAAATCATTATAAAACTGCAAAATGATTATTGTAGTTTTTGTTTAGTAATTATTTCCAAGAATTGATTATGAAGATTAAATAATAAAATATGTATTGGGCTATGATCATGAATATATGGCATCAGTAATACAGAAATAAAATGTTTTAAAAAATGAATGTCTTACTTTATTTCGACTAAAGTATTCATCCAGCGGCTGATATTTTCTCCCAGTTTTGAGTACAGAGCTTCGGGTTGAAGATCCCACAGAGCCTGATATCGGAGCCATTCTTTAACATACAAGTCCATTTGTTGAATTTTGTTTTCGATTGTCTGATAGGCTGACTCTAAAGTGACAGCACCATCAGGCATTTTGCGTAACAAAGTCTTATAAGATTCAGAGACTGGGCGATCTAGACCAACCTATAAGGAAAAACAATATAATTACATTTAAAAAAAATTTTTCAAAGGATAGAATAGTAAGACTTCGCGCAACAGCCCAATGTGGACCAGCAGGACATGGAGGTTAACGGTTCAAAATTTCATGACCAACTGCACAACTGTGAATGTGGTCAGTATTGCACACAGGATGGTTTTACTTCCCAGACAAGCTGGTACCCTTTGATTTGAAACAGTGGATGGCTTCAAGTCGCCCTTGTAGTTATATACTGGCTACATTGGAATCATAAGTAAAGCTTTAGATCATTACCGGAAATAAGATTATAAAACTACAACATTTGTTAAATTCTTTTTTTTTTATTTATTTATTTTTTACAGAAACATTTATAAAGCTTATGATAATTTCATGCTCAACATACGTATTTCAAAATAAGCTGTGATATTTTTATACCCCATAAAAAAAACTGAGTTTGTTTTAAATTTACATATTACATAAACATGCGTTCAAACTCATAATTATTTTTAAAAAAATTTCTTTAAAAAAGAAGTTAAATTTTAAAGCAGATATTTATACACTGAATTGTCAAATTTTTCAGTTTAGTATGTGGTTGACAGAAATGCATTTTCCCCTGTTATTAAAGTTCAATTCCTCTTATTATGGTTTGTATAAGACATACCATAATAAGAGGAATTTTTGAGTTCAGTTGGTTCAGCTCTTTCGAAAATTGGCAAATACTTTTGATGTTTCGCTAATTTACTGGATAATAATTTGAAATCCTTAGTGCGTCCCCTGTAATTACACATTTAATATTTTAAAAATTGTTCATATTTAATGTCAAAATAGTGAAGAACTTTAGTCTGGCTAATATCTTTAGAAATGAAATTTTATGCCCTGTGCAATTAGTATAGTAGTAATATGCAATTAGTTTAAAAATTTTATTTTTAAGTTACAAGAGCTTAAGCATGTTAGGATTGATTTGTACTTCTAAAAAAAGGGCTACCTTTTACTCTTGTAATTTACAGAAATGCCACAGCAGTTTTGGAAGAAAAGCAGAACTTTCTTGGTAACAAAACTTCAGAAATAGGTTTTTAAAACTACAAATTAAACTATAGTAAAAATTACACTTTCAAGGAAATATTATATCAAATAAAATACATTTAAAAAAATAGTTTCTTTTTAATAAAAAATTTGAGTTAATTCACTTCAAGCTATAGGACTCTTTTGTATCAAGAATTAAAATCTCAGGCATAATTTTTTTGTCAAGAATAAATCTGAAGATTTAATTAATATTCCTTAGAAAATTGGAATTCGGTTTAATATTTTTAATTAAAGTGCTTACTCAGCATGCAACGACGCATTTTTATTTAAAAAATTAACTTTGTACTCAATTTGGTTCTTTGGTATTAAGTTGGTTCTTCTATAACTCTTAATTCTATTTTTAAAAATCTTTGTACATCGAATATAAAAGATAGAATTAAAATTTCAAATAAACTAGATAAGAACAATTAAAAATTTTAAAAAAATTTATATTTATCACATAAAACTAGATTTCTTCTTCTAAAAATAGAAAATAAGTATATGATCCCCAATTTAACTTTATAAAGTCTTATGAAAAGAAAATTTTATTTTAATTTTATGTAATATTATTTAAGAGTCACAAGTATTCAGGAACAACAAATCAGGTGGAGTAAATAAAGACACTTCAATCAATTTGTGAATGGTTCACCAGTTCAACATATCAAATTATTGCAATTTCAGCATTGTTAAACTTATGAAAATCAGGCAAAAAAGTTCACAGATTCACAGAAAAGTGGCATTTCTGATTTCAGTTGAATCCTTAAACTAATGGTCAGAAGTGAATCAGTGCACACTAATTTTACCAAACTCACAGTTACAGTCTTGTACAAAAAGTTTCACTTAAAAAATTAATAAGAATTGTTAAGAGATGGGGGAAAAGAGAATAAGATAAAAGACTTAATTATTTTTAACCACAAATTTCACGGGTTCTTGGGATTAAAAAAAAAAGTTTAAGCATACCTGATAGCGGGAGCTTTGAATTCTAGTTTGAAGAAGAACAACATTCTCCCAAGCAAAAAGTTGCTGCATGATGTTAAAACGAGCTTCTTCAACGCTGGGGTTAACATAAATAACTTGATTTGTGATCCTAATTTCGTGAATAAGAGTCTGTATTTGTGGATCACCACCAAGTTTGTGGGCAGTAGTTGTGTCATCAGTAGTAGAATCTGCTTCTTGTTGGTTTTTACCTTCCAATGCTTTCGTCCAAGCATTGATGCCAGCTTCAAGTCTCAGGGCAAGCTTTGTCTCAACCTAAAATAGAATGTATTAATAAATGATATATATGTAAATAAAACATAACACTGTTTTTTTTTAATTTCTAATGATAAAATTAAAAGACAAAAAAGCAATAAATACAAAGAACCAAACAGAGAACAAAAATACAGAAGAATAAAAAAACAGTGAACAAGGAAAGTAGCTGTAGCAATAGTCTATGAATCCAAAAGCGTCGTTTCTTCCAGCAGCGGCCCACAAGAAAGCGATTGGTTAAAATTTGGCGAAGGATAAGATAGTTATCACTTAAGGGCGCAAGTGTTTTGAGAGACAGTCATGACCAATGATGAGCCTTAACTCAACCGCTATTCACAATAAAGTCAATATAAGTTAGAAATTTCATATCACAAGTTTGGAAACTAATCTGATAAATCAGGTTTAAGAAAAAAAACTTTATTAATACAGAATGGCTAAATTAATTAAAATTTTGAAGAAAAAAAATATCAAAAATTAAATTATTACAGAACACAAAATAAATTTTTGTTGGGCAATTTAATTTATTTAAATAACTAGGAGGCTTCGCCCCCCGGAACTACTTTCGCTGTTCATTTCGGATTGCTTCGCAATCCGATGCTCGCTTTGCTCGCTCATTGGATACGTTCTTAACGTCTAGCTTTTGTATACTTTTTTGAACACTGAAGTTCCGAAAACTTTTCACTGTAGAAAATTCTAAACCTGTGCATTTCAATATTAATTTGAAATTGCAAACAGTTCACATATTTNTTATTCAAAATAATAAAAGGTAGTATTAACTAATAGTCAAATTCTGTACTTAAGAAATACTTATTCATTATTATTTTCTTTGAAAATAAAATCGACTAAAGATTTATTTGTTTAAAAATGATACTGACTATCTAACAAATTATAAAACAAACAAATATTGAAAGAATTTTAATTTAAAAAAAATTAAGTACTAATGTCAAAAAACTAAAGATTTATTTGTTTAAAAATGATACTGACTATCTAACAAATTATAAAACAAACAAATATTGAAAGAATTTTAATTAAAAAAAAATTAAGTACTAATGTCAAATTATTAAAAAAGCGGCAAAACATTACTAAACTCTTTATTTAATTAAAAAAAATTATTTGTTTTTTTCTTTTTTTTAACTAATAGCCAAATTTTTTAAACTTTGTTTTTATTTTCTCAAAAATAAACTAAATAAATGTAAGCTTTGTTGTAATTTTTTTATAGTTAAAAACGATTCGACATTTATTGGTTTAACAATAATTAAATTATTATACTTATCTACATTTAATAGATTTAAAAAAAACGAACTTTTTATAACAAAGTTAAATACGAAATATCCCTATTAAATTGTATCGCTGAAAATGAAAAACAATAATGGGAAAAAATCAATGAAAATCTTTTTTTATTTTATTTATATTTTCGTTTCATTGATCTATTGAGTTCAGAACGAAAATTTAAGATAACAGCGATGGTGCAGCAATCGCAAAGTAACCGTAAAAATAACTGACAAGAATCGTTAAACCCAAAAATAATTGACAAGAATCGTTAAACCCAGACAGAAAAAAAATAGTATATCTGATGGTAAGTCTGACTGAAAATAATATACAAAGAACCTGACAATTATTTCTGACAAAATAAAATACACAACAATTGCAAAATGACTTGAGTCCCATTGAAAATAATCTTCAAAAAACGTAAAATCTAAAAGACAAAAATGGACATAAAGAAACTGTGCATTGAGTTCTACATAACAACGCTGATCCTCGCACGAAACTGGGATTCAATTCGTTCATCGTCATTCAACATCATCTTTATAGCAAAACGCTATCTACATCTCTGCAACAAGACGAAATTAAAATAGCCTTCGTCAGTGCGGTAACAGCGCTAGCCTAGTCAAGGATCCTTGCATATTAAATAGTTAAACCGCGATTGTAGCCTTATTCTGGCTATTTAAATCAAATTTCTGATGCATCTCCTAAAACGAAAGTCACTACATCGGCCTACCGATGTATGCGTCAAATCGATATTTCGCGATACATCGATTTATCGCCAGTCCTATTTATGCTCCAATTCTAAATGTATACCTTTTTATATTTGTACAAAAAAGTTTTGTACAAATATAAAAAGGTATACATCTTAGAAAATAGGTACCTAAATAAGAGTCGAATTACAATAAAATATTAATGTTAATAGAAGGAAAAAAACAATTAAAAATAACAAAACTGCCCCTCGGAGAAAAAAATAACAAGTATACTTTATTAAATCTAATGAAAATTTAAATTTTCGGCTTTTTGGACATAAATAATTGTATAAAAGTTTGCTTTCTTTTATTAACGTTCTGAAAAGTAACATTCATTTATGCGAAAAAACTTCGCTAAGAGTCAAAGTGTATCCTAATAGTCGCCTATTCCTGAAAATAGCTGCTTTTTTAGCCTTTTCAGGCAAAAAAAGTCGCCATAGTCTCCTAAGGCTGAAAATAGTAGCAAATAGTCGGATTTTAGTCGCCTGTGGCAACCCTGAACATGAATTCTGTATCAAATGTATTAGACTTCTGCACAGAATGATTTAAACTTTGTTATAATATGAATAAATTTTCTATCTACATAATATACATTAAATCTCTGTATAATAAAATGTGAATTCATGATGAGTTATTTCTAAAAATCCAAACATCATTAAAAAATGAGCTTTATGCATTCCTGAATCAATAAAGAAATAATTTAGTGAAGTTTTATTTCCTGAATCAACAATTCCGAAAAGGTGCTATACGTAACCCTAAAGTTCGAAGAAAAGGTAAAAGTTTCCATGGTTACTCTTTTTCTTTCGTCTTGTTTTTTTTTAACTGGCTACTATTTTTCAAAACTATCCCTTTGTATATGAACCAATAATCCCTAATTTATTTAATATTTTGATAATTTTCATGAAATTATTTAAGTAAAACATCAATGAAAAAAATATTGTAAAATTTAAAACAAAGTACATACATATTTTTCCACTAACTAAATTAATTACAAAAAGCACATGCATTTACAAAAAAGGCATAAATAATTCTTGCCAAACATTTCAATTCAGAATAATAACATTCCAGAATAATAGAATTATCTATCTCTGATAAGTGCTTTCACAGTTCTTATTTTTGAAAACCATTAATCAACTTATTTTTTTCAATTTCAACTTATGCATAGGTCAAAATGAAGCCACTCTGGATTTAAGAATTCAACAGCCTAACATTTAATCTAATTCTTAAGATTGCTATTCATAAAACAAAATCAAAATATCCATTATTCACATTAAATATGTGCAAATTAATTTGTAGTCTTTTTGTTTTTTGTATATTCATAGCTGCAAATAAACTTTAATTTGCTAAGCCGGTGTTCTACCAAGTCATTTTGGGTTCCATAGACAAAAAAATTAGAAAACGCTGTTTTAAATGAAGACAGAAATATTTGCCTTCTGTGGAAATGCTCATCTTGTCAAAATATACAAAAACACTTACTTCTTCATCAAGTTTGCTAACCCACATATTTAGGTTAGAATATTGGTGAAGACTCAAGTCATCCACGGCTTTCTGTATCTTATTAAGGATCTCTGCAAAGGTAGTTGCACTATATGCACATGTTTCTAGAGAACGTACATCAATATCAATCTGTTCTTCGATAGACAAGAGGTCTTCCACCTAATTATTAAATACAGAATTTTGCCATTACAAACTAATTATTTATTTATTTGCAAGAGACATATAGATATAGAAATCATAAATACTTTTTCTTGAAAGTTAAAAACATTTTCTGCAAGACGCTGTACATAGGGATCCAACTTGTAAGATTCCCAAACCAAACTGACACCCTATGGAGAAAAGACACATATTAAAATTATGAAATGCTCTCAGATAAATTATTTAAAATGCTCATTAGGAAACTCATACACAATTTAAAATTAGAATTATAATATTAGCTGAAAAAATAAGCTTCAAAGTAAAAGTAATCCTCTTCAATAAAGTATCAAAATGTGTACCAAAAATTTGTCAGATTTAAGACTTAAAATTTTTTGAACTGTAAAAAGAAATATATTAATGGTAAACTATTACAGATTGAAGCCTTAATACATGATACTTTCTATTTCAAGAATTGGATGAAGATGTAGTATATCAAGTTCAAGAAAAAAAACTTGCAATATATTTAAAGTAAATTAAAACAAGCTAAAAAATACATATGCAAAAGTAAAAGGGAGAAATTGGTGGAAGTAGCCAGGAAAAAAGGAGGATAGGTCAGTAGATTCATTTAATTCTCATTAATCTAAACATAAATCATCCTGGTCATAGAAGAAAGATCCAGTTAGAAATAAAAAGCACAAAAATCAGATTCAAAATAAAAGTTTAAAATATATATATTTACCTCCATAATTAAACTTTGAGCATCCTTCTTCAATCCAGCTACCAAAAGAATAATGGATGGTCTCTCTTCAACCTACAATACAAAAAAATATATATAATCATATGGAAAGTAAAAATAGCAGTGAAAAGTATAAATTTAATCTTCACGTTAGAAACATTTATTTCTTTATGATCACTTATAAAATTTAATTAATAAAATTTATTATCAATTATACATAAATATAATAATACCAAATAATTCTACCCTTGCAAATCTCATCACTTTCATAAAAAAAAATTTCTCAATAACTATTCAACTTGTACAGTAAAAATGCTGGATTTTGTCAAAAATTGACATGCCTTACAATTTGAAATTTCTTCAATCATTAAATTAAATAATAAAAAATAATGAATAAATATTTAAAACTAATTTTTGCATGAAATTATCATTGCAAAAGTAAAATTTTTTTTAAAAATGTGAAAGAACTGTTTATTAATGCAGTGGAATCCCGAGATATGGTTAAAAAAAAATTCAAATATATAAATTACAGTTATATATTTGCATTTTTACCATAGGCCATACCTCACTGGATGGTCTTTTTCATAACAAAAATTTAAGGTTAGAAAAATGCAAATAAATAACAGTTATAGATAATAGGAAATGCCTGTGTATTTTACGATTTTCATTAGAAAAAAAAATCTGAACTGATAATGCAAAATACTAACGTGAACAAATTTTCTGTACCCCATCAAGTTGGTTATCTCGCTAAACACCAAAGGTGCAACTTGTCGAACAAGCTGCACTTTTAAAGTTTTCTTTTTGGCCTTTTCTTCTTTTAAAAACGGATTTAAAATTTAGTTATTAAACTTAACATTCACTTTTGAGGTTGGAAGCATACAAGCATAAACTTGTACACTTCACAAACCTATATTAAAAATATATATCTTGAAATGACAAACATTTCCCTTTTTATTTTATCTAATGAAAATTTCATTAAATTTATAAATCCAGACAGCAGTTTTCTTTTTCTACAATTAGTTTTCTGAAATGTTACCTAGGTGAATAGAATTGAGCAAAGACTTGTAATGAGTACAAAGACGTGGATACAGTTCTAAACAAACCAGAAAATAAAGGTATTTACAAGAAAGCACCTAACTTATTTCTGCCAATTAGACTTCCAAGAATTGATTTATCAAATGTGACAATCAGTTTGAACAGGTTATTTACAGACAAGAATTGATGCAAACAAGTTTAGCAAAACAAAATAGTACAAAAATACAATTGTTCTGTTAGAGAAATTTTTATTAACTTCCAATTAAATTTTACTTGGATAAATATTTTCAAACTAATGTCAAAGTAAATGTTCAATGTTTACTTCCTAGGAAAAGTTATATATATAAAAATTTAAAACTAACCCATTATATGTCACTCACATATATGTATATACATATATGTGTGCGGGTGTTGAAAAGCATATGAGTATATATTTATTTACAGTAATATAATTTGCCTAGGTTAAGAGATAGGAAGAATTATAAAATCTGTTATTGCTGATAAATTTTAAAACAAATGAAGCAAATTTCTTATGGTTAAATCTTACCAGAGTAAATTGAATATCAAAAACTAAAAATTTAATTTTTTAAAATATTTATTTAGAATTCGCCAGTGTGTGACTAAGATTTAAAAGCATTGGGTGCTGCAAAAACTAAAATTAGCACAGTAAAAAAAGGGAAAAAGAAAACAGTTTGCATTTTTTACTTCATGCTTTGTGTGGCATAAAATGTAATTTCAAAAGGAAATGTAATATTTACATATACAGCAAACATGGTACAATTAAACTTTTGTATTTCAAAATTAAGTTTATATTTTCAAGTTCAATATGTAATGCTAAAGAATGTTGATTTATAAAAAGATACATTCACAACTTACTTTCTCACATGTCCTCTCATAAGATCGAATACTTTCAATAAGAGAAATTGCAAATGGATATAGCTGATTTGCTTGGTGAGCTTTATTAATAATTGCCAGCGGTACTCTAAAGCCTAACCAACGTAAGTTGCGCACCTTAAAAAAGTTTTATACCATTATTTTTTCATCCATTATCTTACAAAAAAGCACAATTATTTCAAAGAATATATTTTGAATATAGGTACCTCTTTAGCCAGTGTGATTATTTCAGGTAAGAAGTTTATCCTTAGCTTCAAAAGATTTCCTTTACCAGTTCGAGATCTTATGTTGTCAATTGTAAATATTCTACCAGAGACACCAAGTTGACGTTGACTAACCTAAAAGCAAAATATTTATTAGTTTAGAGCAAAAAATACTAAAATGTAGTTGGTTCCCAAAAATTTTTAATACTTAGCAGGAATTTATTTTAGAATTAGTAGGAAGATTTATTTAGAATGTGTGCAATTTATCAAAAAAAAAGTCATCCATCCTTTTATGATAAAATGGAGCTATTATATTTATATTCAGAAAAAATTTCATTTTCGTTTTTATTCACAACTTAAAATAAAAATTATGGACTACCTTATTAGAAAAAAGTAACTTGTATTACTCACAGTTTTTGACCAGTCATCAAATATGCCTTGAGTGTTCAACTTCACACGAAAACTATCAGCATCTGCTTTCAATTTCTGTCCTTCAACATGGTTCTCCCATCCTTTACCTAGAACATCTTCAACTCTTTTCATGTACACAGATAATTGGCGATCAATCTAAAATATATAACAATGCTTACATTATTTTATTAAACCATAATATCAGTGATTTTATACAATGTGAACACCATCATTTAAATAAAACACATCGACATTAAGAAAACTAAATTAACCTCTTGATCTTCAGACTTTTTTATCTATTAGTATGTATATGACTGATTATGTTTAAATACAAATATATAACATACAAATTGAATGCCAGACAGTTGCCTACAACATCATGATGTATAGTCTGTCTATCTAAAGAACTCCTCGCGCCAGTTGTCAGTAGCATTGCCTGTGACCATGGTTACGAGGTTGAACAATTTAAAATACAGATGTGGGGTAAACCTTTGAGATAAGTTTTGACAGTAGTAGGCAAGAGAAATGTTAAAAGCAGCCTTCTTTAAAATAAACTCTTGTTTTTATAGTAGCAGGCTCTGTGACCTGGGGAAGTCTTTAGATCGAGACACTTTACAAAGATTACACCAAGGAAATTATGGGGTATGACTAACAAATTAGCATCTTTTTCAGTATGGTTAATTTAAAGCACAGCTGCAAATTACTATTAATTGGCATGGAAATAAAGTAAACAACCATATTAAAAAAAGATCTCTAATACATTGAAAATAACAGACATTGACTTTTTTGCGCTGTTGCTTGCTATTTTCCGTCAGTACAGTAACTACTAATAGTCAAATCAGCATAATTCTTTAATTTAATGATACGAGAGAAAAAAAATCCGGCAATTAATTTTTTACATATAATCATGATTCCTTTATTTAACAGCACTTTTATAACTAAAACAATATTTACTTATGTTTTTTAGCCAAATATATACTAATTTTAGAACTGCACACACACTTTACTTGATTATGGAGTAAAGTGTGAATATCAAAGCATGCTCTTTTGACCATAATAAAACAAACAATAACCAATAACAAAGCACTATTGTAAGAAAACAAACAAATAATAGATAAGTTATATTTCATATTTAATCTATATGAATGCAATGTATATAAAATGCATCAAAATTTGGTTTGGTTTTACTTTCAGAGTCTTCTTTTTTTAAAAAAAAGCTAGATTTTTTACCCACTTCACCCTAATTAAAGTAATAATTAATGTGTAATATTATCAGGGGTGATTGTGAGTCCAAGCCAAAATTCCGGAAAATTTCTTGAGTTAAAAAAAAGTTTAAATTTAAACAAGTTTATTTTTCCTTTTTCTCAATATTTCTTAGTTTACTTAAAATATATTTACAATTTTACACATACCTATGATGACCTGGAGAAGTAGTTAAAATTTACAAATATGTCTATTTTCCTTGAGTTTATGATTATAACAACTATTTACTGATAGAAAATTAATATTAATCATGATTATAAGCTTATAAAGTATCTGGCTCTCCCTTACAAACAAATAAAATAAACTGTGTTTTTAAGTTCCACCTTTGAAAATTTGATTTCCGGAAACTTCTGTGATCAATGATTTTTTNAATAATTAATATATAATAATAATTAATATGTAATAATAATTAATATATAATAATTGTATAGTCATCATGCTCTCTCTCTCTCTCTACAAAAAAAGCCTGACACAAGGTAATTTTTTTATGAATTTTCTTAGCCTTTTTAATTTTTTTTGTTTTGTTTTCAATATTTTAAGTAATCATCAATTTTTCTTTGCTAAGCTTTTGGTTTATTAGATATCATTCTAATAATAAAACATTATTGCCCAAAAAATTCGATTTATTTATTTTTTTAATTTATTAGACTTGTTTTGACTTTTGTTTACACTGGTTGTCTATTACATCGAAAAACTCGTCTGAACTTGCAAAAGAATCTGAATCAAGATACTGAGCTTCAGATCGTATTTTACATAAACATATTTATATTTTTGATTGAATACCAATTTCTTAAAATATTAGAATATTCCATACTTTCAGAAAATCATATCTGTATTAAGAGCAAAATATATTCCATAAGTAGAAATGTCTGAAAAGAAATAAAAAAACATTCAGAATCCATTATTTACATACCTGTTTAGCCCAGATGATTGATCCTGCAACAGGTGGTAGATCTCTTACTTTGCTCATTCGGCTAGCTTTGCTTTGAGGATATTGAACCTTGAATTTTTCATGAAGAGCTACAATGTCATCTTTCACTCTCTGGATCAGCTGTGTCTGATATTCTCTTATAGCACCTCGGATGTGAGGTCGCACAAACAAAGCATTGAATCTGGAAAATATTCTGAACATTTCATTGGCGTTTTTGGCCGTGCCCAACTGGTCTCTCAGTCTGGCTGTGATACGTGTTTCGACACGATCAATTCTTTCTTCATACCTATAAAAATGCATGGATTCATTTATTTATTTTTTGGAAAAACAAAACATTTGCAAAAACTGCTTTACTAAATAAGCAAATCAAAAGCAATATAAGGAAAAGTACAAAAAGAAATATTTTGAACAATCTGAGCACAAAATGCTTTAGAATCTCAAGGAATGCTTGGGTATTTGATTGAAAAAAAAAAAGATGAAAAGAACGCAAAATAAAAATGTATTCGAAAAAATAACTTATTTTGTCTGAAATAGATTTATTAACTTTCAATAATTTAGTTTCAATGTACCTTTATAGATTGAAAAATATCAAATTTCATACTAAATAATGCTAAGTAAACTTAAAACAAGAAAATTAATTACTACAAAATAAACATGTTAATAAGCGTTTGGAAAATAATCAAATTATTTTGGACAAAGAATGTAATGTTAACAAAACATTTTCATTAATGTAAGACTAAACTAATACATTAAGATAAAATTATTTTGGACAAAGAATGTAATGTTAACATAACATTTTCATTAATGTAAGATTAAACTAATACATTAAGATAAAACTATTAATATTGATAGATAAAAAAAAACTTATCATAGTACCTCAATTTAATTGACAAACCACTAAACTTTACAAAATTCAGTGAATGATCATAAATAAGCCATATTGAAAAATCCACATTCCCAACAACTAACCTCAATCCATATTAATCTATGGATTAAAAGTTGATATTTATAGGTTTCCATACATTTTGGAAAAATGAGCAACAAATAAACTTTGGCAGTGTAGTTAATTTTCAACATCCACAAATATAGTCTCTTTGTCACTTTGAATGTTGCAGTTGGAAATCTATTTTTACTATTATGAAGAAGAAATTATTTTTACTTCATTTAAGAAAGATTTTCTGTAACATCATAAGAGTACTGACCTTCTCAGGGAGGCTTCCCAAGCTTCGGTACCTTCTTTAGATATCTCTAATCCATCCACTTCTTTGACATTTTCATATGCTAAATTAACTTCCTGTTAGAAGAAAGTATAAACAGAATATAAGATATGTCATTCCTCATTATGAAATAATAGGAGGCATGGTTAAGTATAATAAGATGTTATTGGGTACTATGCAAATTATTGAAATGTATAGAAATTACAAGGTAATATATTTCATATACATTTCAATAATTGTAAGCAAATCTTAACCCGTTAAGTGTAGGTATGAAATCTAGTGATCGGATTTTAATGTACTAAGTCTCTCTTAATGGTTCCAGAGGATGACCTCATTGATGTATACTCATTTAATTAGAGGAGATGATACTCTAAGTTGCAAAATAAGATTCAATATGTACTGTCTCTAAATAAAGTGGTTGTATATTTAAAATTCGATTTCTCAAAAACTATTTGACCAATTTTGTTCAAATTTTATATTTGGCTATATGAAATTACATTCTTTAAAATTTCATTAAAATTTGTATACCCTATAATTAAAAATTTTCCAAACTATTATTAAATAAATCAAATATTATAAATAATAATTAAAAAGTATTTTTTGTATGGAATTATCTTGAATAGGTGAATTTTAAAATTGTGTGTAAAATTCCCGAAGAATGGCGAAACCCGTAAAAAATATAACTTTTAAATTTAAGAGGTTCAAACTTTTGACTGCTCTCCGGATCAACAATATTTTCCTGGAACAATATTTTCCCGATAGGAGCTCTTCCCATACTTTGAAAAAAAAAGAGATATGTTTATTCAGAGAAAGTACATTTTTGTGTTCGATTTTGTAATTTAAAATATCATCTGTGCGTTAAGACTAAGTCCTAGTAAAAATTCAAATCATTAGATCAAAAGTTATTCAGGGTGCTTCCTTTTTTTTCTTTTATTGCATATCGTACAAAATTAATGATTCAATTAGTAGAAATTTAAAAATTCTGTTAAAGAGTTATAGTTTTTAAATGAAAAATTTTAAAATTAAATGCAGTTGGTTCAAATAAAACAGAATGTGATTTTTACCTGTATAGCATTAATATCTGCAGCATCCAGAGAATCTGTTTTTGTCTCAGATGAGTCCTCAACAACAGGAGTTCCAGCTGTCGGAGCAGATCTTGGAGCCACAGAGGGTCTTAAAACACGTACAATGACAGTGCGTAGTTGTTCATGTTGTCTTCTGAACCTAAAATTTAAAACTGTGACTGAACCTTGTTCACAACATAACCCTAAAATTACTTTCATTGAGTCTAGGGAGAACTTACTTTCGCATTTGTTCCATTCTTGCTTGAAGCTTTTTGTGCTCTGGACTCACGCGCCACACCATTTTCAAGTGTTCATCTCTCTTTTTCTTAACTATGTCTCGTAGCAATCCTTGAAGTTTGTCATATTCATCATCCCACGTTCCAAAAACTTCAAAGCAAGCATTTAATACCTAATTGAAATTTTACTGCCAGTTAGTAAAGCATCAATATTAGTGATATTGGTTAACAAAACACAATAGCATGAATAAGTTTTGAAACAAAAATATTAGATTTTTTTAATTAAACATTTAAGTCATTTTAATAAACTTATAACACATTGAAAAAACTAAATAGACAACTGCTGCATAAGTTTTTATTTAAGAAAAGCATTATTTGTAAGCAAATCTTTTCCCTACTTTTTTCTCACTTTAAACTTCTTTTTGTGAAACACAGAACTTTAAGATTTAAACAATATGGCCTTTATCTCCCTTGATTGGATATTTATCCAGGGAACTGCACTATGTAAAAAATAAGCTTACATATTACATAACTTATAAGTCATGTAAAACAAGAAGTTTTGTTTTAGCTTTTATCATAATTTATTAAAATAAAATAAATAGCAAATGTGATTAAAAATAAAATTAAGAAAAAGCATTCAAGACTTTAGAATAGTTGGTGATCATGGAAATCCATCTTGAGATGAATACTTTGCAAATATTTTGATAATCACTGACGATCAGAAAACTTCTTAGATTTATAATAAAACACATTAAATTTCCCACATTGTTTCTCAATTCATATTAACTAAAGAGAAAAAACAATTGCTGTCATAAAAATAGCATGCCTACCTATTATAAAAGTCTATGAAAAATACAAAAAATTAGGTTTTTCTTACTAAGCTTTAAGCATTCTATTTACCTAAACAAACTTTTTTTAATATCATTCTAACGTAAAATAGTAATTAATTGAAATTTTTCCTATAAATAAGATGCAAGATATTAACAAGTTAACATAAATATAAATGAAGAAATGTACTGTAAACTCTTTATTGGCAACTATTATATGTTGCAGATCTATTATATCTACAAGATTAGTTACAAACTTGTAAGATTATAGATTAGATTATAGTTATAGATTATATCTACAAGATTAGTTACAAACTTATAAATGATTATTTTAAAAAGGTATACATATATCTTGTCATCACATATACTTTTGTTATTAGTTATAAAAAGAAATATATTTATATAGGTACTTGAAATTATTTATCACACTCTTTTTTATCTTTATGTTTCACTATTAATTTGGAAAAATAAAGTATGTATTAATAACTATCTAATAAGCTGTTTTAATACTTTGGTTCTAATAAAAATAAAAAGCCATCTGACAGATCACTAGTTTGACTTAAAATTATAATAAATTATCGACATCAAAAATTAGGCATTTTCATAAACTTCAAATTAATATAAAGTAGATCTTTCCATGATAAAAATTTTTTAAAAATTCACTAAATAAAATCCTGATGAATAATTAAAATTTCTGATACCTTTTCGAACTCATCAAAAGGAATATGCATCAGTCTGCGGGTACCTAAAACCTAAGTTCAGAAAAAGAAAGAAATTTAAATACAAATAATTGAAATACAAATAATTAAAATGCAACAATTTAGAAATCGAATTAGTTAAGAAAATCACAACTTAATTTCTTAAAATAAAACAAACACTAGTACATAAAAAAATTACAAATAAAGGAAAAGGAGCTATTATATTTTAATTGAGCCAATTGCTTTTCAAAACTAAAACAAATAAAAATTAGTAAAGTAATGAAATCACAAACATTTCTTTTCAAGTACACGTAAAAAACGATTGTTTTGCAACCATAATTTTAAAATGTTTTTTTTAAAAAGAACTAGTATTTAACAGCTATATTTAACACCCATATTACAAGACAGCTTATTAACTAGGCGGCCTCCTCCGAATAGGTGCCAGCACTAACATGACTTTCACAAGATGGTCTTATTAACAACCGTTTAAGTTTCATTGAATTTTTTTTTACAGTTGAACTGTATTTGCAGAGATGAAAGTGAGTAATTTAGAGAAAATGTAGAAAGTTCTGTATAGTGCAATGATTTAGTTTTCGAGAGATAAAAAAAATCAGAATGGAATGAAAATTTAAATAGATTTGGTGTATATAACCTTGCAGCTTTGCATTTGATGATGAATGACTGAATATAAGTGTGTGATTAGGGTTTTTTAATGACAAACATTATCTTCAGTCAATAGAAGTATTGTTGCTGGACATGTATAACAAAAAGTCACAATATGATCTTATTTAACAAAAAAATCAAAAGAAAATGCAAAAACTATCATTTCTTTTGACTGGTTGCATGCATTAATGAGAGATTGCATTGTACATTGCAATATCAGTCTTTTTTGCTCAAAGGAACATTTCATTCTAAATTGCCAGTCTTTGTAACAAGTACTATATGTTTGGGTGAAATTTCATGTCAGAAAATAAAATTAAAACCATTTATTCTTAACTCATTCACTGAATTCAAACAGATAAGGAAACTTAAACACTTAACATAAAATGCACCTAAACAGAAATTTTTTTCTAAAAAAAAACGCACAATAAATAAATTGGTTTTTTTACATACAAATTGATAATGAAAATTTGTTATAATTACACAGAGAGAGATAATATAAATTATGTAGGCTAATTGTAGGTAGCAAGCATTGTCGTCTTTTGGCAATATGTCAGTCTAATTAAGAAAATCTCTTGTATTTTATAATCAGTCTGACACTTTTTAGGCTTATTGCAGTAATCTTTAAGCTAAAAATAAACTATATCATTCATAGCTCAATCAATCTGATTGATTTTACGCAGTTTGCAATGAGCTCAGAGCAGCGACAGCTTAGTATAAATAGTCTCATTAAAGATTTATAACGATAAGCTTAGGAAAATTCAGTCTGCTTAAGAAATTCTTTACAAATTTATTGTTCAGCCTATGAGCATATATGCTGATTTTAAAAAAAATATCAGGTAGATTAGAAAATACTGGAGGACTTTTCCATATAAACAACTGCATTTAAAAATATCAATGGCATTTACAAATAGTTAGATTTTTAATAAAGCCTAAGACATAAACACAATATTTAACATCATCTAACAGAATTACTTAAAAATCTTTTACCTTCAACAATTGTGTTTTTAAGTCTCGAGATATTGCTTCGACTAAGCGTAACGCTCTAGGTATTGGGTACTTGGTACTTCGGATCTTCCTTAAATGGAAGAAAATTGCTCCCAGAGCTGTTCTGATCTTATCTAATTCTGTAGCTGATAACAGGTCATTTAAAGGAAAATCTTTCATGAGAGGATTGTAATCATTTACAGTGCCTAAAGCTTGCTTTAAACCTGAAAATGTACAACAAAAAAATTACGTATGATAAAATATTTCATCAAAAAAATTAAACTTTAATACAAATGCTAATATTAAAAACAAACGTTTACATTATTTTTAAAAACAAACCTTTTTTAAAAAATATATATAAAAGAATATTACCTGTATCTGTATCAAAGCTGACAGTTGCATGAAACCGTTTTCCCTTTTTTAATATATCTAGAGTGAGAGCAACCTCAGGGCTTTCTCTTTTTTCCTGAATACGTAAAAGGGCTCTTTCCAAATTCAACCAAAAGCTGATTTCCTGCAGAGCAGTGCCTGAAGAGGCATCACGCACCAATTTCGTAACCTACAACATTATTTTAAAGTATATTTAAATTTAATTCAGTATTATTAATATGTAAAGACTACATAAATACTATTCTGCTTTGAGGAGAACTCCTCTAGGCTAAAAGCCTGGGGCTGTTTGCTACTATAGTAACAAGAGAGAGCATATTTCTAATACTAATACATAGAAAAATGAAGGAATTGACTGATTGCAAGGCAAAGTTTCTAACTCCAACCTCTGCCAAGATCAAAGCAAAACTATTCACCTCATACCCTGGCTGTAGCCATAATAAAAGCCATCACTTGATATTCATGTCTGGAGGAGCTAAGTTCTCGTAAAAGCAGCACAATACTTTTCTCTCTTTTAGGATAAAAATTTATAACTTAAGTGTGAAAATAGTATGAATTTTCAAATTTTTATTTCTAAGTTAAATTATAAAATGCATATTAAGTGCTGAATGTTTTGAAGTTATTTAATCCTTATTAGACTATTTTCATAAATATTATTTTGAGTATATTATATTTATATTCAATATTATATGTAAGTTTTAATTGACACATTACTCACAATTAGCAAAAATGATAAAATTGAATAACATAATTTAAAAGTAAATACATGGAATTTATAGTATAAAATTTTATACATTCTTCGATGGTTAGCTTTTAAAAAAATCTCATTATTCAACTATCACATAAAAAAAAATGAACACACCAATGCATAACAATACCTTTTTAACAGCATATTTTAATTTAATATTTAAAAGAAGAAATATAAGCTTCAAAATTATTCATAAAATTTATATACAGGTGCCAAAAAAAATGGTCTAATATCAAGTGTTGAATAATATCTCAAAAAATCAGATCAAAATTTAAAAAATATACAGGCCACAGGTAAAATATTTTTAAAACATGCCTTCAATGATATTTAACATAACCCAAAAACTTTACTTCTTAAAGGTGGGTACAGCTCAATAATCTTAAATAGATATGCTGCTTTTTTTATTGCTGATCACGATTATTTAAAAATTTATATTAGACTATTATGATTTAATTTAGGATGCTAGATGGAGCAATTATCGGAAAACAAAATGGAGAGCAAATTATTTTAAATGGAGAAACCGGGAAAAATATGTGGCACATCAAAAAAATTAAAATAAAAGTGTTAGATATTTAAAAACTTGAACCCACTTTTTAGAAGTAGCTCCAAATGGTGATGTAGTGAAGCAGGTTTAAAATTGATGTCAATCCAGAATGTGAGGGCCAAGTTTGGTACGATGAGGTAGATTAAGTATTCATTGAATGCCTTGTTTAGAAATATTTCACATATGTATATTTATATTTTTCATCTGATGCACATTTGACTAAATATTTGATTCCTTCCATACTTTTAGGACACCCTGTATAAAGACTCAATACTTTTCTTTCTTTAGGGGTTTTAACAAAAAATGCTTAGTGACTCTTGAAATTAAAAAGTAAAAAATTTAATTTCATTGAATTATTGAAAATATAAGTATACGAAAATTTTTGAAATTATAGAGATACCTTTTGTATTTCTCTGATCCATCGGTTGACACCATTTTGCAACTGGTTCAAAAAAGTGGAATCTTCCACTTTATCTCCAAAGTCATTCACTGTAGCTTTTCGACCTTCATCACTCGCCTTCTTTATGGTGGCGGCAACAACAGGATGAATGAGAAGAGTGATTTCCGGAATGTCTATGTTTTGCTGCAAATGCAACAATCCCATTTCCAATTCTGCAATTTTTTTCTCAACAGATGGTGCCATTTTGTCTCCATCCCTGTAAAGAATCAACTTATTGTAATAAGAGATAATTATTTCATCCTGAAAAAAGATTAATTCTGTTTTTCAACACTTAGTTTAAATAGTAGATAAAAAAAAATCTAGTAACACAATTAGACTGAACAACAAATTTGAATCTTTTTCTATTATATATATGACTATTATATTTAAACTATTATATTTTTGTATAAACTAAAGGTGTTTAATTCATTCATCCAAACCAGAAATGTCTATCATGTACAAAATGATAAAAGTTGTCAAGCTTCTAGCAAATATCTCACTTTTTAATACTCCTACAGCTTCAAAACTTTTGTAACATAGATAAGATTCTTGTCCCCAAAATCGAAAAGTTGTTAACAGTCAAAGAAAGCACTTTCCCTTCGCCTGTAAGTTGCTATAGTATTTTGTTAAAATATGCAAAGGCGCAAAGCTATACTGTGGATTTTTGAAAAATGAGGGTACATAATGCAAATGGGATTTAGTATAATGTAAAGTCACCCAGCTATAACTTAGCACTATAATTTCCTACAGCACCTGCAACTTTGAAACTTTGGTAAGGTATATAGGGCATTAGTCATCAAAGCCTATTTCCATTGCCCGTAAGTTGCTATAGTGTACAGTTACAATATGTAAAGTTACCAAATTAAAATGTTAATTTTTGGGAAAATGGTGAGTGGTTAAAAAAAAATTACCAGTTTGACATTTCGAATCAAAAATAAAAATTATCTATTTTTATCTAAAAGGCATTTTTCATGAAAAGGGTTGTAAAGTTTTGTAGGACACTATTTAAAATTTCCCAGTATATAGATAGATGGAATTTGAAGAACACTACCTTTCAGCTCTTCCTGTTTCACGAACATAGGATTTAAAATACGGAGCCACTGCACTGCTAACATAAGAATGAAGGGTTTCATATGGAGAAGCATCATTCAGGTTCATCACTCTAACTTGTGTAACAATTTTCTTATCTGCTTCAATGACAGATGATGTCTTGATTATCACAATACTATAGAAGAAACAATGTAAACCTTCAATATACACATAGATTTTTTTCATCTTATACTTTAATACGAGTAGTAGAAAAATTACAATAATACAAAGGTATGTAATATGAATTTGATTGAAATAACCAGTTTATCACATTCATTAACATTAATATGTATAACATAAAAAAATTACAGCATAAATATTAGGTAATATAAAAACTTCAAATTTTATTATTTGTTTAAATAAATGTTTTGATAAGTGTATGCTAAAGCTCTTAATAAGAAATTAATTAAAGAGCTAAATTCACAGTCGTCTAACTAAGTAAATCATATTCAGTCTTCATAGAATCTTAGGATCTTCAATTAAAAAATTAAATAAGCAAAAAATTTAGAGAAAAATATTCATTACCTGTTAACTTTAGGATTAGTAAAGCGTACATCATCTGATATAATGTAAGATACATTTTCTTTTTCTTCATCTCCTTCACCGCCTGCTTCTGTGACTTCTTCATCATCTGTCAAGCATTTTAAAATAAAAGTATATAATATATATACTAATATAGAATTAATATGATTCATAAATAGTAATCACATGAGTTAACTTGGAACCTATGCAAAATTTCTTTTTAAATAAGCCAAACATACATAAATTTTTAAAAGTTAAAACACCTTTGGTAGCAGTAGGTACAAACAAATAATAAGGAAACACAAATATTTTGACACATAGAAAAAATGACCAGATTAAAGAGCAAGATTTAATGTTTCCATTTCTGCATCTGCGTCAAATTTTGACAATAATCAGGCAGTGGAACACGAGAAACTTAAAGCGAAATTGTAGAAAAGATAAGCTGGGTAGGTTAAATTCTTAGAACCTTACCAAACCACTACATACATATTTGCATACATAAAATTCTTTTGGTGCTGTGGCAATAGTCATTGACACAAACAGGTATGGATATAGAAATATCCTTCCAGAGCCAATGAACTACAAACTATGAAAACCAGGTAAAATGTTTAAAAAAAATTAAATTTAGAAAGAACATTTCAAACATTTTTCAATGCTTGGTTGCTGAATTACAGCCTCAAAGGAATTAGATTTATTTTGGCTTTGTTAATAAAATTTTATCAAACAAACAAGAAATTAAGAGAAATACAGTGCATACTAGGTTCATATTCTTTGCGAGTTAAAACTAGTGTAATTAAAAGGTCTGATTGTTAAAATATAACTCTTTCCTTTTTTTAAATATCTTTATGCTTTGTTTGCCTCCTAGCAGCAGAAACCTTTCCATTGATTTACAACATTAGAGAAAGATTTTCAAATTTTTTCATTTACAAAGCATGCGGTAATATATCTGAATTAAGATGATGCTGATTGTCAATTTTTAAATGCAAGAATGGTGATTATTACAACACAAGATTGGATTCTAGAGGACATTATACTGTTATTTGCCCACCTTAATAAGTCTTATTATATCATATTGAGTTAAAATGGAATAGAACATCACTTTCAAAGAAAATGTTTTTCCCTCATAGATAAATCTTTCACACAGATCCCTGTGTACAGCTATCTGCGTGGAGAAATCATCTGGGTATTCATGTACATTCATCAAGGAAGCACAACCTATGATTCACGGATTAAGGGATATTTCCCTATCGTGATCTGTCGCGCCAACTACAATCGTCAAGGTACCAAATCGATTTCAAACTTGCAAATTTTTTTAAAAAAACATGTAGATGTTTGCCCAGGGTGGCTACGAGTTATACCTTTCGAGTTGGTCCCCTTCTGTGATTTTTTTTTTAGTTTCTCGCAGGCCACTGCCCGGAAGTTTCCAAGACTATTATTCTGCCACAGATCATGATATGGAAATCTCCCCCACAGTTTAATGGTGACCACCAAAGCCTCTTAACATTAATCTCAAACTGTCTAAAAAATATAAAAATAAAAGAGTAACAGCAAGTTACAGATCTAGTATACAGCTTTCCTCAAAGAAACAGAATATGACAATTTCAGTTTCATTATGAAAGCTTTATTTATGCAATGGGTACAGAGTTAGCAGTTCACATTAATCTGGAATAAAAAGGAAAGATAGTTTTTGGGATGAATATAAATTATCTTTTTTGTTGTGTGCTACTTCTTATATAAATTTACTATAATTTGATTCTGTAATCTTATAGGTATAATCTAAATTTATTCACAATTTTTTATAATCAGCCCCGCAGCAAAAGATTAATTATAGGTTTCTAAGTTATTAACATTACATTCAAACAGATACTTACTATATATTTTACTCGCATATTTATAATTACAGCATTATGTTAGTGTTAGCCCTCAACTGTTTTTTGTAGTTTTAATTAACCATTAGTCAAAAATAGTTGCACTTCCCACAGATAGATGATTTTTTAAATAGACTGAAATTTTGGAAAAAGTAAATTAACTCTGAAAAGATGCTTATTTGTATTTTATTTTTCACACATTCTATTTATTACCTTTGGTTGAGGATCTCTGAATCAACAAAGCACGACACTGATTGTCCCCAATGAATTTTTTCAACGTTTCGATATTGGACTTTTCTGAGAGAGCGGTGATTAATGACGGATGAATGTCATCACTATCTTCTAACAGTACAGGTACCACCCTCTTAATATAATTAATAAACAGATTCACATCAGCTAATTCTGATGTGACGGGTTGAGTCACTGACGATGGTGGAGAAGCTGAACCCTCAATGGATTCAGACATTGTATCACTATAAATTTATATAAATTTATAAAGCATTCAACATTTTAAATTATCCATTTAAAATAACACCAAAAGGACAACAAAATTGACAGGTATCCAAGCGGTGACGCATAAGCCACCGGTGTTGCCAAACATAAGAGAAGTATTATCAATTGGCAACTTTTATTTAAGAAACCAAGCTTACAAGCGAGAGACAAGATTCGCGACCGCACCACTCTAGTGCGCCATCTAGGGAGAAGACCATTTCCATGTCAGGACTCTAATTTCTTCCCTTTTTTCCTTTTCTCAGTTGTATACGAATGTACTACGATATTTTCCCCTTTTTTAATATTTTTCGTACTTAATTGTCACAAATATTTTGTAAAATTTCCACAATGTTTTCTTTTTGAATTATGTTTAAGGTAGTTTTCAGTTCCATATAGTTTTCTTACTTAAAATTTTTAAATCTATTCGAAAATCTAGACTGAAACTAAACGTACTTCCTTCTCCTATGACTCTCATCACGCTACTGTGAAAGCATGGGAAGCGTTGCTATAGTTTGAGAGTTTTGCTCTAAGTCACTTTTGTAGCCCATTTCAATCGCTAATAGTTCTGAAAAGTGATGCGCCATTACTATACTTCGGTCGTGCAAAGTACATAATGGATGTTAAAGTCTCTGTGGGGGGAGAAAAAAAAATTTGGTTATGCCCTAGTCTCCATGTAACAGTAGAAGGTAGGAGCAATCTGAGTTTTTACGAAATTTTCTTATACTCAACAACATAGTAATCAAAGTCTTGCATATCGTAATTTTTTCATTTGATAAGAAAAATAAAAAGTATTTGCACCTAATATTTAAATTTGCATGTTACGATTACTGTGTATTTTCTATAAATACCATATAAAGCTTTATTCTTTTCAGGCAGTAAAAGGAAGGCGGTCCTAAAGTGGATTCTAGCCTCAAACTTGAAAACTAGATGGCGCTGAAAATCACACCCCGCCTCAGGCTAAGATCTAGTTTAGCCTTTCCCAAAAAGATTCTAACTCATAGTTGATTGGCTACCTCAAAAAGAGCTATTCTACCTTTTAACAGTTTCTAGATGTAAATAAATCAATGTATCGCAATGATGTATATTGATGTAAATATGTAAAGAACGACTTCTAGTATCGTAAAACAGATAATCTTAGATTAATAAATGAAATGAATTTAACTGGAGAATTTAATTTACACTTCAGTTTAAAATGTTTTTTAATAAAATATGAGCTGAAACACCATAAATTATTAGTAATTATTTATTCATGTTTGCATGAACCAGTTTGTTATTCTAAAACATTATCCTAAAACAACAATTTTTTATGCTTTATTCGACAACAAATATTCAGTTTGAAAAATGCGAGGAAGTTATCTAATATTTGCAATTTTATGTGCTTAAGAAATTAAATACATCGGAAATATGTTTCTTTCCTTTGAAATAACTTCAATGTTTTTCATAAGTGAACATTCACACTTGAATATATGTTTAAATTGATTGCTGACATTGTCTGGGCATGAATATATGGTCAAATTGATATCTCTTATTCATAATGACTAGTATAAATACATAACTCTTGNATAAAGCTAACAATCTGTATTAATACCTAAAACAAAAAGAATTTGCAATTAATGAGAATATAAATAAGTATTTTATGCTTTTTTTCGCAAATTGTCCTCACTAGCGGTAAATTCACATTTCTCGTAGCCTTGTAGCGCCATCTAATTTCCAGAACCAGAACTACAAAATCAAATGTAACAAAACTTTTATATGCTTTTAAAAATAATTCACAACCTAATTTTCCAAAAATAAACATTTTAGGTTCTGGCTAACAAGATTCTTAAATGTCGTGAAAAATTTCGAGACCCTTAGTACGCTATTTAATCTGTGTAACTGTTCGGCGGTTTTTAACATTACAGGTATACGGCTTTAGGACCACCTTATGACCTTGAGGCTGGGAGTTCAATCCCCAGCTGTGACGCAGGAGCATTTATTTCACACTAATTTTTAAAACATATTTGAAACTTATAATTCAAGTATCAAAAGTTTATTTTATATTTATATAGGTATTTTATGGCAAATGCTTTCAGTAATAAATTGGAAAAATACTTTTTATATAAATTTTTATATAAAAAACCATAAATATTTTTGAATCAAACATTTGTTTTTACCTAAATCATTCTGTACTTATGATGTATTTATTTTGTATTTACAATCGTTGTAAATTTTATTTCCAATTTATTACAAAGAAAAATATTTAAAAAAAATAATAATAATTTAATAATTTATTCTAGGAAAACTTTCATTCGGTAATTTATTGTGGCTTCATATTTATCCATCACGTCTTTGTTTTAACCCTTTATATCACCGTGTTGCATATCTGCAACATACACAAAAAGCCTATGTCTTTGCCCCAACAAATTTTGAAAGACGATTTCGGCGATTGTCGGCCAAAACCAGTGCGCCAAGATGAAATTGGGCAATTGGGCACTGGCCTAATTGGGCTAACAAAAGAGTCAGATGCAAATACCCAAAATGCAAAGAATTTGCACAAACTATTTGTGAGAAATGTGGTGTAGGACTTTGTTACAACAAAAGTAACAACTGTTTTAAAAATTTTCATACGAATTAAAATTTTTGAATCTTTCAATCTTAGTGCCATTTTTCACAATGTAGCAGGAATGCAACAAGCACTTTTTGTCATTTTGCATAAGGGTGCAGAAATGCAACAATCAATTTTTTTCCATTAATTTTTCTTATTTTATGTTGTAAATTTTTTTATTATTTTTTTCATGCTTAGAATGTGTATTCTAATGTATGAGTAATTTTTATTAAAATCAGAGATGTCGAGATATAAAGGGTTAATTAATAAATTTATTTTTTAGTCTAACGGTACCCAGTTTTAATTTATCATTTTGTTAATAAAAGTTTCTTATAAATAAATATTTGTTGCAATTTTTTTTTTTTTTTAAGTGAAACTTTCAATGCGACTTCCAACAAGGTTGCGTTAAACGTTTAACGCTGAATGCGTGGCACTCGTACGCATGCGCGTAGTATACCTGTTTTACAGTCAGAGCTTTGTTGCCTAGTAACCTAATAAAATTATGCATTCCTCTTTTGAATTAGTCAATGGGTTATCTTAAAATATTCATTGCTGACGACTTTCTTTTTAGCTGTGGCCTGTGATCCTTGCAGGAGATTTTAATGTGAATTTCTCGTTACCTGAAGCTGAAATATTATTAACCTTCCTTAAAGACAAATTTGGATTGGAAATGATAAATGGTAGGAATGATCCAACAACCAAAAGGGGAACTACCATTGATGCAGTTTCTGCAAGAAATATTGAAAAAATAGAACTCAAACATTTCACATCTTACTTTAGTTATCATAATTCCATTGTAAATGTTACAGATTTGGATATTTCTCCACTTGAATTTGATAATTAAAAGATGCGATCAATTGCGAATTGTAAGCGATGTTAATAAAGTTTGTCTTAAAGAAACAATATGATTTCACTAAAAATCAATTTCTACCCCTTCCTATTTTCATTTCCACATTACGAAGTTTCACTTATTCGGCGAGGAGGGACTCCACGCACTATTTTTTTAAATATCAACTGCTTTTAATATTTTACATAAATTGATGCAATATAACACACGACATAAAATTTCTTAGCAAATTTCTGATTTAAAATATGAAATTTTATTTCATATATCATACTTTTTGCTTTGCTGAAAATGAGGGTTGATACTTACAAAAAAAGGAGTAAGTAAAACTTATTTTACTAAATATATTGTTCTTAGAAGTATGTATATATACTTTAAAGACATTAAAGTTTATTTTTTTATGAAATATCTCTTTTTTACTTATAATATATATTCATAACTTTGGTTATGTTTATATTTCGATATATATTTAATTTTTATATCTGTAATGCATTTATTTTTAGCATTAAAACTATTCACCACCATATAAGAGAGAAAAGTAGCAGCGTGTTTGTTTTTTTCCACTGGATTTTGGTTGCGTGTGCAAAGTATATTAATTTCGCTATAGAAATCTCGTATAGTTTGAATTACTCAATTGCTCTTGTCATCCATTTTCTGTTTGAACTAAAATAATATTCTTTTTAAATTTAAGTGATAACTCATTCAAATAATAAAGAAAATAATTTTTTATTTAAAAAAGGAAGATAGAAAAAAAAAGAAATTTATTAATAGAAAAAATCAAGTTTACAAATACAATTCAGAGAAGTTTGAAAAAACTCATTATCGCCTTTTTACGATTATTACTATAGTTTATTTCTGCAATAAAAGCTAATCAAGTTTTAAAAAAGTTTGAAAGTATCGACATAAATAAATTCCTAAAATCGGCGTTTTATATTTATGAATTTTTTCAAAACTTCGTAACTAATAAATTTAATTTTTGAAAGAAAAAAAAATTATTTCAGATTTTAGGTTTTATGAAAAAGGTAAAATTTTAATCTGTAAATTCATCTTTGCAAGGCATCAAATTATTAGTTGCAATTTGTCTGATTTAGAAAACATTGTTTACGTATTCATAATTAAATAACAAATTTTAAAATTAAAAGAAAATAATAAAAAATAGATATTTCTTTCCAAATTTAATGATAGACTCAAGATCCGTTCATTAAAAAAAAAAATTTCTGTATGTCATAAAATTGTAGATTCACGCCCCCCCCCCGCAATTTTAAATTTAAACACCTAAAGTAAAATAAATATTCATTTTTATTTTCATTTCTACGAAAACTATAATTATTACATTTCAACTAACATTGAAGTAACATGTCTGGCAACTGGGGCTTCAGAAACCAACGATATAGATCCGAATCCATACCATTGGTATTTTTTGCGCAACTTGGGGGGAGATGAAATCATCCATGGACTCGTAATTTTATGGCTCCTTTTCTTATAAGGCAAGATCCCGCAATGAACTACGATCTTAAGACGCGATTGGCAGTAGATACCCGAATTTAAGTATCACTGGCAGTGGTTATTGGGTGACCACATTAATCAGTCTGCGAAGGGGCTGCGGGTGTGTGGTATCGGTCCTCATTAAACTGTTCTTTCGTCAAATGTTTGACTTCGTATTCTGATAATCGGGTTCC